ACAATGGATCGCACAACCTGCGTCGTGGAAGCCACAGAGCCTTCGCACTCATGCTATCTCAACTGCAGACCTCATTCCGCCTCTATCCTAAGGATCTACTAAGACATTCCTGCCAAGAGCCCCTAGATACGACCACGTTCATTCCCATGGATCCTAGGACTGAAACATGTCAACACGATACCAATCATCACAGCTCAGGCCTCAAACTATCCTTCTGTGATAGGCCAAGATATGTAGGGCTATCTACTGTACCTAGCATCCACTTACTCTAGGCTACACCGTTGATAACCGGCAACTTGTTACGGTTGGCTAGTGAGAGGTGTGCTTCATTCGACATTCGAATAGGTAACCAGCATGAATAAAAGCTGTTGTGGTGCTTCACATCCTCAGTGGGGGCCAATTGCTGAGAGGCAGACCGAAACGAGATAGCCACTCTTTCAAACGGCACGGCAAGGGGCAGCGTGCCAACTGGCACCCTCGGGGGAAAGAGGTCAGGAACCGTGGCTCGTCTCCACTGGCTTGGGCGTGCATTGCGGGACATCGTTGAACGGTCCGGCGCGGCAATGCACTTCACCGAATTAATTCTCCTGAGAATGAGGATCTCCGTTCATTCGTGATAGAAGCATGTTCTGTCTGTGCAGTTATGGCACAGAGACGGGCAGGGGCCCTCGACTGGAGTTTTACTTCAAGGTCACGAGCAAAACCTGTGCTGGAATAGGAATATTTGGACGCGAAGCGGAAACAACATGTCGAAGATGCAGCGCACCATACTCAACGGGCGATAAGATATTTTCTTGTGGAACTTTTCTTCACATAAGCGCTGACCGATACGCCGCTTGCGCCGGAGAGTACGAATCCGGCGCGCCTGGCATCAGAGAGACACGGCATTTTTATGTTCGATCAAAAGCAGTCAAATCCCACTAAATTGCGAATCTGGAACAGCCGCCTCGCCCCACATCTTTCCCCACGCACCCTTCCCCCCACGTTTTTTCAACTGGAGATCCGGGGTGCGCGCGTATCGATAAGCTCCCCACACTCACATACATTGCGCACGGACGGACTCCTGCAGATACCCTCAACTACCGGGGTCTTGTATATCAGCCCACTCAGAGTATCTCCTCTGGATCTAACATACAGCCAATGCCTCTTCTTAAATCTGAAGGAAGGCTCTCCCTTATGCAGGGGGGTGGGGGGTTGTTTTCAAGCAGGTACCAAAAAAGAGAGAGAGAAGCCAGATTCATCCTGAGACTGTTTTCTATTCTTCTCTAGTGGGAAATAGTGGACGTGTCACCATATAAGTCGAGAATTGTAATTCTGGCTTGTTACCACGGGACTGGATGTATCATGGATCTCCCAATCGCTAGTTTATTTGAAGCTACATCTCTAGTGTGGAGGAGCTGTGACAGCTCAAATTACCATAGTCCTCCACTGCTTGACACTTGCTTAGGCTGGGCAACTCCATGTAGGTGCTTTGGGACCCTGTGAATTGTGGAGGTCAGCCTTGAGGGGTGGAGGCATAATTTATCTGACCTAAGATCAGTATATCTATACATTTAGAGTCGAGTGCATAAGTGTAATATTTCAGCGGTTACGGTCTATTACACGTAATCAGCGATCTAATTCGTGATTTATGGAGAAAATATGATATGAGCTCCTCGTTAATCAAGCTAACCAAAATCGTGATAGTAGTGATTGGAGCTTACAGTAGCTTTGTCTTTGAGGCAGAGTAGGTGTGATCTTATCCCATGAACCGTAGAAGCCTGAGGTTCCAATTGGGTACTTTGCAACTCTAACCTCGATAAAAACATAAAAACGATATAATCCAGCCCTGTTCACTAATAACAAAGAAGCGGGAAAGTTTATCAACCGATCCCAATAAGAGCTCCTAATATAGTACTCACGAAGCTGGTGTTGCTGTGAATTTAAGAAAGGTCACTTTATTTCAAGTGAGGCCCAATCGGGTCCTTAACTCGGTTGCTACGGTTGATGGGATAAATAGCATTGTCCTTGATTCTTATCAGCGCAGCTGTGCTTTACATATTCTAGTTCAGTACATGCCGTAGATATGTCTCCGAGCGAGCGTGTCTACTGCATATCATACCCACAGACTACCTAGACTAAACTACATATATGTATGTATTAATCAACTGATACAGCATTGACGCAAGCCCACAAGCCTCCAATAACATGAAGTATAATATATATCTCGATCCTAGCTGCGCGTGGGCCTTGAAATTCTTCAGAGCTAGGAACAAAGGATAAGCACGCCGGGAGCTAGTGGGAAGCATACAGTAATTCTCCTGCTGGATTACATCATGACCTCGAACCGCTTTGTAGAAATTGATCGCGCAGTCCTTGTAATGCAGGTAATTACTTGCCTTGTTTCTTGTAGCGCTTGGTATGTTGTTGGAGTACTCTGCCATGCCTAACTGTATGTACTCTCCACGTAGTCAGCGAGACAGTTCTCTTCTCGATATTGACGTTCACATATGTAGTCTGAAAATATTTTTTTTTCTTTCCTGCAGGCAGAATCGCGCTCTTCCATTGTGGTCATGATGTTGTTGTTCTGTGGTTGTTGTTAGGTTGAAAGCTAGAGTGTATTGTACATATGTGCATTTGTATGAGAAGTGCGAAATGATACAGAATCACCAGATATCATTCGTGGCCTATGCGGGAGTGTGCTACTCTACTTTTGGCTCTCCAGGAAATGCTTCTTATATGAGATGCACTTTCTCCGTTCTGAATCTCTTCTGCATGTAGATTAGCACTACCGCCTTAGGGAGCTGTCACACAGGCATTGGTAGCTGAGCAGCTGAGCCCGAGACATACTGCCTAAGAGGGCAATTTCGACGTCTTGTGTAACATTTGTACCCTATGGCGGTGACTCGAGTCAATACGGTATGAAGTAAGCGTTTGGAGGGTTGCAAATTTTAGCTATGTACCCTTAATTATTAGTCGTATTCGTGCTAAGGCAGAAAGGAAGAGGTCAAATCAAACTGGTTCGTTACCAGAGTAAATGATCGGAGGGTTGGATTGGATGACTGTAATGTGACACATAACCAGTTCTTTGGCAACGGTTTTCTTCCTCGTTCTCAGCTTAGGATGACATGTCGTTGCCTTCCCGCGCTCTTCTTCTTTTTTTTTCTTTCACGGATCGGATGACACGCCAGTAACGTAGGACGACGACCCACGGTTCCAGGATAGCTATAGGTCCCAATTTCGGGGAATGTTTGGTAACGTTAGGCAGAGGCTGTGGAATAAGGGGAGTCCTGGTCTGGAAATTACACTTACTCGGCTCAGCTGGTTATCTGGCCCTTAGATTAGACTTCGCCAGTCGGTTATCACATTGACGTTGGTGACATCAATGGTGAAAACCTGGGTCCAATACCTGTGAAGCACTGGTTGTTCCTTCGGATATCAGTATTCGTATTTCTTTTCTTCCCTCGGCGGAGCCTCATTTAAAAATATGAGTCTCTTAAGTCTGAACCATTGATCTTTGCTCTATAATCCCCCCGAGGAGCATATGACTGACCCACGCTGAGTGCTGCTGTACGAATGTGCCTCGTGAACTCTCGATGATGACCCTTTTAATTCTATCAAGGACCACGAGGTGCATGTAATATTTAAGTCATAGGTCAAATGACTCGGAAGAGGCCCGCAACTTGTTCTCTTGGTCCCCGCGCGCATGCGCAGGAGATGGACAGCGTGACATGTCCCGCGAGTCCCGACGGTTTATGGAACACCCATGGGGGTAAATTGATGCTGTCAAAGACACAATGGATAGGTTATATGCATGGTGAAGTTGTTGATATCGATGAGGCTGCAATGCGGAAAATTTTCACTTGGCCGATTTTTAAACTGTAATATCTATACTCATGAAATATCACTCGGAAAACTTGGATCAAAAGGATGGTTTACGTTGAGTCCTCTCATATGCATAACTGTACTCACACACAAGAACACTACATGATAGTATTAGTTAATAAAACAGGAGACAATTAAAAGAGGAGGTTCCCATCTAGAAGAGAAACCCCCATATTCACGTGTTCGGACGCTTTTTTTTTTTACCGTAACTCGCACTCGTCATGCATGGGTTTCAAAAAATACTAAGTAGGTCTCACAAAAATACAGTTGCAATTTGAAACTGCCTAGGATTTGCCCTGATTCAGTGCTCTCCAGGATTATCATAGTTAATTGCCGACAAAGAATTCTAATTTATGCCATCTATTTCTGCGGTGAAAAAATTAAAAAGGGAGTTATTTATTGGCTGCTTTCTCAACCAATAAGGGCGTTTCTTCCCTGGATAATAGACGCCCAATCCAATCATAAAGTAACGATCAATTTGGGAAACTTGTAATAAACTAGTCGGTCTGTTTGTATCTTCAAGGTACTACATAGTAAAGGTGGAAAAAAAGGATGTAGCCGTCAGAAGAACAACTTGAGGTCAGATCCATCAGATATATTCCGTTATTAAGGGGGAATTTCTAGACAAATCTAGACCTCGCCAGCTCCTCCCATTTTCCGTAGCAAGAGACAACATCATAGTCTATCACTCGACTCCACCAAGCCTGGACAGTTTTTTTTTTTTTTTTTTTTTTTTTTGTTAAGCCTGGACAGTGAATCGACCCGTCGTTTCTCCAAATTTATTTGGGGCATGTTGCATGTTGTTAACTCATTGATTATGTACTGTTTTTGAGGATATACCATCCGCATTTACAAAGTAGCCAGGTATTCTCTTCTAACACTCATCTGCTGCCGTGATATCTACAGCCAAATACCCTAAGAGAGGACTCCTCCCTAACAAGTAATAAAACAAGCAAGTAAGCATCCCCAACACCACAAATACTTAAGAAAGAAATAGAAAGTAAAAGCGACGATTTGTACATTAGAAAATATATACCCTGACCAATCCACCGATAAAACTCCCAGAAGCAAAAAAAGCTCCACCCTGTATAGGAAAAAAAGAGAAGAAAAAACAGTCCCCTCAAACCAATCCTTGATTACTTCCTTATGATCTTCAGCAACGGCTCAATATGTGCCCTCCTACTCAGCCCAACTCGGAACTTAACAGGCCCCTTATTAATCGGACTATGCAGGGTCTTGGACTTCCCCTTCTCCGCAGGCTTCTTGCTCGGTGTTTCGGGCTGCGTCTCTACCTTGAGAGGCTGCCGCGGTGGTGGCGGCGGCGGCGGTGGTGGAGCAGCCTCCTTCTTCTCCCCGTCCTCTTCGTCGGCGGTCTCTTCTGCCTCTGCCTCTATCCTCTCCTTTTCTCTTTTTGCCTTAGCTGCCGCAGCTCTAGAGAGTTTAGGCTCCTTCTTTGTAGGTGCCTTCTTCACGGGCTCCGCTTGAGCAAGATCCTCCACGTTCTCCCCGTCATCATCAGAATCCTTCACCATCTCGTTGGACAACCGCGCCTTCTCCTCCCTTGCTGCAGCTGCTTTCTTGGTCGCACGTGGGGCCTTAGGCTTGGTTTCCTTCTTCTGATTTTTCTTGGGCTCCAGATCGCCGTCCCAATCTTCTTCATCAGAGTCTTCCTTCTTGCTCTTGCGTCTTTGCGCAGGGAGATTCTTTTTAGGCTCTGGGTTTTCCTTTGGTTCGAGGGGCACAGGGACTGGAGGAGAAGAGGGAGGGGGAAGAGGGGCATCATTCATGTTCATGACTGAGATGGAAGACAGAGGAGATCCACTCTCATTGCTTCCTGTGACGGCCTGCTTCTTGAGCATTTGCCATTTGTGTACTTTTTTGGGCTTAGGCATGAGTTGGTCTTCACTGGGCTCAACCGATGGAAGACTATTAGTCACTGCAATGGAGCCCGAGAACTCCTCTCCAGGGTTTGGAGTGACATCCGTCTTGGTGCCTACCATAATTGCTGTCGCATCTTTGCGAGAACTAGTACCAGAAACTTGAACTGTGGCTGATCGTCTCACTGTAGGATGCACCGCTAACTCATCCTCGGAGTCTGAGATCGTCACAGTCTCAATTGGCTTGCTTTTACTTCTCTTTGCCTTCGCCTTCTGCTTTTGCACCTCTGTGCCCCCATCCTCTTCAACCACTGCAGATTTCCGCTTCTTCGCTACAGGTTTCTTTTTCTTTGTGTTTTTTACCTCGCCAACCCAGGCGTCATCGTCTCCTGATTCGGGGTCAAAGTCGTTCATTGTCTTGCGACGTGGAGCAGCTTGTGACATCCCTTGCCTGGCTTTCCCCTTTGCTGCGCGCCACTCGGAGGCAATTGGGAATGCGCCGAAGCCGTTATCTGCGGTAAAATCAAGATTCTGGTCTGTTGCGGCACGCTTTTTTGCTTTTTTTGCTGGTGGCTTATCCTGAGGCGGGCTGTTCTGGAGAGATGATAGTGTGCTGTCGGAAGGTGCTGGTGCAGCTGCTAGAGGAGCTGCATGTGGGGGATCCAAATGTTGAAACTCGATCTGTGATGACCGCAGTGAGGGATCATATGGGGGGTCTGGAATCGTACTGAGCAGCGAGGGATCATATGGGGGGTCGGGAATTGTACTGAGTAGGTCTGGTGTACCGTAGGCGCCATTGCCAGGTGGATTCTCCGGTAGTTCCGTGGACGAGTACAACACTGGAACAGGGTCGTACTCCGCGCGACGCTCCTCGGGGAGGACTAGATGGTCCTTACTAAGATCTACCATGAAATTATGTGGCGTTGGTGGGGTTGGCCCTTCTGTCCCAGTAACTTGGAACTCAGTGCTCCGATTGAAGTTGAGAGTGAGGTCCCCATCAAATTCCAGACCCGTAGTAGAAGTAGTAGTTATCCTCGGAGATTCCTTGGGTTTCCTTTTCGGCTTTGGCAGCGGCGGCAATAAATCCACTTCATGCGTATTATTCCTTGTAGATTTCCTCCCCAATGTCGGGGTTTTCGCCATACTGGGCCGCCAATCATCCTCGTCGGATCCGTTAGAGTCTATAATTGACATGCCACCAGTAGACTTTGCCCGCTTTGCCGGCTTCTTCTTACTGCTGGGCTTCTTCCTCCCGTCACCGTAGTCACTGACAGTCTCGTAGTCGTCTCTGTTGAATGTCGTCTTATTCTTCTTCTCGGCTGGTAGCGGCCGCTTCCGTTTGTTTGGGCGAGCGTCTTCATCCTCCTCTGACGCATCGAAAGCGTATATATCCTTCTCTAACCTCCCATCTGTAGTCTGCCGTCGCTTCGCTTTCGTCCTTTCTGATAGAGGGTCGGCAGGGACCTGTGGGGCTATCGTGCCAGTCGAGGGAAGCGCTGCATGCGCTTTATCGATCCCTTCCCGCTGGATTTCTAGAGAAAGTGTGTTAGGTCTTGGTCTTAGTCTTAGAGGTGGGCTGGGGGCAAATACCATCGGTGCTGGCGGGGTTGGTGGATTCCGAAAGGAAGGGAGCGTCAGCGGCTGGCTGTAGCTGTCGGTTTTGATGGTGCTCATCCGGGATTGCATCGTCAGATTCGGCTTCGGAGTCGTGGACGATGAAGTTGGGATTCGACATTTCTTCCTGGCGGGGAGACGCGTTGGAAGAGTTTGGAGGGGAGACGCGTTGAGATGGTGAGTGGTGGGGGCGCTAGTGGAAATCGGGAGCTTCATGATAACCATGCATGGGTGCACAAACATGGTTCCTTACTTCGTAACAGAGCTTGTAGTGGGGATTTGAATTTGAATTTTCTAAGTGGGCTAAATGGGCAAATTGAATAGCCTTGAGAATCTTTTGTGGGGTCATGCCTCAGTCTAATCTGGAGAAAAGCACAACCGTGTCTGCGTCGCGGCATTCGAGGTAGATATTTCGGCAGCAAGACAACACGAAGTTTTCAAGGGCCAATGCCTAACAAAGAAGTCCATTTCAATGAGTTTTTAACCCTACAAACGCCATTTTGGACTGTTGCCGAACGGGCCCCTATGTATAAGACCTTGATCGAAAATGGTTGGTGGAATATTCTAGGAACGGGGAGTACAGTCGAGTGAGAGGTTGTGAATCTTGCTGGTCTGATTTGTAATCGGGGTTTGAAGGGTTTTTCTTGTGCTCTCCTTTTCTTTTCCGGGGAAGATATATTATTCTTGCTTCCTCGGCCACAGGGCCATCAGCCTCATCACACAACCTTGTTCATATAGTACAGCTCGAGCTTATTCTTTACGACTCTCTCGTATTGATATAACGGGTACATGCAGTAACGCGTTAACCTAGCTAGTGTTCGTGAAGTTAACTGCTATCATATTATATGCATGTATTAAATGAACGAGGAAAAAACACAAACCAAATTATCTGATTTATAGCGCAAAAAGATCGATCGTTCTATCAAAAATCTATCTTAGGCTTGGATCTTGCATGAAATAAGTCAAAGGACCATATGCATATTATAAGGCGTTGGCCTTAAATTAGTTTTAAGGTTTTATAAGCTTAAGTCTTCTAGTTGATCCAAAGAGATCATCGAGAAGAGAGCTATAGGCTACTCTAAAACATATCTGAGATGTCCGTTGGCAAATCAACACCTGTTCGAAGGTTTGAATTTAGAGAAATACTATAACACACCCATAAAATATGAAATATCGGAGTACTAGCTGTGTCTAAATTGGGTTGAACCTGTAGATAGATATATATGGGGTGGGCATAAACGCATGAGAATAACGTTTATACCTTGCCTCATCCAACTTGGAGAGATATCTAAACTTCCACTACACTTATTATGCCAGCTTTATTGAGCAAAGAGCCGAGCTCGGGGGATATACCAATTGCGAAATCAAACCATTATTCACCTTATACGACCAGATGAGTGAACTACACATCTACAGGTGAATATTCTTCAACCCGAATGATCATTTTAATGAAACGTTTCTTTGTATCAGGTTATGCATACTTGACATTGTTCCTTCGTATTTTATGCCTAACCCAGTGCCTGCCTTCATGCACGTTAAGGCGGTTGTGTAAGAGACCAGCTACCGCGAGATATGTCCAATGTTCACAAAGCCAAATAGAACAGATATGTAATTTATTTATGCTTATAGGAAATTGTGCCATCGAGGCACATCGAGGCACCCAAAGTGTAAAGGCACGAAAATTTATACTAATGTCATACTACATGTACCTTCTCCATCTAGGGGGGGAATGCCACATGGGAGCAAGTCCCATTGGTCGAAGTCCCTAGGGGCTCAGCTACTGCAAGCTTTTACATCCCGTACTTTGAATACCCCTAGTGAAAGTCAATTTTAACTTTCCGGCATTACGGAGATACTGTAATGCGGTGAGGTGCAGTTTGGGAGAGACGTGTCACAGAGCATAACGGAATCTATCATGGTAAGCTCCCCCCAATCACATTTTGACCTTGTCCGATCCACCTGGAGTCCAAGTCCACCTCCATGGACCCAGAAACATCACAGCCCCAACCTCTGCTTTGGCCTACAGTTAGTGACTTCAGGACTCACTGAGATCTGAAAGGTATGTATGATTCTATCCCGATATGCGGTCAGATCAGGACTGCAGAGATGAGTCTTATTGCAATTAGCTATGAGTTGTTCAATGTCAAGCTCAATGACGAACGTCCACTATGTTTACTCCAATCGAACGCCAACTCATCTCGATTTGAAGAACGATGCCAGGGCCTGATGAAGCCCATAGATAGTCGAGACGCTCGATGTCCACGTGCAAACAATAAGATCAGGAAACAGATGAGATCTCATGAGCCATCACTCCATCTGTCTATCTGCCGGTGGTCTGGGCTGTTGCTAATTGAATCCGCATATTATTATCACATGGAAAATGCGTCACCATTCAACCTTCCCATTCAGAGATGTGTACAGTAGCGAAGCCGGAAATTCAGCAACAGCTCCGTTTAAATGCGATGCGAACCGCATCCCAGGGTTAGGGTTGGTTAGGATTGGCAATTCCTGTTGTGCCAAGGATGAAATCGCAGAGCACTGGACATCAGGCTCGACTCAATCACTCCTGAGCCAAAGCCAACACATACACACACACACTCCGCGCACCCACGCAGATATCATAATTCATGATGATCGAAAAACGTTTACGTATTGTTTCTAGCACATCCACAGCTTAAGGAATATGTCGGAGAAAAATTCTTCCTACCATAACACCATCACAACGGTCCGGGAAGGTCCGGTTAAAGATGCAAAGTCCTTTAAGCACTCAATTGTTTCAGGCTATAACAATCGAGTCTTGCTGATTATGATTATATCTATTCGTTGTCTTGACGCGCTGGCCATGCGGCTTGTTTAGTGCTAAGGGGAAAAACAAGTGTGCGAGTGATCACCTGTGATCAGGAGATCGCACTAAGCTGCCACGTCGATGAGGGGGAAGGCGCCTTGTGTAAAAAACAACAAACAAAGTCTTAACTCCAAGAAAGGTCCACTTCACTAAATAATAGCTGCAAGCCACTCTATGCTTATGCGTTCCTGATCCAACTCCACGATCCACTCTTCTTTATCCGTGGGAACGCTAATGTCAAGAAGATAGTAGGTTGGTTCAATGAATCTTACATCTCGATTCTTTTCTGTACCAACTTCGATAACCGCTGAGCCTAATGGCAATTCGAGTGACTTCTTGTGATGCTTTCTTACGGCCCGTCCGGGCAGATTTGGTTGCGGTGCAGTCCGGTACGAAGCAGAATGTTCCTTTTGCCAGCATGAGCACTTCGGCTCAATGACTCTAGCATCGGACACATGTCCGTGTGGAAGGACAACCTTTTCTAGTTCAAAATTGTTTTTGTCTGCGATATGGAATACGAAGAATTTCGTCTGAAGCCTGATGATATCTAATGGAATTTCGTTTCAACATTTCCCTTCTAGGGTTAGGGCGCCTATCAGTTCCTACTGAACCCGGGATGTACGTAATACCCCGAGGTTATGGATACACTAATCTTACAAATTACCTTATTTCGACTTCAAAAACTCAAAAGATATCAAACACTTGTGGGGGCGAGTTCAGTAACCATAACGAGTCATGGGGCATCACTCGCAACATGTATCAGAGCTGCACCGGGAACAATCCCGGCTCAAAATCGATCAACTTTAGGACTTTTATGACTCTTGAAACAACTCCAGTTAAACGCTATTCAGCAGAAATAGTTTCGTGCAAATTTTATTCACCAATGATACCCCGCACCTTGGTTAGTACCCCGCATATATGCGCAGGGACAACACCACCACATGGGGCCACCACCAACCATCCTGCAGGAAGTTTTTGTTTCGATGTCATGCCTATAATTTGACAAATAACGCACGAATACTATACCCGCCTGAAGAAGAAAAGTTGTTTTTATTTAGAGTGAGCCCCGCCTCAAAAAGTTCATCCGTAAAACATCTATCCAGACTTTGTATTCCACACAAAACCGCACAAAAACTTCAGAAATGAGCATCGTTGTTACCGGCGCAACCGGCGCTCTAGGCAGTTCCATCATCAAGCACCTCCACGCTTTTAACCAAAAGCTTGAGGACCCCAAAAAGATCATCGGCACATCACGCGACCTGAGGAAAGTCTCCGATGAACTCAAAGCTTTATCAGAAGTCGAGTTCCGCTACGCCGACTTTGATGATGATTCTGCCATTCTAGAGGAGGCGTTCGCAGGCGCTGAAAAGGTGTTGATCATATCGACGGACGTCTTTGATAATGAGAAGAGAATTGTGCAACACAAGAATGCCATCGATGCAGTCAAGAGAGCAGGTGTGGGAATCATTTACTACACGAGCTCTTACTATGGGGGGTTTGAGAGCAAGAGCGTGTCGGAGGTACAGCAATTGCATTTGGAAACTGAGGAGTACATCAAAAGGTAAGAGAATTTTGAGATCAGTGATCGAAAATACCTACTAATCCACGGATTTAAAACTTAATAGATCAGGGATCAACTATGTAATCCTGCGCGAGGGCATCTACGCTGAAACCTTCCCTATAATGCTCAATTGGACTCCTGATACTACCCGTGTCGTTGTTCCTGCTGACGGCCCCCTATCCTGGATCTCACGAGAAGAGCTTGCCGAAGCCAACGCACGAATACTCCTCAGCAACAGCAAAGAGTACCGAAATACTATCGCTCTTTTGACCGGTTCCTCAACTCTCACTCTTCGCCAGACTGCCGAACTCATCACCGAGGTCACTGGGAAACCATTGTCGTTCGAGGTGTCAGAGGAGGCGTATGTATTGGCGGCGCTGAAGGCTGGTCAGAATGAGAAGATTGTCAAGACCTTTGTGACTATCTACAAGGCGCTTGAGGCGGGAGAGGGCGACATTGTTGACCCGCTGTTGGAGGTCCTGCTGGAGAGGAAACCGACAGGCGCGAGGGAGAAGATAAGAGAAATACTGGAGAAGGGAAGGAAATAAATTCATGTCTTATTTTTCTTTTTCCGAATATCTCTTCTTTTTTGACAATCGATTTTTTCTAATTTCCATCTCTATATCCTGTTTTCGGACGCGCTATGCATGTAACCAATAAGTTTTGTAGTTCTTTATCCTGTAATTTCTTTCTTTTCTTTCTTTTAGTATCTCTTAGCTATAGCTTGTCAAGAAAAGCAGGTACATAATAACTATCAAGAATTCATATGAGGGTCTGAATATCTATCAACTATACTGCTACATAGTTTGCGTTGTGTGAAAAGTGGTGACACCTACAGATAGATGTACCAGATTAATCTATTCATTTACCGTCAAAAATAATCCAGATAAAAGGCGACCTTGATAAATATCAATATGATATAAATTGATTTTGCTCCAAAAGCGGTAATATTCCAGGATCTTGAACTCTATATCCGCCTGTAGACTCGTTAGAAATTCCACCGGAATTCGCTTGTTGGTGATTATTTCCACCTGGAATTGAATCCCTCTCTACCTTTATAATCTTCAAGAAAGATTCCTCGATATCTCCAATTGACATTAATGCGAAGCGCAGAATACCCGCAGCACCCGCCAAGAGGAGGGGGGTTCCGTTCACCCCACCTGACTCAGCAAAAAAGGAAAAAAAATCGCCCCTGCCCAAAAAAAATCCGCAGATACAACATCGGATGATCATCTATGGAACACCCCACTACCACCAACCAACGCCCTCAATTGGTCATGAATTGACCGCTCCCCGCTCTCCGCCCGCCTGTCACACGCCACACACATCCCTACCTCTCCCCCCCCCCGCCGCCTCCCTCCGTCATCGCCCCATAGATCCTTACAACCTTTTTGTTTGATCAACAAATGGCGCTGGAGGAGAAGATATGCAACCTTTCCTTTTCAGAGCCTCTTCTTCTCTCACTCGACCATCCTGCGGCGGTTTCACATCAACAATTGCGGTCTCTTATTCTTATAGGGCATTGTCTGATAGGGCGGACGAATGCTTGCTGAAGAATAAGTTTGGAGAGTTCTATAAACGATTTTACTCGGCTGTCTCTGGGGATGCGGGGCCGATGAAGAAGGGCGCTGGCGGTGGCGAGGGAAATAGGGCAATAGGGTCTGGTGAAGCAAGAGAGACACGTTCGAAGGCTCGGAGAAGGAGAAGGCAGAAATTGGCTTTTATTTATGAAAGTGGGCTTCTGGACGCGGGGACGAAAGGGCAATCTTCACTGCTACAACCTTCACAGTTACAGCCTTCACCGCTACAACCTCCACCAATACAACCTCCACCAATACAATCCCCGCCAATACAATCCCCGCCAATAAAACCTCCGCCGATACGACCTCCACCGATACAACTACCACCGCCTCCCCAAAATAGAAACAAATCTAGAGAATCTGAACACCAGGTAACACCTACACGTCTCCCACCGGATAAGCTAAGGTCAGTTCGCAAGCCGAGTTTTATTTCCAAGGAGGCCATTCTTAAGATTGAAAAATCTACTACGCAATTGACATCTCGATTTCTCGAGCATGATCGTCTGAGTCGAGAACTACGGGCGAAAATAAAGCAATTATCCACCCAACGGCGTCAGATCCACAAAAACGAGGATGAGGTGGTCAGAAGAAACCCTGAATCGGAGCAAGAAATTGAGGATATCAAAAAATCTTTAGAAGACGAAATGGCCTTACTGGACAAGACCCTCGTGTACATCTCTACTCACTATTATGATTTACCACCCGAATCAGAGCCCGAACCTGTTTCTGCCGCAGATATCAGTTTAGATCCTTCAAAGAGAAGCCAGAACCCAATTTTTACGCCCTACATGTCCCCCTTCCCAAATTATTCCTCAAGTCCTTATAATAGTACTCTCAATCAATCCCTTTTGCGCTTACTAGGCACCCGCCCTCCTCCCCCGGCGCTCATCGCGAGAATCTGCTATAACCTGCTTAATTCTCCACATCCCCCAAACGTACAGACTTACAACATTCTCATTGAACGACTCACACGTGTCCGCAATGGCTCTCTCGCTCACATCGTGTTTCGAAATATGCTTGAAGGAGGCCTCGGCCCTGGAGGAAAACCCAACGAAGACACAGTGGTTCGCATGATCAATCTCTGCGTCAAAACCGCCGATCGGGAAGGGTTCGAGCGTATCGCCAAAATCACGAGTGAGAGAAATATGGCTCGGTGGTGGGGCTTTGGGAAAAACAGAACCGCGAAAACTAGAGAGCAGAAGAGACGGGGAAAGTTGACTCTGGAGGCGTTGATTCATGGCGCTGCCCGTTTCGGAAAGGCGCAACAGGTAAGGGTTTATACACGTGCAATGTCGAGGGAATGCCCGGATGATCCGAAACCAAGTATCCCGTTGTATACATCTATTATGCGAATGTGGAGGGAAATGAAAGAGTGGGACCGAGGACTGCGTTGTTGGAGGGATATCATGAGGCGGGATAGAGAGTGGAACCGCCACGGACTAGGCATGCCTGCGGATATCAGGGCTTTTCGCGAAATGTTGAGATTGTGTCGGGTTTGCAATAAGGAGGAAATTCGCAATGGGATAATCCGGTTGGCCCTCGACAGGGGATTTGAAGAGTCAGAGTTACTGGGCCGCCTCGATAAGACTAAGGGACTGTGGGTTAGGAACACCAACAAAACACCACATATTAGGGGTATGAGGAGGGAAACGAAGAGGGATGATGTCGAAATTCTCGGTTCATTAGAGGAAGGGTGGGAGGATTTGGAACCGGTGAAAAAACTCGATGCCCATAGTGCCAGTTCGCGCTCGTCGGATCGTGTGAATTCTCGGGTTTGGCACGACATTCTATCTCGGCGTATGCGCGAGGTTCGAGATGATCGCTTTGTTGGTAGAAACCTGAAAGACCAACTTAAGGAACACCACCGAAAACGAGAAGAAAGGCGGGAGGCTTTGAAGGGGAGGTCCTTTCAGGATCAACACGACAGTTCAAGCAAAGCGGGACTGGAGGGATAGATCAAAGTAGATCTGTTGTTTGAGGGGGAGGAGGTTTGGAGAAGAAAGAGATAAAGAACACCTAAGAAGGATAATCCGAATCCGAAAACTAGCGCCTAAGGTTTAAAGGAGGGGGAGAAGGAAATTGAGGTTGAGGAGAAGAGGAAGTTGAGGTTTAAGGAGAAATCGATTGGGCGTGGTGGGAAATTTATAATGTGAAAGGTAGGAATAAACATCCCTATCAAGTTTGGAGGAAAGAAAGGTCAGTCAAATGTAAGTAAATTAAGAAAAATGCGTGTATGGATGTATATATGGCGGTGTTTTGTTAGAGGTTTGCATTGGGGGCCGGTTTGGGTGTTACTTTTTTATTTTTAAAGCATTTTAGAAGATGGCTTTTCCTTCTGGTTTTTGATTTGGTTTCATAATTGTATCGCCAATTTCCTTCAGTTGGAGGCAAGCAAGTGGGCTGGAGTTGGTGTTTGAAATGAAGTTTATATCCTTGTATAATTAGCATGTTGGTCCTGAGGTATATCGGCGGGTGGGAGAGGTAAGGGCCTGTCTAGTTACTGTCTAGTACTGTAGTGTACTTGATACTGGGTGTGGGAGTAATGCAATGAACCGTGAGAGACGGATAGCAAGATGGTCATTTCCCCCCACTCTTGACCCCAAAGGGTTAATATTCGTCCAGATATAGATGGCCCTTGTACCCTCCAAGTCCCCTTTCTAGATCGAATTGAGTTCCGAAGATGAGATTTTTTACTGTAGGATAACTATGCGGCGCAAGGCTACTAATGGAGTTTCTAAACTCAGTCGATGGGTTTCGACAGATCCCACATGTACCATGTTTTCCACAGTGTCCTCATTCCTCCACCGTTTCCTCCACGGTGTTCCTGGAGTGCCCATTTCCCTAGCTTACTCAATAGTAAGAGAACGCATCAGATGAGCAAAGTATTTGAGCGTGATAGACCTAGCTACGCGGCCTAATAGGCCTTAGTTCCAAGATAACCAAGTCATTATGATACAGCTATCATACTACTAAATTATTCGACTAGGATATATGTATATATCTCTACGCAAGCTTATCGATTCCTTGCATGGTTTGGTGGTGATTTCGAAGAGTCTAAAGAGTTTGTGTTCATACGTAGCTGACGCTTTATATCAGGGGCAGGTGGCTTCGATCGTGGCGGCCCTTTTAATAAGAATTCGAACCTGCGCGTGAGGTAATTTGGAGTTGGTAACAATTTTGTTGATTGATCAGCGGAGTAAGCCCACGTTGGGGGGGGGGGGGGGGGGTTGGTGAGGGGATACATGTATTTATTTAAGAGCGGTTTGGCTGTAAGCTTGGCCTACGTAAACACATAGCCCTTAACATAAAATTACGTGTCCGTATTTGGTATGAAGCATGCCGTCAGTATGAGTCGACAACGGTACTATTTGAACAGTTCTTCTATGGGATCTAGTATTAAGGCTCGATCCGGCATTATTATTACACCTGAGAATATTACTATTTTGTTATTATTCACGCAGGAGTCTATTCCCTTTCCGATCTTGGTACTATAATTATTAATAACCCCAGACTTCAATCTATCTTCTAGTATAGCCTTAGACTGTTCTTGACTTGGTAGTAGGCGGTGTGAAGCTTCCAATTTTTTAACTGCCTTCGCAATATTGCGCACGCACGAGTATTTTACCACGAAACTTTAGAATTCAGCTTTAAATTTGGCTGGTTATATATTTTCTGGGATGGACTGTTAGTATGTTTGGAGATTAAGCCTTGAATTGAATAACGTGTGACTGTCAGAACAGAATCCACTTTTGAACATTTATCTAACTAGTACTGCAGGCCGCTAGGAGCAAACCAAAGCATTCCATCCACTATGCGATGTCTGAATAAAACAGAAGCATAAACGGATACTGATGAGAATCATGATTTATCACTCAGTGCCACCGCACGGACCCAGCCTTGAGCCGCGAGTGATGGGGTGTGTCGTGGTTGGAGATACCGGAACGCGGGAACAGCGTTGCCCCTATTCCTGCGGGGGTCGATTACTTACGATCATGGGGGGGGATTGGAGTGTGAATTGGGCGTGTTTGGGGTGGTATTCTCATGAATGGAGGACTGTGTTTCAACATACCTCAGATCCCGTGTCCTTCATCATCTCCTCCCCCCCTCTCTCTCCACAATATCGCCCTCCTTATTGTAATTTGAAGCTTCTACTCCACGGGGCACATGTAGGTAGCCTTCCCGCCTGGAGAGACGACACATGACACATGAGTGATCGCGCATGACTGTCACAGAAAAATAAAAAACTTGGCTACTTATGTCAACAGCAACCGATCGCGGGCTTATGGAGGAGTAGAAAGTCTGTGCGTGCGTACGTGAAACCATAGGCGACATCGGGATAACCAACTATTCTGAATGCCGAGACATCCGAGTGAGGGGGAGTGGAGTCAAGACATACGGTGGTAGTTGTGTGTGGTTTTGGGGGTGTTTGTTCAAGTGGTGCTGAAGTAAGATGTCGGAGACGCTGGGTGAGTAGTCTAGAGTTTCTGCAGTTCACTGCACTCATACATCATACATGGAGCTTTAGGTAATCGATTGGTGGTGTTTTATTTGTTTCGTTCAAGATGATCTTGCGTGGGGAATTAATTGCACTTCTTATGACCCCTCAGCCTTACTTGATCGGCAGAATGTGGCTTTTTTGCTAGTCTGGGGTGGGTTGGGGGGCCTAAAGATAGATCTAGAAGGAGCGGGAAGTGAGAACTATGGCAGTTAGTTGTTTCGCAGTGTGGTTTACTGCATATCATTATTATTCGGGGGGGGGACATGTATGTATCTTTTTACTCCCTTGCTCACTCGGCCCTATCCTCCGCTTGAGAATTTCAGGGTTGCTCCGGGGGGGTTGGTTGAGGCGGAAAGCAAGAAGCTAGATCTAGCTAGTTTGACGTATCAACATCATGCTGCGCAGTTATGTAGTAAGTATTGCAATTACGAAAAAAATTGTTTCAATAACGAAAACCAAATTATGAAAACAACACAAGTCACTTCGAATCTCTAACAGAATCTTGATCTTATATGAGTTTGTGTTGCGGCAAGCGCGGTTTATGAATATGGGGCCAGGGCTGGCGACCTCTCACCCTTTCAAAATGCGCATGTACCACACTGGAAGCAGCGAGTGAGCGCCGTGTGAGGCTGGGGCTGCCTTCTGCCGGGAGCAAGTGTATGAATGAGTGAGAAAGTGAGTGACCGGGAATGACGCGTGGCTCGTTCCAAAAACAACATTTTACTTCTCGTTTTTCCCTTCCACCAGGCAGGTAGGCCCCACTTACATAAGCCTCTTTTTTCGCTCCTCCCCCCCCCAGTGCGCTTTCCACTTCCTCCACCCCCTCCACCCCCCCAAAGCTTTCCTCGCCTAAGCCTGATGGGGTTTCTGGTCAGCCCATCCATACAATACACGTCCACACACACCCTCGCACTCGGCATTTCAGGGCTTGCTTTCTCTTCGCTCGCTCTCTCACTCGAAGCATCATCTCTCACTCTTCTTTCTTCCCTCCTCCTTCACCCTCCCTCACTCACCTTCTTTACGCCGCCCCAAAATTCTGCCTTCTCAACCAACCCGCCCCCAACCCACACCCACATCCCACCATACCTCATTCTAACACACACACACACACCCCGTTACTACTATCTTTCCCGTTTATCTCTCTAGCCCATACCTAAATACTTCTCCCCTCCACTCATCCCCCCCCCCTCCCACATCTCATCACCCACCCCCCCTCCCCACTTCTTCTTCACCAACCCTCACTCACACCTGCCCCAACCACAAACCAGTTAGCAGGTATGGACTTGGACGTCGACCCAACTCCTCCCACCACCACTACCACCACAACCACAACTACCACAACTGTAGCAGCAACAACAACTGCATCAAATACCATGGATAACTCCACCACCGCCATGGATATTGATGTCAAGCCTCAACAGGAACCAACTCCTCTTCCCCAGCCTGTTCCTGTCCCTGTCCCTATCGCTGCACCCCAGCCTATGACAGACTCAAATAATCCAGCACCTCAGGCCCCTTTGCTGGTGGCCGCCGCTGAAGAGTCTTCTGCTCCGGCTCCCGTGGCGCCGTTGCCTTCTCTTTCTCTGTTGCCGTCTCGGCCCTCAACTCCGAGTGGTGATCCTGTGTTAGCGGACCCTGCGGACACCGCTTATCACTCGCCCACCGCGTCAGAGTACGAACCTGACGAAAACTCCCCCCCTCCTCGTCCCCCCATTAGATCTAAAACTATACCAAAGACTCCAAAGACACCGAAGAATAAAATCAACCGTGTCGCGACTGGCCGTGTTGAGAAATCTTCCTCTCCTGGTGGCAGTTCGTCGGTTGGTACCACCACTCTCAAATGTCCTGTCAGAGGGTGTGGTCAAACCTTCACTGGGCGGAACCCCCGCCAGAGTCTCTGGCACCACCTCAAGTATTACGCGACGCGTGGGTTGCCCGACAAGGAGGAATTCGAGAAGGCTCATGGAGAAGCTCATTCTTTGATGAAAGAAGAAGCCGGTTAGTAACTCCTACATGATTTTACTGCTAATAAAAAAAAAATTGTACTGATGTCATTGCTACAGAACCAAAGGGTACCCCGGTGGAGCGTAACCGAATTTCCAGCTCCGACTACCGCAAGAAGAACCCCGAGCGGGCAAAGACCTCCGCCAGGCTTTCCAACTTCCGCGCGCGCGCCAGGAAAAAGGGACTCACCAACGACAAGGAGATCGAAGAAAAGGTCAACATGTGGGAAAAGGAGTGGCAAGAGAAGCAGGCGAAGGAAGCTAGCGAGGTATGTTTCAATGCGCTTTCTATCATTATCTACCTATGTACTCACTAACAATTTTGTAGTACTTCTCTGGCATCCTCCTCTCTGCCTTTGAATAACCTCAGCAGGGAAGTAAAATAAAAAGTAAAAAAAAAAAAGAAACCTCCGATGAAAGAACGAATCATCGAAGAATCAGTAATAATCTCCTTCAAGGCTTCGTTTCACGTCGGGTAGGGACTGGTTGTAAATACTTGGAGTACTGTGTTTTTTCTGTTCTCTTTTTGTCATTGTTTCTATTTTTTTTCATCTTTCCTTTTTTGCTGTGTTGCAACCACACACCTGATGTGTAACTTGTCATCATTGCAATAACGATCTTTTCTCTGTCCTTCATTGTTTTATTCATCTTCTCTTCTTTATTTCTCTTCTTTATTCTTCTCTTTCTCTTTTTCTCTGTCTCCTTCTCTCTACATTTGTCCGAGTTTTACGTATACAGTGGCCAGCACACAGTACTACTGCACTCTCGTTTAGATAAAAACAAAAAACGGCAGCCCCGAAGGTCAGTTTTGGAAGAAAAAAAGACATTGGGACCTGAATTCGCCACCACTTGTTTTTATTCCTCTTTCATCTTCCCTTTTCCTTTTTTATTTATATGAGCGGAGGAACGGAAGGAACGGGAAGTTTTTATGGTATGGAGGGGGGCGTCATTTTGACGCCCCCTCAATACTAGCCCCCCCCCCCCCCCCGGGGGTGGATTTTGTCATTATTATTTTTCCTGGAGAACTTTGGGGTGAGGTCGGTGTTTGGGCGCGGGGGCGGGGCGAAGGGGACGGGGGGGCGAGATGGGGAGGGGGATGAAAAGCGGGTAGTGGGGGGCAGGCGGGGGTTAGAGATTGATTGATTGAGAAATGCTTATTTATATTATGAATCCGCAATTGATAAATTATGAAGAAACGCACTACTCCCCAGCTAGCCGCCATCAATTGTGAAGTTGCAAGCAAAGACGGGGTGGACCCTTCACCTGGGGTGGGGGGGGGCCTCCGAGTATGAACCCATGACGCGAGTATTGAGCTGTGACGCGGGAGGACATGGAAAATCACTCGCGTGGGTGATGGCGTGTGAAGCAGCTGGCCGGCCGAGTGATAGCGGTGGAAAAGATGGAAAAAGTGATTTTTGAGGGCGGTAAGTGAGGTAGTGGGTGTGTTGTTGGTTGATGGGTTCTTTGTTTGGAAATTGGCTTTGTCGAGATGACAGGTTTCTGTTTTTGTTCTGTTTTGGGTTTTGGGTTGTAGGGGTGGTGTGTGGTGTGTGGGGGGTGGGTGGTTGAGCCGCATCGGTTTTTTTTTTTTTTTTATCTAGCCGTGTCTGTATACTATCGTATCAAGTTGTTAAACGAGCCCGAGTTACCTACCTACCCGCCACGGCGTCGACAGTATGGGTCGATACAAGCAGCCGTGATAGCAGAGCCACTCGTCACATCAGTATCCCCTGCGCATGTCGTTTAAACGATCGATCGAGGAAAAAGATTGATTAGGGGGGCTGGGGGTCCGGCGTGTGAGATTACTCCACATAGTCATAGTCGTCTCAGCAGGTATGTAGGATGTGACCGTTGTTTATCTGTCCGACGGGAGGGCCGGGGTTGAGGAGGCGAGTGATGACGTGTGACTCAGTGTCAAGTTTTCTTGTTTGTTGGGGGGTACGTTGTGGTTGGTGGTAGGGAGTGGGAGTGGGTACTGGGGAGGGTGGAGGAAAGTTGTGGTGGTGGGGTTGTGGTGGCTTTGGTATTGGTGTGGAGTGGTATTGGTGTGGTTCGAGGTGCAGAGCGAGGGTGAGGAGACATTCGGAGCTCCATGGTTTAATGGAGGACGGACACTAGATAGAGCGCTGCTTGCATGTGCTTGTTGTAATGGAAGAATGTAAATGTAGACGGGGTAGATGTGGTGCTTGTATTTAGTTCTGGTGTACTAGTTACAGATTCCAATCCAGAGACCGTCCATCCACCCACTCAGAAAAACGGGAGCACCTGAAGTCCATGTAGCTAGAGGTTCCACTGCCCAGAAGATAACTCTGTTAGCTTCTTTCGAATCTAGAGTGGGTGGTCGACTTAACCCAAGCTGTTTTACGGGGCGGGGCGCGGGCGGATGTTTCGAGCTCTTGGATAGCTGTTTAGCTGTGTGCACAGTGCTGCTTCGTCGGGGGGGAGTATCTTTATCGATTAGCAGACCCCACTCACTGCACGCCCACCTGTCCACTCCCCCCTCCACCGACCGAGTGACCCCCCATGCGCCAAGCCACACAACCCCCCCCCCCCACCACCTATATAGCTACCTCCTCCACCACCACCACAGCTCCCCACCAAACCAACCCCCCACAACCATGACGCCCCCAATCCTCCAAACCTCCGCGCACGTCAAATACATCCAAACCCTCGACACGCACTCAGACCGCCTCGACTACCACCTCACCACGCACCTCCGCCTCTCGGGCGTCTACTGGGGCCTCACGGCCCTCCACCTCCTCCGCCACCCCACGGCCCTCCCCCGTCCCGCCACCATCGCCTTCGTCCTCTCCTGCCAGCACCCCTCAGGCGGCTTCGGCGCCTCCCCCGCCCACGACCCGCACCTCCTGTACACGCTCTCCGCCATCCAGATCCTCGCCACCGTCGACGCCCTCGACGCCCTCGACGCCGACAAAACAGTGCGCTACATCGCAGCCCGCCAGACGCCCGACGGCTGCTTCACGGGCGACGAGTGGGGCGAGAAGGACACACGCTTCATCTACTGCGCGCTCAACGCGCTGAGCCTGCTGCGCCGCCTGGACGCCGTGGATGTGGATGCGGCGATGGCGTACGTGATGCGGTGCCGCAACCCCGATGGCGGCTTCGGCATGGCGCCGCAGGCCGAGTCGCACGCGGGGCAGATCTTCACGTGTCTTGGTGCTCTGCGGATCGGCGGGGCGCTGGAGCGGCTGATGTCGCAGGACCAGATCAATGTGCTGGGCGACTGGCTGTGTGAGCGGCAGCTGCCGAGCGGGGGGCTGAATGGGCGGCCCGAGAAGCTGGAGGACGTGTGTTATTCGTGGTGGGTTGTGAGTAGCCTTGCGATGGTGGGGCGGGTGGGGTGGGTGGATGGGGGGCGGCTGGAGGCGTTTATATTGGGGTGTCAGGATGTGGAGGGGGGTGGGTTTGCGGATAGGGCCGGGGATGTGGCGGATGTGTTTCATACGGTGTTTGGGGTGGCGGGGCTGAGTTTGTTGGGGTATGAGGGGTTGGAGGAGGTGGATCCGGTGTATTGTATGCCGAGGGAGGTGACGAGGAGGGTGTTGGGGAAGTAGGGGGTGCTCTGGAGCTGTAGCTAGATTGTGGCTGGAATAAATATACGGATTAGCATTGGCTCCTGCTCTTCTCTTCTGGTGCCTCGTGGATAGCAAATAAACACACATAAACAACCACATCTACCTCCCATTCACCACCCCCAGAACCCAATCATTACCCCCCGCAAACCCTCCAATCAGCCCACCCGCAAATCCCAATCAAGAATTCCAACCACTATCCAAACACAGCCAGAGCACTCCCTTCCCACTCCATCGTAGCATACACCCACCACCACGACGCCCTCCAGGACCCAAAAACAGCTACCCACACCCATCACCTGCATGCACCACAGCTCCGAGTCGTAGTACACGATATATCCGCAAGATCTATACCCCCACCAACACAATCCCAACTACAACCTCCGCCCCATGCCGCCGGCCGAAGTGCAGCATTCTAGCCGGGTGGAGGCGTATATATCAAGACGCACCTGTACAGCCAATGACCCTGAAGCCTGCCTGGTATACAGTGTGCATACATCTAGATCTATCCTGCTTCGCAATTGTCATTATATTAGCTGGTGTAGCACTCCTTGAAGAGGGTTGCAATCGGGGTGGGGGGTACAGCCTACGTACCTAACATTACATATGTGTAGAGATCGAGAGAGCTTTTTGTGAGCTTTTGGGGGGGGGGGGGGGTGAGTTATTCTTACGCTGGAGCTGGTTAGCGCCTACTCTTCTCTAGCTAGCTTCTGGAAGTCGTGGGTGCCAGATAAACTTACATATAAACGGCCACACCTGCCTCCATTTATGGGCCCGGCCGCAAGGACTCAAACTAACCCAACCAGAACCCTCCGCAAAGTTCCAAATCCTTAGCCAAAGAGTTACAGCACTACTCCCACTCTAGGTGGGCTTTGGTGTACGCCCACGCCGCCCACTCGAACGCTCAACCCCAGAACCAGAACCAGAATCAAAAGACTGGACACACATATCCACATGCACGCCCATCAATTGCCTACACCACAGCTAGCTATACTCCAATAGAGCTAGCACACCATCAACTGAGGCCGGTCGAGACCTATGATCCTATGTGTGCATATATATTCCCACTGCGCCGGCCGGTCGAAGTGTGAAGTAGGTGCAGAATGTAGGATTGTGGCCGGCCGACCGGGTGTACCTTAGGCTGGGTGTACCTTAGGCCATTAATTATATATATAGCGAGTAGCATACTGGTTCGCAATTATTGTTAGCGGACTGCAGTGTGCTTGGAAGATTGGGGGGAGGGCTGACCTTATGGTACTGTAGTGTGGAGCGAGCGAGTGATTTTTGGTGAGCTAGTTAGCTATTTGTTGCAGCTTGATCTGTAGCTACGTACATCAGATGTGATGGCGGCGAGGCCGGATAGCTAGGGCGGCAGCGCGGAATTGGTTGATCGACCATAGATTGGGAGTTATTAATTGGCCGAAATATACATAGACATAACATGTAGCTGGTACGCATCGTGTAGGTACATCTACATCTACTGCAGAGGTACCAGCCGTGGGTTATTTTATTGGTGGTAACCCGGCGCAGTGACATTTCAGTGTATCACGTTTCCGGCCCCTCCACCTTCTCCAACACACTACAAGTTCATGATCAGTCCTACAGACACAACATGCCCACCTTCTCCAACATACACACTGCACACTACACACTACAACTCCAGCCCTACAGCTGCAGATATCGATCGAAATCAACAGCTGACATCTAAACGCCCCCCAGCCCACCCCACCGCCCACCGCAATTCCAATGCAAGCTTCACACCCCACCCACCAAATCCCCGCACCGCCGCACCAGGGTCAATGACAAAACCGCACCATTTCCCACCCTACGTATCGACAGGGTGACGAGGTGCGTGTGCCGTGTCAATGACTGGTGCTACGCTATTTAGTGGAAGACAGGCTAGCTGGGGTGTACTACATGTAGTAAGCCGTGTCAATGATCTGGGTGCTGGAATTCAAGAAGGGGCTAGTAGTTACGGGAAGAGGGCTGGCCGGTGGGTATGGGCTAGGGTGAGGTGGGGCGGATGGCAGGCGGGGGGCTTGGGAGTGTGTTATGTGAGCGGTGGCGGGGTGTGTTTTTGGTGTCTCGCGCCAGGAGGGGGGCTCTGTGTCGGAGGGAGGGGCCACTGGGTAGGAGGCTTTGCGTCTGTGAGGGTGCGCTTCCTCTCGGTGTCACAGCGGGGTGGGAGAGGACAAAAAGCCCGGGTTGGAGCTGGAAGCGGAAGGAAATGGTTTTCTTTTTCTTGCGCTCAAATCTGGCTATCCGAAATACACATTGCAGACGGAGGATGACCGACTTTCGTTCTACTTCCCTTCCTCGTTTTATTCACGAGACTGTGGTAGTGAGAGCTGTCTTTGTTTGGAAACTTGCGTTGGTAGGTTTTCTAAGCTCCCTGGTCGATCTTTATAATGCATCCCCACTCGATCTGCCCTAACCATTTATACCTACCCATTACTTACTTCCTAGATGATTCACAGTCAAAAACCTACGCAACATCAGAGCTTCTTCTGGCAGCCCGATCAGCCCAGAGGATGGGAAGTGGGGCAGTTATGACAATTAAAAGGGCTGGGAAAAGCGGAGCACGAGCTACAAATATCCACCATGCTTGGACTTGACTACAAGCCGGTATTTGGACTAATGGGTGGATGAAAAACTCCACTATGGACTACACTGGCGGGTCTGTGATATGAGCAGAGGGATACTCTACTTTTGGAGGGACACCCCACTTCTAGAGTAGAGGGGTACTCTACTTTCAGAGGGACATCCCACGTCTAGAAGGACTACTGTATAAGCCACTGGGCGGGGGTCGACTCTCTACATATGCGCATGCGCAGGTACAACCACAGCACTCAAAGCTCAGATATGCCCGCAGCGACCTAAACCCTTCCCTCCGCTCGTGGTACTAGTACCCACAGCTGCCAGCCCAGTATTTCCTTTTACACGAGCAGCTACAGCGGGATGGCGAAGCTCCGGTCTCCCGATGTTTATCTTTCTACCTCAAGGCAGAGAAGACCAGGCGCCGCCAAAAATAACTTCAAAGTGCCTCCTCCCACAGCGTCTAGAGCGATATTGGCGATTCCGCATCCTTCCCTTCAATATTTTTTCTTGCACCAACTGCCAATGACACATGGGGCGGTACTTTGGGAAGAGGGGGCTCTGTGATGACGAGGGTCGCCAGTGATGTTACTCGTAATGGCGAGTGATTGGTAGTGAAGCAGAAGCGAAGGAATAGTAATAACCGGAATCAAGGTTAGTGCGTACGGGAGGGAAAGCTAGTCTACACACCGTATCTAACCTGTTTGAGCAGGATCTACTTTTCAAGATGTTACTAGCTGTGATGACGTATTTGTTACCGCCTATGTATTTTCTACCGCTCCCCCCCCCTCTCCCCCGGGGATCATGGGGCGTCACTCGGACGGCACAGCTGCCGTCACAGAAGCTACCCCACACATGTGCTTGATAACTAAGTTGGGAAGACATTGAGCGGGGTAATTAGTGGCGGGCACGAGCTGAGCTGGCTCGAACCCTGAGCTCGAGCCCATATCCAAAAGCTGGAGCCTAGGCTCGAGCCTAGCGAAACATTAGTAATCGTTCGAGGAGGCCAGAGCGTGGTGTTTTATATGAGAATATATCCCCTATTATTCATCTTGAATACGAACTCTATATGCCGACTTACTGTAAGGTCTATTTTTAGGTATAAACAAGAGAGCTCGAGCCTGAGCTCGAGCCTTCGTCTCCACAATCTGAGCTAGCTCGAGTCATACCTCGGGCTTGTCTCGAGTTGGCTCGCGTGCTCATTACTAGGGGTAATCCTTTTTGTGGGAGTCTACTGGTTGAAGGGCTCCTGGATCCTCAGATAGGCTGGGTAATCCAACTTAGTCTGAACTGCCGTGGTGATGACTGGGAGGCCACTTAAGGCTAAGTAAAAAGCAATACGAGGTACATGTAAGTAATAATAGACTGCTTCTATTCTTTACATGTATCTTGGTTCGTTAGTACCACTTTAGAGATGGTCATCACAAATTGCTTGGCTGCGCATGTGCGAGTGATCATATATGATCCAAAGTACTACCTTACTGACTTTTTAGGCCATGGAGGTGCGACTGTGCGACTCGAGTAAGAATGAACTGTATCTAGCATGTATCAGTGTTATAGACTTATTTATGTCATTATTTGAGCAGACTAAGGTCATAACTAAATGGGTGTATGTTAAAATTAGTTGAGTTACGATATAAAATGGATTATAGTTAATTTAAGAGGGTTTCTCTCGACATTACGAGTAGTCTAGTGATGGCAGGTGGGCGTCGATAATCCTATTTGCTGTTTTATCTTGCATTAAAAGCTCTCCAGAGCACGCTCTCGTTAGAAATAGAGACCATCTACGAGATTTCAAGAATGAAAACACACTCTCGGTCCGTGTTTACTAGTTTCTAGGCTTTGGAACTCGGCCTATTACCACTCTCTTCTCCGTAATTTACTATGCCAAGGGCGATGCCTCGAGCGTCGAAAGTTTCGATGGCATACTCATTAAAGATTTACCGAGTCAATGATACAATACCGGGTTTTTGTCGAAACATCTCCTGTTTTCAAGTTATTTACTCCAAGTATTCAAACCTGGCGATCCGAGCAACCTGTGAACATCAATATCATATCAAGATGAAATGCCCACACCTACCTCTTTCAAGCCCCCGCATCAACATTCACTATATATCCCACGAACAACTAACCCCAAGACCTACCAAACCTCATCCCAAATTATTCCAAAACGCGTCTTAACTGTTATTAAAACATACCCAATTAAGGATATATCAAAAACCCAGCGCAACCTCCACACCCCCCACACCGCCCACAATGCTCCACACTCTCCAAGCCGCCCTCCACAAACTCCCCACCCTCTCCACCCTCCTCCACGCCCTTCCAGAACCCCCCACCGCCCTCCATCCCCTATACCCCACCTACCCCCAAAACCTCCTCACCCTCATTACATCCCACCACAACGAGCTCCTAGCAAAATTCGAAACCCTCAAAACAGCCGTAATGGACGCCGTTTCTCCTCCTCCACCTGCATCGGCGGCAGCAGCGGCGGCGGGGGGAGCAACGCTATCACTAACAGACGACATTATCGACAACGCCATATCTGCCCTGCAGGGTCTCCAGACTATCACAGAGACACAGGAAACAATAGCACATCTGTACCCCAGCGCACACCAGCCCCACCTTGGCGAGGCCACAAAGCTCGTCTCATCCTTCATCGCTAGTGCCGCCCAGCTACGCAGCCACTGCATGCGTGAGAAGGACCTGTTGGTGCCTGGCTGTATCGACTGGTACACCGCTCAGGCAGGGGCCATCTATGCGGTGACACCGCGGCCGCGGGAGCTAACGTTCCGGCTACATGGGCTTGCGCGGGCGCTGGAGGAGCTGTGTTGGTGTGAGGGTGACGAGGAATGTGTGCATTCGATCATCGGGCAGGAGAAGGAAGGGCCAGAGGTTATTGTGGTGTCGGTGGTACATCCGGGGGCGGGATGGGGTGATGTGAGGAGGTGTTTAGTGGCAGGGATTAAGGCGGTGACGAGGCTGGAGGGGGAGGTGTTTGGCGTTGTTGGTGAGGCGGTGGTGGTGGGGAGGTGGGGTGGGGGTGTGATTGATGAGGAGGTGTGGGGGAGGGAGTGGAGGGATTTGGATGTAGTGGATGTGTTTTGGCCTGGTGAAGATGAAGAGGACGAGGATGATGGTGATGATGGTGAGTATTTGATGGTTTCTGGAAGCTCGATGGCGAGTGGTGTTCGTGGTGCGAGTCTGAGAAGTTCCAGCAGTAAGGACATGTGGGGGATCCATTACAAAACATCCCCTGTGAGTGAGAAGAAGTCTCCCACGTCAGGCAAAGGTAGTTTTAAGTATAGGCTTACTACTTCTTTAGTTGATGGTAGTGTCAAGTCTGAGCCTACTCCTTCGTCAGTCAACAGTAGTGTCAAGCCTAGGCCTACTCTTTCTTCACTTGATGATGTTTTCAAGCCTGAAACTACTCCTCTTTCAGTCAGTAATAGTGTCAAGCCTGAGCCTGCTCTTTCCTCTAAGGCTTCAAGCCGCTCCGCTGAGAGTATTCCGGGTATACTCAAGTCCAGGACTTCGAGCACTACGAAGAGTACTGGTAGCGGTTGTACTGTCCACTTCGCCAGCGCAACTTCTTCTCCTTCCGAAACGGTTCAAGAAAGAGATAATCATCTTCGTAGGCGTGTTGGTAGTGCCTCCTTAAGGGCTCCTAGTTTTCTCTCCCCGATGAAAGATGACAATAAGTCTCAAGCGGGCACAGTAACTCATCCGTACCTCAAGCGTGGGTCTGGTATGAATAGGAAGTCAATGTCGGCACTTAAGTAGGTGAGTGTTGTGATAGGGAGCAGTTTTGTTGTTTGTTTTTGTTGTTGTTTGTTGTTGTTGTTTTTAACACGCAGCCCTATGGCTATGGTAATGATAGGGAGCAGTTGATTATATATGATAGAAGAAAAAATGATTTTCTTGGAAAATAAACAGGTGAAACCTGCCTGATGCTTATCTTTAACAATATTATAGCATTCATATTAATATTTTCCAAGTTACGAATATATGAGTGGGACCCTGTGAAAATCACCCATGATCATTGACCCCTCCGCCACCTGTGGCATGACCCCCCCTGTTCGTCAACGGCGCCTAAAAGCAGCGATTCGTGTCCCCGCTCTCTCTTTTTCGTTATTCGGATCACGAGGTATCCTTCCCCGAAGTTTACTATCAAACTCTCATAAAAATCACTTTCCGCTCTTACCCCCCCCCCCCCCCGCGAAAGGAAGTTGCCATTATTGAATATTCTGTAAGCGCCTTTAGTTCAAAAAAATAAGTACCAAAGTAGAATACCCCACCTCCCCTTTCCCCTCCTAGATAGACCCTTCCTCCCATTGTGATGTCACTGTTTCAGTACACCCCCTCCGCTCAACTGATGATGCTTGATCCAGGTGAAAATCCTCAAGGTGATGTTGCGCCATGGGTTTGGTGATCACACACACACACACACACACAGGTTGTCTCGGGATAAGATTCCCGCACGTGCTCATAGGATGAGTGGTCCAGGTGACACGTGCTGACACCCATTACGAAGAAATCCCTGGAAGGGACGCTCCTGTCCCTGCCTGTTGTCAGATAAGGCGAGGGGTCTGGCTCTACCGGGTATAGATGGAGATTCAAAGATCAAAGGGCGGTTTTCAAATGTCTTGAAACAGCTCTTTGCGTGGAACTAGGGGGATATCAAAATGCTTGACCAGTTGTGTGATTAGGCCCTCCACCCCGTTAAGATGGAGATGGTGGTGGATATATGTATCTCGCATAAGTCGAAACTGAAATAGCGGTTTGGGAATCGAGACTACGCTTTTTCGCAATAAGAAAGATCGAAGCTACGGCCAGTAGTGCCCGTTGGGTTCCGCCACGACGACTTTAACGCCCGGCGAGAGTAGAGTAGATCAGGACGCCGAGTGCCTTACATGCTCATGTAGTCCTCTCAAGCTCAGCTTGGTCGAATGTGACGGATCATCGCATGGGTATCTGATATGTAGAAGCAGAGATGTTTATGCTGAAAAAGAAAAATAGTGATCGGGGAAAAAGAAAATAAAAATGCCCCACCAAGGTAAGGTTGCCTACATACATGGATCTTAGGAAAAAGTCGGGATGAACCCTTTGGGGTAAAAAAATAAAAAAATATGTTTGCTCTTTATCTATGTATCGCGCAGGCCATGACAACATTTATCGCAACTCTTCTTCACAACAGCGGTGGTCAACCAACTAGGTACATACCTTCGTATCGGCGCATCTTAGGAACTTAAGAGTCATCCCAAACCAATGCCCCAAAATAACTCTCTACCAGCGCTCCAGGGACAGAATAAGCTAACACCCCCGCCTATGACGTCGGTCCCGTTCTCGTGGTTTGATCCTCATCGTCTCCAAGTCCAAACGCGGCCTGGTCGTCAACAAAGGATTGTCCATGTCTGGTCCATATGCGGATAGTTACAGGCCTTACCCAGATTCACATGGACGGTTTGTTGCAGCCGCGATGATTTCCCTCCCCCCCTCCTCCTCACAACATGGTAAATTTATGGCTATCTATGGATCTCTATGAAACTGGGAAAAAAACCTCTACGAGTGACGCCCTATGAACCACAGTCGTTGCGCGCAAGCAAACATATCCTAAAGTTTTTTTTCTCTATTCCTAACACTAGAGAAAGGAGTAAAAGAAATCGACCAAAGGGGGGGAGTATTGAAGACGCAAAAGCAACGCTTAAACAAACAATCAAACAATAGGCAATACAGAGTAGAAATGACCCGCCCCCCATACATAAGAAAAAGCGGATATACATGAATAAAAAAAGGCCTGCTAACTGATATGATCGCAAAAAAAACAAAAAACACACAAAAATAAGGAAAATAAAAATCCAATATGGCAACACAACACCGAGTCCAATCCAATACATAAATATCGCCAAAGAAAAACAGCAAAAAATGAACAAGTAGAGTATGTGTATATCAGCAGAAACCCCCATAAGAACCCCCGTACAAGACAGACCAAATATGAGGATATGTACACCCAAACCCCAAACAAAAGAAGTAAGCAGATAGATACTCCATAATTCTCCCTTTCCCACGCATGAAATATGTAAAAATAAGGAAAAGTAAAAGACAATACTAGTTAGTTGGGAGCGATGATAACCCCCAAACTAAACTACACAATATCAATGCACCTACATGGCTCAGCACGTAAAAAAGGTGAGCCCTATTTTTTTTCCTTTCTAAAGAAGGAAATCGCAGAAAGAGCAGAACAGCCACCGATGGAAGGAAGGAAAGAACATGCCCAGACCCGAGAAAAAACAAAGGAAATGCGAATAAGGAGAGTATGGTATAAAAAGGGAGTGTGATATGAACAAAAGAGAAAAAAAAGTGTGAAGCACTGAAAGAAAAGCCCGAAAGGAAACTGGAAAAAATGAACGAACGCCGTACGTCCAAGAAAGGAGAGTATTGATACAGCCCACCTCACGGCACCCACCTATCCGATACCGTACCAACTTATATCGCCGAAACCTCCACCCCATCCCTAAGCTGCGAGTGTCCCAGCTCCCTCAACGAGGATATCCTCCTTCCTCGCCCGCTCCTCCCCATCGTGTATCTTCTTCAACCAATTCCCCTCCTTCTCCCTGCGTTGTGCCCGCTTCCGCACCAGTCGCTCCACCGCCCCCTCAATAGCATCTAAATGCACGCTCAGTGGGATGCTTGCGATATCATCATCGCGCCCTCTCTTTCCTCCGTTCCCGTTACTGCTCCCGGAGATCAATAGTGGCTCTGCGACTCTTCGTCGCAGATTCTCTAGATCAGCGGTCATGCGGTCCAACTCGAGTACAGTGCTCTCGACATATCCTCGCGCCTGCTCCTCATAGCTGCCAATCAGCGCGAGGAGCTCGGCGTTTTCACGGAAGTTCTTGCGCTGGGCGGCGTTGCCACCGACTTTAGTCCAGAGCGACGAGAGAACGACAGCTTCTTCCTTCTTGATGTCGACGACCTCACGGACGATCTCATCATAGATGGGTTTGTGCTGTTCAGTGAGCTGGGTGAGGGAGGTGAAGATTGTTTCGCCATCAGCAACGAGGAGACGGAGGTTTGACTCGAGGACTTCGGCGGCCTTGTTGAAAGTCTCGGCGACGCGGGCACGGGTGCGGGGATCGTCGGGCTCGTCGGAGTAATAGTGAGAGGTGGAGCGGAAGAATGACGTAGGGGTTAGCAGACGGTATAGGAATGGACGGTGCTGGGATTCGCGTTTGATCATTGATAGCTCGCGGAGAGCGTACTGGTTTATTGATAGCAACCTAATGGGTTTTTCACAAACAAGTCAACTTTCTGTCTGCATTTTTTTGGTTTCTTTTTTGCCTTTCTTTTATTGTGGCTTTTTTTTCTTCTAAAATCATTCAAAGGAAGAGATCCGTACTGATCTAGAACGCCACCGACTTTGCTCCCAAATCCTTGCAGTGCCCGGACATTTCCTTTGGCATCCCGGGCAAACACGTCCAGTCGCTCCGCAAGCGTTTCTTTACATTTCAATTCGGAATAGCGCACTACGGTTGACAAGTCGCTTACAGCCATCTCGCTTTGTTTCATGACGCGCGCCAGAGCACTTCCTCCGGCGGCAGAGTCGACAATCTTCTCGAACGAGGACTCTATATTCATTAGTGTGGGAAAGTCTGCATAGCTGGCGCGAGTGCCAGGACCCCCAGAGTAAGTAATATTCCAAGTATTTTCACCCCATGTTTCGGGAGACGCGGATGAGAAGTTATTGACTAATGTTGAAAGCACGAGACCAAAAAACCCGAGTATCATTATCGCCACAAATGGGCGTTTCGCATAGCGGAGCAGTGAGTCTATCTGAGAGGCGAATTCATTGACGTAGACGGAAGCTATAGATTCTTCTTTGCGAGGGGTTGAGAAGTTGGAAGAAGGGGGAGGTGGGGGTGAATGGTGGGAAGATTCTGCTGTGTGAATTGGATCTGTAAGTTCGGGGATCACCATGTTAATGTCCCGAACAAGGGAAACAGGAAGGGGCAATATCACAATGATAACGAGGGGAATAGTCCACACCAAGAACACCTCTGGTGGGAGAAATAGAAAAGGAGAGGAATCGACATTTCAAATAGGACACGATGCACGTTTTCTCAAATCATTCAATGAGTATGGAAATATCTTACCAAACCTCCAACCTCTCCCTCTCCCTTCAAACTCTCTCGCAAAGCTTGGGATTCCGCTACACGAACTTCCGCCTACGGAAACCTCACTAGAAGAACTTCTATAATGCGGATTTAGTCCATTTTGGGCAGGGCTTGGTCTCTGCAGTGGCGGCAAACTGCCGTGGTTAGAGAATCGACTGTCATACATCATCCCCTGCTGCTGCTGCTGCTGCTGTCCTCCATGCGATCTAAGTATTTGATTTTGTGGAATAGGCTGCTCCTGATAATGCCCAACCTCACTATAACGGCGCCCAGGAAGATTATTAACAAAATCCTCCTTTAGTGGAGTTCTCTGATGCTGCTGTGGTGATGATGGGTGCTGGCTAGGGTAAGGATAGTACTGCAGGAGCTGTGGTGTGATCGGGAACGGCAAATCAGCGTTCGGCCGAAACCCACCACCACCGCCCTGTAAATTCCCCCCATTATTGTAGATTTCCCTCCTCTGCTCGCGCTGCCACTGTCGGTGTCTATCAGCAGGCGAGATCGGGTCATACCCCGACAACATCTCAAACGACTGCTCCGACGTCCCCGCTGTTGAAGTTGCACGAGTCGAGCCGGTGGCGAATGAGGACGGAGGTATTGTCGGCGGCGGCGTATTCGACTCTGCGGTGGGGGCTGGCGTGTGAGATGGTTCTGATCGAGGTTCAGGAGACATCGAGTCGCGCGCTGGCGAAACGTGTCGTGAGGGCGAAAGTAGGGGTACAGATGGCTGGAGCTCACGTTCTGGCGAAAGCCTGTCGTCGAATATCGAGTTGCGCTCGGGCGAAAGGCGTGACAGTCTTGAGGAGTCGGACATGATATGGTCACTGATGTTCTCTGATGTGATGCGCATTTGAGGGTTGTTGTTGCCGTTGTGGTTTTGGTTCTGGTTTTGGTTGTGGTTGAGCTGTTGCTGGTAGGCGATGTGTTCTTCCAGTGAGACACGATCTGGATCCTCGCGCAAAGGTTGTATATTGGCGATGGGTAATCCGTCGCCGTCGCCGTTCATTGCGCTTTCCTGACTACACTGTGAGGGAAGCTTTTTCTTTTTCTTCCTTTTCCTTCTGGTACCTTGAACGCCGCAAAGCTTAAGTTTAACGAGGGGATCCGTTATGGGTTGATCGCGACGGAGAGACGATGTTCCTTGCAGAGACGATGATGCTGATGATGTTGGAGCGATGATAAGATATCAGAGGAGGCTGGGTAGTGAAAGTGGGTGGATGGTGGGTAGTGGGTGGTGGGGGGGAGGATGAAGGGGGGGGTGGTAGGTGATGGGTGGTGGGTGGATTTAGTTTCGAATGTATGTATCCTAGCTCTAGGTATCCATCCTACCTACAGTCCTATGGTGAAGGTACCCCGCCCTTCTCTGGACAGCTCATCCATCATTGGTTGGGGGGTGGGGAGTCGTTGCGGTATCTACTGTTACCGTTTTGGGCACAATTGCTGGGGTGCTTTGTTCCAGATGAGTTGTGCGCATCGATGTGAGCTCACATTCCGAACATTTTGGACCAATAGGAATCTGGCGCACGAACCACTCGTTGGTCTGATTATCGTGGCCAGCCGATTATTGGCATGTATGTATGTGGTATGGGGATTTTTCTTTGAGAGAGCTCCTTGCTGGCCCATGGCCCATGGGCAACTTCTCTCCCATAGCTACCAGAATAGCGATGGCGAGGGACATTGGGGGCGTTTATACCCTTCGGTCTTCTAGAGAGGAAAAACGATAAGGTTAATATGATGTAGCTGCACTATGGACCAGAGATGCTGAAAGAGAAGAAACAAAAGCAAGTGCAAACCTTAGTACCCAAGATAATGAGAGCATAAACTCAGCGGAGGAGGAGCAGGGTAAAAACTATCTACTCTACATACCTATATCTTATCTATCTACGATACCTCCTATACCGTACACTTCTTTCCCAACGTTAACTCAACGGCGATATATGCTATTATTGACTGCAGCCGATAGGCGAACACTATCGGCTGTTATCGATCTACACAGCTGCAAAGGATTGGTCGTGGAGGCCGAGGGCTCCATAAATAAGGTGAGCCCGCGATACTTACGTACGGGGAGCAGAGCGGAGTAGGTAGGTGTAAAGAGAGTACATAGGTCGAACTCATACCACCCTCCGCCTATCGGTAAAGCGGCCACTCCTATTGATTTAAGCAGAGCGACGGATACACTGCATTGCAACTACCCCCCCCAGAATCTACAAAACATAAAATCCCCCTTGAAAGCTTGCTCCGAGCGCCTCAAAAGCTTACTGGAATCCTAAAACACCAGTTAATCTAGCGGCCAAAGATTAGCGATGCTAAAGTTGAAACTCGACACGTAAAGCAGTGCAGCATCCGCCCCGCCACACCGTTACTGGTTCGCAGAACGTGTGGATGCCGTCTTTTTCGCAAGGTGCAGGTTTCATTGGGGCAGAAAGCGCTCACGTCAAGGTGATCGGTCATGTGGTCCATAATTTGTGCTTTATCGCATCTGTTAGGCAGAAAAATGATTTCCCTCCCACCCCCTCTAGAATAGAATAATTATCCGCTGCTTCCCGAGTGAGGTATTGTGATTTCTATCTAGTGAATAAGACCCAGAGGGGACTTATGTGAGACACGATAGCAATGTATGTAAGTGGAGCCGTAACGGGACAACCACTTACACGTAATTACTGAATAGTCATCATAGTAGTAAAACGGCCAGGCTAGACCTCCATTGACTTCTATTCGATAGCTCATACTACAAATAGCTATCGTTTGTAGAGGATTGTGTATTTAAACGTACCGAGATCTACTATGAATTATGAAAAGAGAGCACATATATTCAATTAACACGATTAAGTGGGTAGACGGATGGATGTCTTGTCTAGAACGTACTGGGGTGAGGTGAAGTGTAGGGGAGGGGAATTATAGTCATGTATGCCAATTCCGCTTATCAAAGCCCTGCTCTACGTATCGTTGGCGGTCTCTCATGCGTCCAACTTAAAGCATATTCTACCTACAGGATAGGTAGCTCCCTTTGGATATCCTTTAGATCCCTTAGGGGCCAACTCGGAAACCCACAACTGGTGGTGTTAGCCGGAATTTAAACATTGTTTAGAACTATCTTCTAGCGACTTGGAGGGGTGAGAGCATAAGTGGCGTCGCCCCAAAACTACAAAACATATGGATCTGCACGAGTAGAAAAGTGGGAAAACAACTGGACAAATCAATCTAACGCTTTTGTGGACACTGTTTCCCTATATTCCTCGTGAATCGATTCGTCACTCCAGCTAGAGCCGGTTCATTGATAAGGCGGTGATAAATAGACATTTGGCAATCAGAATACACCAATACTTGGTTTGTCATTACAAAACATAAAGTACCTACCCCTAAAAAATCACTCAGGCAATTGCAAATAGACAGGGTAGAGAAACAATTCCAATCAAAGCGTTGGAAATGATCAAAAGGAAAGATTCTTCGCACTGAATCCAATTACGTACCAAAGCCAACTCTAGGTTTATACCATCTATGAGGTTTGCTAACAAGCTAGATTGGCTATCATGGTGAAGATCTTCCATGAATTTTTGAGCTTTAGGTCCGACAGCGAACAACTTTCTGGTGCTCCAATCATGAGATCTCACTCACACAAAATTCTTAGCGCTTAAGAGTATTAACTAATTCCACGTGTTACAGCCAGATTTCCATGACATCACTTAAATATTACCACAACTCTAACACCTTACCCAAGTCTACGGAACCATAGCCCTCTTCTTACTCATAATGACGCTGAGGGGGCAGTAGGAAAGGGAGAGCCCTACGTACGATTTAGCGTCATGCATGGCTAACATCTATTCTTGGTAAGGCCATAACTTTATTCGAACATCAGCTTCGCATCCATCCGACTCAACGACAGGTGCCCTAGGTTCTTCGCGTGCTGCACTAGGCTACCCTCGGTTATCCATGGCCCAGGGCAATTTGGCTTCAATGGCCTATCTTTGTCACCATTTATAAAAATCATATTATTCCATGCACCAAAAGTGTTCGTTAGTACGGTACAGGATTAAGGTAGTCCAGAATGTGCGGTTTAATTAAATATCTCTCAACTTTCGGCCGCCGTTACTAGCTAGCTAATAACACATAAATTTGCCTGCCAAGTCCTACTCTTTAACATTTGACCTAAAGCTCATGCTCATGATGCTCGGGTGCCTCTTCATCGTTTTCATCGTCCTCATAATCAATATCAAACTTCATCTCTTCCTCACTAAAAACGATCTCACTCAACTGCTCGCCTTCATATTCCTCACATCTCCCGAGCGCCAAGATCGCCGTTGCATGCCACACAGCCCTCGAAGTCTTGTACACAAACTCCTTTGCGGTGGCTTTATCACCCAACCAGATAGCCTCAGAGATACCAGGGAATGTAACCGCTGCGTAGCCGGTGTCAAGACCGGGGGCGTAGATCACTATCGTGGCTGTGAGCGGATATTGTACTAGCGCGGAGACTAGGAACACTTACAATGTCTATAAAATTCCCTCCCGGGCAGTCCACCTTGACTCACGAAACCTTTCTCGAATGACTTAAGGCGATTATTAATCGCTCTCCTTTTCCAGTGGGCGTGACGGCCCTTGATATGGTGTGATAGTCTCGTGAGCTTCTTTGCAACCCTTGCAAAGCCCAGCAGCGAGTGATGAAGCGGGCCCAGGTCCAGATCAATGTCAGATTTTTCAACATTGTCCTTCAGGGTCTTGTAATACTCCCATAAAGACTCGGCGTATGTTGCTGCATTTAGCGGTAACAGCGGCTGCTCCACAAGGTTGAGGGCAAGGAGCCCAAGGAACTGACCAGCGGCGACGTGGTGGCTGAACGTAGGGTCACCGTAGGTACTCATCCAGTGGAAGGAATCATAGTTGGAGTGGTAGTGGTAGACAGGGTCTTCATTGGAGAAGGTGAAACCCATATCAATCTAGATAGGGGAAGTCAGTGAGAATTAATATTCTCTTTCTCAGCCTGAGGGACCTTACAGATGCGATACCAGAGTGAACAAAGGCGGTGTAGTCGCTTCCACTTCCTAGAACATCGATATGCTGATTTCTGGCGGCCCAGTCATGATAAATTGTCTTGTGTTTGTTCTTTGGGGAGGGTACTTTTTTCATAACTTCAAGGATGATGTCATGAAGCTCAGGGACTGCAGCAATTGCCCAATTGGGTCCCGAGACGCCAATATCAACATTTAGGTAGGCAACCATGTTGGGGACTGCCCATGTAGAGAACTCCTCGAACCATTCAGTAGAGCCAACGAGACCTAGACAAATATTAGCAACTGGGTCTAAGGACCTATAATATAATCTCTTACCGTATTCTTCGGCATCCCAGGACGCAAAAACACTAGATGTTTAGTTAGTGTATGTGTTGACTGTTATTCGGATACTGATCCATACATTGTCCTTTTAGGCTTCCAACCGTGCTTAACCAGTTTTCCAAAGGCTCTCGCAAGCTCAATCAAGATAGCGGATCCAGAATTGGGATCACCCGCGCCTCCAGCAGTCCAAGAATCTCGATGATTCCCGATAACAATTACCTCATCCTCAATAGTTCCGTTGATGATTCCAATAATATTCCAGATCGGTGTAATCGTATCATTCATGACGTTATCCATATACAGGACCGCATTAGGAGCCGGTCCAGTTGAGTACGATACGTTCGCCAAGCCGCCTTCCCAGCCCGTGATGTTAACATCCTTCGCTGAAACACCCTTTCCATTCAGCGCTTCAAGCAACGGCTTGGCCTCCCTGAATGAGATCGGTAGGGACGGAATATGCGGTGTTACTCCAGATTTATCCTCACGTGGAACACCAGGTTTCGATGGATACCCGGGCGTCGTGGGGTCGCCAGGATACTTGCTCAAAAACTGAACCGATCCTCTCTGCACCGACGACGGATTCCGAGCTGGGCCTTTGGGGTAAGGGGCATAGCCTTCTTCTACACGCATCTTACCATCGTCGCCGGGATCACTATAAATGATGGCACCAATCATCCCAAAATCCTGCGCATTCTTAACCTTTAGGCCACGGAAGGAGACACCATATTTGAGTAGTGCGATCTTTCCTGCAAGAGGGACACCAAGATCTGCGAGCCTTTGGAAATCGGTCAGGCGGCCTCGTCTGTTCCTCTAGTTAGACTCGATTCAATTTATTAGAAGATGAGGGGGCTTGCCCAACGTAAACGTATTCCGCGGTTGCATTTCCTGTGAACGAATACCCATGGAAAGTTGGTATACGATTCTCAAGGCCACTAGTTTCGTCCTCCTTCAAAACATCTTCCTTCAAAGTGGCATTGAAAACGGAACCGTTTGGATAAGAAAGTGAGAGATTATGAGAAAGCGGATAGTTGAGGTAAACATCATATTCGACAATATGAGAAGGTATCCCGTTCTCCGTGAATCTATCACGGGTCCACACGGCCTGTGAGTAGTTTGCACCGCCGAGGTGCGGCCCGCTGGTGTAATAATAGGACCATTCGGACATTGAAACATTGCTCAAAGACTTGAGAATTACATGCTCTTTGTCCTTCAGCGACATGTGGTGGTGGTGGTGAGGATGTTTTTTTGGACGCTCAACAGAGCTCTGGGAGAGGATTTGCTGGTCATCGAGAGGCCCAGAGATGCTCGACCAAACGGGCAGAGCTCCAAGTGTGAGAGCGAGGGTGTACTTCGTGAACGGCCTCATTTTCGGTGGAGTGAGCTGAGAGAAGCTCTGAAGGCTACGGCAGATTATACACCAGCTGGGGTCATTTATATATGACGACGACGGCGATCACGGAAAAAGCATCTCCAACACCTGCCGAATTTCCAGGTCGGGGAATACACCTTCCTAAAGAGAAGCTATAACCAACGAAGCATAGTCTTAGCGCGACCGGACAAAGCCAAAAACACACGGTATGAGATATTCTGTGAAGTGGCCCAATTTGTGCCTGTTTACTACGACGCGTTGGTTGTCGCGTGCTAGTTCCGTGATGATCACTGTATAATACTAATGATGTCATCTATTCTTTTGAGTGCAGTCTAGTAGGTACATTGTATTTCTGCTTTAGACACCGCCAGACTGACGAAGGCCATCTTTGTAAGTCCCAAATAGAGAGGGTTCACTCAGAATATCAATTAAGGAAGCTTGGTATCCTGGCCGCGGTTACTTCAGTATTCAGACCATTGTAGTACAAACAACTGTGAGTATTCGCTATGCAGCAATTAATGTCAATTGACCGTATTTTTGAGTCCAGGACGTATCCCTTAAGCCGTCAGGACCGATTTCAATCTCGTTACTCATACCTAATGCGGAAGTCGTGATATGAACATCGCAGAAAGTGATTATGATGTATAGCTGCTCACGCTAGTTCTTATGATAGATCACCTCATGATGATTACATGTACTTCTCTGCGATGTTCATATCACGAGTAACGGGATTGAATCGGTCTTGACAGCTCAATTCGTAGATGTAAAAATGGAGATCTAAGCAATGGTTTCGTGGTGTAGTTGGTTATCACACAAGTCTAACATTAGTTCCACTTGTGGTCCCCGGTTCGAGCCCGGGCGAAATCATTTTGAAACTTTGATTTGATCTTCTACATTTGTAGAGGTCCTATCTAGCTTTGACCTTTTTGAAACTATTTCATTGCTTATGCTTCCTCAGGTATTGATTTACAAATACTATACTAGTACGTAGAGTAGGTAATTATATATTCTGGAATACAAAAACTATATCCTTTCTACCGTACTTGACTTTTGAAGTTCTAAGCTCGGTTTAGCATCACTAAACCTCTCTTAGTCCCCAACTCACCCGGATCAAGCATGCCAACGTAACTTTCAAAAATTCCCTCGCAATAAGCCTGGTCAACGACAAACTCCATAAAAACCCCGCCTCCTAGTTCAACTTCCCACCGGGGCCCCCAAAGCCGAACAAAGCGAGTCATTAGGTCAAATTCATCACTGTCAACGCACAGATCACCCGAAGCACGCTCCCTGTTTCTTCGTACCCAGAACTGAGTCCACCTCTCAAGGCTTGTTACATCTGAGTACGATCCGTTGACGGTACTTGATCCACCAGCTGCTTTAATCATGGCATATATTTTGTCTAACCGTTGGTCATATGCATCGCCTCTATAGGTGTTGAACAGAAAATCATCAGGGCCACACCTCATACCCATACCAAGATCTGAATCAGCCCATGAGCTGGAACCAATTATGCGGTCTGCCCATCCCTTCACTGGCTTCTTATCGTTTCGTGGTGGAGTCGGACCACTTGGGTTGGCCCTGAGAACCTCCCAGATTCGGTGTATCATGATAATGTCAAGAACAGTGTACCCTTTATTGTCCTTGATATCAAGATCGGTGCCTGAATCAATGAGTGCCTCGACGAGAAGAACATTATGATGAATTGCTGCGCCAAATATTGGGGTTCCACCATAGCAACTCCGGGTGTTGACTAGATGGGAGAGTCTTCTAACGACTTGGATGATATATCTTCGAATTTCTCCACTTCGTTCCTCTGGCTCTACACTCCAGAAGTTTTGGATGCGGTGAAGTACGGTACCACCTTGACAAGGAGGCAGTACCACCAACTTTTCTTGCTCGTAAAAGTGAAGGAGAAAGTCGAGCTTGCTAAGCCCGCTGTGCTGACTTCCCGTAATAAGGACTCTAAGAAACTCGTCCCAATCCAACCCAACATGTCGTCCCGTATCTCGATATAGCTGAGCAGCAGTGTCGAAGCAGTCAACTGTGAGGGCAGTTTCAAAAGGTGTGAGATATATCATTCTAGATGGGAGGTTCACACCAATACCAGCATCGCCATATTGCAACAACTCTCTATCGCTCAGGAGACACCCGTGTTTTATGAGCTCTGCAACAAAGAAGGGGTTCGACACTTTGACCGATTTTGCAAATACGACGGCTACGTCGTCACATGTTGCTGCTCCGTAGTCGAGTAGGAGGGAGAAGCATTCCATGTCACCCAGCCGCATTGCCCACCAGAGAGGAGGGTAAGTATCATCAGATGTTGCAAAAAGACAGTCGGTGAAGAATGGATCGAGAACTAGCTGAATGATGTCGTGCCTTCGGTATACACATAGGGCTGTAAATCCTACCTTCTGCATTCCAAGACGGATATCAGGGTACCAGAGCTGAATGAAGTAGTCGATTGCCTCAAATGTGCGGATTATTGTATAATTGTGCTCAAACCCGTTTCTTTGTATGATATCTAACGGGTCAGATTTCGTTCCTATGACCAGGTAAATTTGTGCAAGCTCGGAGACGCTGAGCTTGTGTCCTTTATCGGCATGATCCCACATAAGAAGGTAGAGGATATCACCACAAAGAAGTTCTGCAGCAGTGTTCATGTGCTCTATAGTATTGCGCCCACCTAACTGCAACAACACTCGAACACTCTCGAGGCTATTCCGTAATATAGATTTCATCATGGGGTCACAAGGCATTCCACCTAAAGGAGCTGGATTTGTTGCAGCGCCCGGAATCTTCTTGATAGCCTGAGTAGCAACATCTAGGACGTCTTCTGGCTTGAACGAAGGGAGTTCCTGGAGGCAAAGCCTCTCAAATACGGGTACCGGATATATGAGGGCATTCCCCTGGGAGTAAGGAGGCATTTGAGACAACAATAGAAGAGCAGTGTTACGATGACCGTTCCGGAAGGCAAGACACAGAGGTGTCAGTCCGGTTTTGTTTTTGACTTGCCATTCACAAAGACCGTTATCGATAAGGCCTTTGACAAGTGCTTCCATACCAGTCGCTGCTGCAAAGTGGATGATCCGGTTTCCAGTGATCATTCCAAGGTCCCGATCCACATCTCTGATCAGACTCTCTGAGTCAGGATCATAGTCAGTAAGGATAGCTTGGACGAAGGCAAGTACCCCTTCTGCAAATTGAGCATAGTCGCATATATTGTGATCTCCTCCTGGAAATATACAACCATCACATGATTTTATCGTGTTCTGCGCTTTTCGGATAATCCGTTCATAAGATTCGGGATATAAGGACTTTAATGCTTTGCATGCCCCGAAGTTATTATTTTGGACGTGTTCCTCTAGCCAGAGAACCACCGGAAGATCTAGAGGACACTCAGCGCCATGAGCCTGATGAAACTGAACCACTATGCCTCGTGCCTCAACGTGGCCAGATCCGCAAGCTTGAATCAGTGCAGACATGGCATTATTGTAATCCCTCGGCGTCCCAAAACCGTGATAATAGCATAGGAAAAGCTGCCATGAAAGAGATCCCGGAGTAAATTCATCGACTGCGTTATGGTTGGAAGCAGATATATTTTTGATGCTGTGGAAAATCTGTCCCCGTAGTCGGTCGTCGATAGTTGCTTTCCGCAAGATGGTCTTTAGTTACATATACTCAGCATACAGAATCTTTCAATTGTTTATGGGTTAGTAGTGGAACCCACTCTGATATCAACTAATGTTATTGGCCCCACGTATCCCGACTCTGGTACCTCCAGTTGACGACCTTTTGAATACCTTTTCTTTTGTCAGATAACTTCAATAAACGCTTGTAGGTAAGACTTACTCCTCACGTGACAGCACATAACCATATCTTTCAAATAAAGGAGTTAGATATCGAACTCTAGTCTCTTTCGGACATAGAGTAGCAGTTAAGACCTCGGTGGCGAGATATATCTCAAACTCTGATAGCGGCAGCTCTGACAAGGATTCCAGCGAAAGTGGGAGGAAGCAGCCGTCTTCCTTTAAACTCGAAATATCCTCATGTGTAAGAGACGCGTTATTGCACAAAGATTCGAGCCATTTGAATGGCCCGTGACCATCAGTGAGGATATACCACACCACCAAGCCAAAAGAGAAAAGATCAGTTTTACACAGTTCTTCCTGGGTTAGTCGTTCACCTGCCTCAGGAGCACTCCAAGACTTCGTCCCTCCTGACAGATACCCATGAGTTTCTTCCTGCTTGAGGATCGTTGAGCAGCCGAAATCAGCGACCTTTGCGATGTACTTGCGCTGAGAACCGGAAAATATAAAGATATTGTCAGGCTTAATATCAGAATGAACTACACCGTGCTGGTGAAGGCAATCAAGAGCTTTAGCTATGTCAAATAAAAGAGCTATCTTCTGCACAAACGGGATTCCTGGATTTCCACGCAATAATCCTGAAAGAGGTCCTTCCGCCGCTTCGAACTCGGGGGTGGGCCACATATAATTCCAGTTATTTTCTATAGATGGATGCGGCCCTGGGAACCACTGTATATCCTCTAGATTTATGATATTTGGATGATCTCGCATGGGTTCCCAGAGACAAATTCGTAATTCGGTGATAAGATCACGGTAGAATCTTTTTTCGTCGAATTGGTCGCTCCCTGGAAATATCCGCGGAATCTTTGCAACTCCTTTATCCGAGATTTGAATGGCATTTGAAAAGCCACCTGAACCGTATAGCTTCTTGGCTGTACCACCGTGTGAGTGTGCAAAGTTGTGTTCTGGGTTTTCTGGGACTGTTTTCCAAAAGCCATCATACAATCCAATGACAGTAAGGAAGTCATCATCGCAACGACGTAGAGATACCGGCTTAATTTCTTTGGTACCCTCTTTGAAAGAATGATAGTAGGAAGATGCGAATGTGGAGGTAGGAATTTGATAAGAAGAGTTCATTTTGACCACCAAATTGTTCGCTTCAAGTTAAAATCTGGCAGCCCATAAGAAGCATTGCGGATGCTTGGACAGTTATATACGAAAATCGGGCCTTCTAGAGACACCGAGGCTATTGCCATAAAAACGCCCAGCGTCCAAAAAAAAATCACACTCTGAAAGCCTTACATGACTCGGGAGACCATTGACAATCACTGTATCGTAGGTCATGATACTTTAAGGGACATTATTACTGTATCAGCTTAAAAAAAATACGATCATTGCCAATTGCAATCACAGCCTACAAAACATGCCAATCAATGCATATGTATAGTAAGCTACTGCCTAGATGTAACGTAAGGTAACTTTTGTTTTTATTTTGTGTATATTATACGCATCTACCTAAAAGTTGGGCTTGCACAATACATACATGGATGTTTCTATAGAGTTCAGAATGGTGGCGGCCATTAGCGGTGGTATTTTCGATCATGGAGAGAACAAAACGATTATTGGGCGGGGGCGAATGTTGAAGTATGGACCACTTAGATCGCATCTACATACCTGCAGATGTCATCAAACTTTGTTCAACCCCACATGAATGTTTTATCCCTCATTGGTCAACCAAGCGAGCTAGCAGAATTGAGTCATAACATTTGTTTTCTTTTCCATCTATCTCCATTTCATCCATACCTGCCGCGATCAAGCCTTTCTGCAGCATCACCATGGGGCTCGAGAAATCTCTTCAGAACGGGTCTGAATATACACTAGGTAGCCATCTGATATTCTGATATGTCGCTAGTTGTCATCTGATATGATAGCTGATAGATGAGCAGCCATACCTGTATTTACGCTTGCCGCCGTTCACCGGGAAAATTGAGGACCAATGACCGGCCTCGCAGAAATTTGGTAGAATTCGTGATCGGATGATATTGATACTCAGCCTTTCTGCCAGTAATAATTCCTCAATAATCATCCCGGGTTCTAGAAGAGTTGCAGCGAGCATTGCTTCTGGTATCCTGGGTTGCATATCATATCATATGTGATGCGGCTTTTGTTTTTTTTGTTTAATTCATTAATTGCATATATGTGATGCGGCTGAGTGATATATCATGACTAGACCAATTGGAACATGTGAAATAGAGCTGAAATGTGCCTCTTGGTCCCATTGACTCAAGATAGGGCTCAACTTTAATCCGGCTACACATTTGGTGCTTTCGAGATAGGCACGATACTGCAGTATTTCCGTGTTATGCATCAAGGTCCGAGTTGCTGTAAAAAGCCTTCGGATGTTCCTGCTTTAGAACTGCGGCCTATACATGTATTTACTGCTCCCTCAAATTTTACCTAGCTGCACTTTGCATTACTTTTATATCTGCATGTGCTGATCCATCAAATGATAGGACATTCTGATTTCTACACGGAATGCCGACCTTCAGCGCATGATATTGGCTACCGAAAGGTGTTACAAGTACTTGTCACGTGCAAGCAATCAGTTTTGGTGTTCAAAAAGTGGTTCTGGCCTATAACATACATGGGCGAGTGGCCTAATGGTTCACATTCGCCTTCCGGAACACCTCGTGGTTGAGCCGACCTTTGAACGTCTATAGAAGGTCGATGGTTCAACCCAGGGGTGGGGGTAGTAGATACCAAATCTGCAGTACCTTTTGTTCTTTTTATTGACCATCCTACTAATTTAGTTGTTCCTGCTAATATCAACACTTCTTTTTCTTTCTTTTCTCCCCAACTATTTGGGATGGATGAAGAGAAGCACCTCCGGCTGATATCCTACCAGCCACCCATATCATTTACAAGACCTTCGAGAAACGCATTAGGACACATTTATTGATATGTTTAATGATGCCATGGTTTCACCAATTATATAAGCTTTTCGTGTGTGTTACAAGCATAACTGCACATGCCACCTAACTATAAGCTTGGCTTGGTGAAGTTTCCTTATTATAAACTCACATTTCTTCTCTCGGCTTCTCTTTCAATCCATGCGTCCTTCGCTTCATATCTTTACGCCCTTTTTCTCTATTATAATCATGATTATCATGATGCGGCCAACAAAAACTCCTCGGGGCTTGGCACAATCACCCACATATCTATCGCACATATTGGATCTGATTGAACACTGCATCGTTATGATAAGTACTGACTACAGTTTACCAAATCTCCTGCAAGATTTCCTTTGGCCTTTTATCACCTGGGCAAGCTTATAATCACGAAAAAGAACAGACCTTGAACAGAACACCCAAATGTACCAGGAAACCCAATATACATGATATCAACAATCATATACTCATCGTGCTATCTACTGCGCTTGCACTTATCAAGGCAAAGCCAGGTATCCAGGCCATCTACAAAGAGAGCGCTGATTGTCCCAGGAACCTCTTCTCGCACTCCTCCCAGTTAATGATATTCCAGATGCCCTCGACATAGGCCGCCTTATTGTTATAATACTACCCACACTGTTAGTCGCCAACGCCAACGAACCAAGGAAAAGGGGGGGGATATACCTGAATATAATAAGCATGCTCCCACATGTCCACCCCAAGGATCACCTGTTTTCCACTCGCAACTGGGTCCTGATCCTTCGTCGTCTCAATCTCCAGCCTCCCCTCCGCATCCTTCACGAGCCACCCCCATCCGCTCCCCTGCAGCCCCAACAACGTCTTTCCGAACCTCTCCTTAAACTTCTCCAAGTCGCCAAACCTCTCCTCAATCGCCTGCACCAACCTCGGCGCCGCCTCGACCCTCGCCTCACCCGTTCCCGCCGGCGCAAGGTTTTTCCAGAATAGCGAATGATTGATGTGCCCGCCGCCGTTGAAGCGGATCTGCGCCTGCAGCGCAATCTGGCTGGTTACGTCGGTGGCCTCCTGAGAGAGTGCGGCGTTGAGGTTGGTGACGTAGGCTTGGTGGTGCTTGGTGTGGTGGAGCGTCATGATTGTGCTGGAGATGTAGGGCTCAAGCGCCTATATATTTGCCTCTTATGTTAGCATTTAGTGGCCTAGAGGAGGGAAGAGGTGAGGGGGCAGACGTCATAAGCGTATGGGAGCGCGGGGAGGGTGTATCGTCCGGTCTGCATCTCGGGGGTATATTTGCTGCTGCGCCTGTTGCTGCTGGTCCTACTGCTGTTGTACTGGGCGTAGAAGAAGAAGCTGTTGGGTTCGTGAGATTGAACACAAACTGTGGGAGCTGCGTCAATATAAACGGGAGGATCTGCATGGTGGGCCTTTTATATATTTATTTTTTGGCTGGCTATCTATTCTATTTTTCTCTTTCCTGCGCTTTCTTGCTTGTTTGTTAAACAGCTTGAAACGTTTGATTTTGGTGAGTGAGAACCTCAATGGACTCGGAGGGGCGCACCTGGGAACCTTGGTGGGCGGGCACACGGGTACCTTGGTAGCTTATTGTTCTAGTAGCTGTAGTGAGGTAGGCTGTAGTAGTGAGGTTGTCGTGAGCTAAGGTGAGAGAGTTACCGTTCGAATGCGGGCGATTGCGGCTGTTTAGTAGCTAGACAATCCACGCTAACCGGGAATTGAAGTATTAGTAGCCTCTTGACTGGATGAGGGATGGGATGGGGTCTCGGCAGCGGGTTTTGACAGCTGCCGTGGGTGCGAGGGGGAGGGGGTGCAGCAGGGCTAGGGCTGGCTTGTTGTGAAACTGGGGGGCTGCAATGTGCATTACTCTAGAGGATTGCATGCATCATTGCATTATTGCATTATTAAGCGGCAGATGGGAGCTGGTCTGACTTACCTACAGGTCCTACGTAAAGGGGACGTTGGGAATGTGCACTAGATCACACATGTCTGGGGAGGTCCTGGTATTTCCTTACGTGCAGCTCAGGAGGAGGAGAGGACGTCAACGAGGAGCCTCGGAGTAGGAGGAGGAGAGTCAGGGTCTTGTCTCAAAAAGGCTTAATTGAGTTGAGCCTAGAAGCACTCCTTCCAGATCTGCTAGCTGGCACTGTACTCTATGTAGAGCGCCTAGAGTATGTAGCTACTAATTCTCGGCCGTGTAGCAACTACAGTCAGCTACTATTTCCCTGCAAAGCTGTGATTGACACTGTAAGGGCTAGGGTTTGTGGTCGAGTGAGTGAGTCAGTTGTTTGCGTCCTCTCTAATAACTAATTAATACGGAGTTACTAGACGCCATCTCGCTTTCGGTTGACGACCTAGCTCCCTGCTTCGCTTCGTCTATTATATTAGACGTCGTCAATGCCACGAGAGACTCCACTCCCATTGCCATGGGGGCCACGCCGGCCATCTAGATAGAGTAGTCTAACCCCCACCCCCCCTCCCTCTCCCTCCCTTCGTTCGTGTCACCTCAGAGGTTGTGTGTCTGGTTAACTAACTCCTTTTTCCTGCTTCCCCATCCCCATCCCAATCCCCATCCTCAATCGTTCCCCAAGCTAGCTAGTCGACGGCCAGGTAGTTACATACTCGGATAACTTCTATTTAAGCAGTTTCCTGCTTCCATGTTTCCGCTTACTGAAACACATCCAGGACAAGCCCGCCAGGCAGCAGCACAAGCACAACCCGTCACTACTATTAGTTAGTTAGCTAAAGAAAGAAAAGAGAAGGAAAAAAATTACTTTTACCTTGTCTTGTTCCACGCCCCCCCGTTCGTACATATTTTCCGCTAGAAGAATGTGGTCTTCCATGAAGAAGGGTGGCGCTCTGTTAGTTTCGTTCCAATGCTTCTTTTTTGCTTCTTTCCTCTTCTTCCTCCTCCCACCCCTCCAATACATACTCTGCCCATGGTAGAAAAGAAAAGAAAGGACAGAAGCTTCGCCCAATGGAACATTTATCGAAGCCCATCTAGAATAGCAGCTCCCGCACTGATCCACGGGCATGTGGCCGATCACCGCGACGCTACTCCTCTACATACTTACCTACCTTCCTACCTATCCCTCCAATTAACCCTAACCCCTGCACAAAACCTTCCCCCCCCAAGCCCAACAACTCAAAACTCGTCCGACAGAACTAATCAGGGCTCCTCTCACTCACCTGCATGGACAGCAGAAATAACAGATATCAACGCGACTTGTCCTCCTCCTCTTCTTCTCTACCACCACCTCTTGATCCTCACCACCACAACCACCACAACCACCAGTACCAAAACCAAGCGATGAACGGCTTCCACACCCTCCCGCACGAGCTGCAGATCCAGGTCCTGCTACATCTGCCACCGACGGCCGTGTTCGCGCTGCGATCGGTATGCACGTCCTGGAACGAGATCCTGTCCTCGCCGCAGATCGAACATGCCATCAACCTATCGCTGCTTTTTCCGACGACCGCGCCCGATCTCCGGGCTCGGCTGTTGCGGCGAACGAGGCTGCTTCGGGGAGATCCGGTGCAGATCTGGGATGTGGATGATGGCGAAGAGACGCTGACGTTGTATTCGGAAGGGTTTGTGGTCATGGCTCATAGTAGGTTTGGAGGCCCAGGGCGGCTGGGAATATGGGATTGTAGGCGGCCGAAAGGACAGGATGGGTGTGTTACAAGGATTGACTTGACGGCTTTGGTGAAGGAACTTTATTTGGAGCTGTGGGAAGGGCGGATCTTGGGGGCGGGGGAGACGGACGAAGAGGGCGGGGGGCAGTCGGGAGGGGACCGCAGGGCGGAGATTCCTTTCAGATTGATGACCCATTATTCGTGGGCCGAAAATGGAAGTGTCTTGCTGGTTCTAGGCGAGCCGGGGAATCCGCGCAAGCCAAAGCATCCAAAGTATGTAGTTTCTTGTATTATTTTTTATATATCAGTATTTATCCTCAAAGTGGCTTGATTGGTTGACGTACTAACCTTATGATCACAGAATATTCTTGTTATTTTCTCTGGCCACTGGAGACTTGATTAGGAGCTGGAAAGTCTCCTTTGCTGGCCGCGTTATATCTGCGCATTTCACCTCGACGATATTACTTCTCGTCACCTCTTTGCCGCAGTCACTCGATATCTGCGATGATCTCCTGCACCATATCACTACATACTCAATCAGTACTGGCGCACAGCTGTACACCCAGCCCATACCATCAATTGAGCTCCCTGCGCCGCCTTCATATCCGCCTGGGTCTGCATGGTGCCACGCTCCCACAGCAACCTACTACCACAACCACATCACCCTTGACGATGCGGACAACTTCTATACGCCTGAGGTGCAGACGAATGCCAAAGGTCCGCGATACCACGTCTACGAAGCACGCTCCGCTCACACCGGTACTCTCACGGCCACAATCTCTCTCTCTCCCGTCAACGAGGCCGTCGCAGCCTCCAATCACTGGCGCTACGACTCCACAATCGTCACCTGTCCTTCATCCCGCGTCCACCACTTTAGCACCTACAAGCCACACCCGGAAACGCTCGCCGATCTCTCCCTCTCCCCCGGTGAGGAGCGCGACATCTACAGCACCACCTACACCAACTGGAACTCGACCACCCTCTCCCGACGCACCTCACTTATCCTTCCACCCCTTGATGGTTACAATATTGCTGGCACCGACGCGCCCGAAATGACTTCGTACCTTTCTTCGGTGCGCTGGGGGGTCGCTGTTGGTGACTACTACCACTTTGGAAAGCGCTGCTGGGTCTACAACGTCTCGGGCGCCAACGAAGAGGTCGTCACCGGTGCAACCATTCCCGATGCGACTGAGGGTCTCCGGAGATGCGCGCCATTGGCCTGCTATCTCCCTAGCACGCCACTAGACCAGCATCTCCATTCACCCACCGGGTCGTCGCCAAAGTCGTGGCGCCGTTTCAAGATGCTGTTGAAGGCATTTGGAGTGCGGCCACCGGCAGGGGCAGTAGGTGAGAGTATTATACTCGGAGACGAGGAGCCGCCGTGCAGAACGCACTCTCCAACATTGCCCGAGGGAGTCGTGTGTAGGTGGTTGCCGGAGGTGCTGAGGGAAGCGACAGTAGTGGGCGGGGACGATGGGGTGTGGGCGGTGGCCGTTAGTAGCGATGAAGGAGGGAGGAGGGCGAAGAGACGGGTGTGGATCTCATGGGATGAGGGATTGAGACTGCCAGGGAGGGGATGGGCGAGGTGGTAACGTTTACTGCTTTTATGTGTGGTGGCTGCGGGTCGGCTGGTTTTTTTTTTTGTATATATATTAGTTGGGCAGGTAGTTTATCACGATTCATTTATTCTGTGGAGATTGCGGTTGCTGTCACAGATCAATCGCCGTATGTAGCAGGACGACTTCTGCCCAGCCGTGTGAGGCATGCCGTAGTATATTGCGGTGGACTCGGCAATGATTCATGGTGAAGAGTCGGAAATTGCGGTTGTGTATGCAATGTAGATCGCCATCGGCACCTCTCTTCCTCCCTATCTGTTCCTTGTGCACATCTATCTTCCTTATCAAACACCCTGATACCCGCTCTAAATAAGCGAAATTAGAGAAGCCTAGCCATAAGCCAGGATGCGGCGGTTGGGAATGACCGAGTGATATTTCATGTTGCGGCGTCTGCCGGGCGGTAACTGGTGACACCGGGTGGTAGATTGCTCTCTGGTGGGACCCAGAGCCTTACAAAGTTTGTTTGCGACTGGAAATATCGCGTAGATAGTAAATATTGCGACATAGCAGTAAGTATAATGATTGCTAGACCCTCGGCGTTTGCACTGCTGGTGGTGCTCTGCCGCTTATGATCATCTGACCAACCAAGACTCAAGGGCAACTGCTGGTGTTGGAGTGACGGTCATTAGCGTCTAGTGGAGAAAATATCAAAGGGGGCTCTCTGTGACCGTTCCTTACTTATAACCGCACCCACTGCCACCTCCTTTTCTTCTTTTCCTTCTTGCGTCACGAACCATCACTGTACTTTCACAATCAATCAAGTCTTTCACCACGAAACCATCTCAACAGCTGGAACATACATGTAGGTGACTAACGTTACTATGAAGAGGTCGGTTGCTGGTCTTATATATTCCATATATCGATCCTCTGATACAAGGAACTATTGAACAGGGCATTGTCGTCTTAAAGATTTCATCTGTGATGACATCAAAATATCAAACCCATCCGGCTCTCTATATGACCTGTCAGCGGTGCAGTGAAACTTTCCACACAGTGATGTGGGACCTTATATTTGCTGTCTGTATATGGACTGATTCCTCAAGACAGACCATGATGTTTAGCAGGTTGTCTTCTAGTTTTAGGGTCCACGTAGATATGAATACCAATAATAGCCTTTCAAGTATCGCCTAAATAGCCCCACTTACAATTTATGTATCGGCTGTAGTTGGTGCTTAAGACCTGTGATGGTGATGGTGATGATGATTGTGATGATGATGGTGATGATTGTGGTGATGATGATGTTGATAATGGTGGTGATGATGATGATGGTGGTGGTGGTGGGGCGGTGGGGGGTGGGGGGTGAATTATGACCCACAAGCTGAAATGTGACAGGGAGAAGGGAGTGAAACGTCCATGCACATACTCTATATGTAGCTGCGGGTGAGAAGATGATGCGTGTGCATACATGTATGTGCTGGGCGGAAACCGCTAGCTTGGCGCGGGCGAGCGCACGGCCAAGCTAGTGCGTTACAGCTACATGTATGTACGGCCTCTTCTCCTTCTTTCTTTTACTTACATGTATGCATGTAGTTATAATTACAATGTCCTGAATACTTGTATCATTCAACAAATTTAGTAGATTTTATTACCATTGCAAGCGGCTAACACCAAAATGAATTAAATAAAAAAAAAAAAAAGCGGCTAACACCAAAACCAGTTCTATCTATCATTACCCCTTCTCCCTCCCCCCACGCTCCCCGGCACCTCACTCCCCCACGCCAAAAACTCCCCCTTCACCCTCGGAGGCCCCTCCACGGGCACATTCTCCAACTCCATGCCCATAATCATCTTAATCTCCGGGCACCACTCCCACACCCTCTCCCTGCGCTCCCTCTCCATCCACACCGCCAGCGGCATCACCGCCCCCGACCCTCCCAAATGATACCCCATCGGCTCCTCCGCCCACACCCCCTCCACGCTGAACCCCGCCTCCGTGCTCCCGTTTGCCATCCGCGCGCCAGGAAGTGTGCCAATCCGCCGTACCAGCCACATGTCCTCCATCTCCCGGTGGTGCGCGTAGCGCCGCTGCGTCCGCAGGATCTGGAGTATTCGGGATACTCGGCGGAGCGAGAGACCGCCGTTGCCGCCGTAGGCGTCTTTGAGGTTCCTGTTGCATCCCACACGGAAAAACGGGAAAATTAATCATTGACCCCTCCCCAGACACAGACACGAATCAACGAGAATGAGAACTCACCACGGCGCACCAACCCAGTCGTACAGCAACCACTCATCCAACGACACGCCACTATTCGCACACAGAATACTATCGCTCTGGAACATCAGCACCCACTCGACCTGCGCCCTGCGCCCGCCGGCCTCCCCGTCGACGTCGTCAACCCACTGCTCCTCCCACTGCCAGCGCTCGGCGCCTCCCAGCCACTTCCAGAACCACGCGCTGGTGAGCGTCTGCGAGAGCGCTTCCTGCCCGGTGACGTTGGCCCTGGGCGGGATGAGCGTGAGCGCGAGCTTGCCGAGAAGGATTTGGTGGCGGATGGCGTGGGAGTGGTTTAGGTGCGTGATGGAGGCGGGGGAGCCGAGGAAGAGGAACTGCCAGTCGGGGGGGACGACGGTGATCATGTGTAGGAGGAGTGGGGCGAGGTGGGCGATGGGGCGGTCTTCGATGAGGAGGGCGAGCTTGGAGGCGTTGTAGGTTTGTTGTGGGGGCGGGGATGGGGGTTGGGGCTGGAGAGGAGGGGCGGGGAGGTGGAGGGGGGTTGGTGGTGGGAGGGGGTTGAGGAGGAGGAAGAAGGTGCTGTGGGCGGAGTGAGTATGGCAGTGTTACTTTGAGGTAGGGATGATATGGGGGCTTACATGGTGAATAGAAGACCGGCATTGATGAGGAGTATCCGCTGGAATTTTGGCTTGAATGCGGAGTTGAGGAACGTACTGAATATCGTCATCGCGATAATACAGTTCCGCAGGTGTCAGAGCGCTCATAGGCGTGTATCATGAAGAAGCCTACTTGCCATGCCTTTTTCCGAGTACGTTGCTCTGCTCTGCTTTGTTGACACGAACAATACCAAGAGCGAACAATGTTAAGCATCGCCGCAAACGACAAAGGAACCAGAAATAGAACCAAGCTTTCTGTCATCCTGGGGAGACAGGTCCAAAAATACCCAGGCCTAATATTTGCATAGCAATTAACGTCTGAAGAAATACGAACCCTCTCCTGAAGACTCAACCGGAGCATCGATCAACCACTATACTAGTCGTTCCAGCACCGTCATAGGCCATCACTCGGGCCCTGGCAATGCCCAAATCGATCGAAAACACCACAGTTTTCCTTCCAATGCAAACAACTAGCCACACCGCGACAGTGCCAGATATGATACCAGAAGAACTGACACCTACATATAAGCGAGTACGTGTCCAAAACGCTAGTTTCTTCGCTGCACTTACGGTAAGTAACCTGTTGGGATTGACCCCCCTTACAATAACCCCAAGCGGTTTAATTCTGACACAACCGCTCTATGGCCAGGCTTTACTTCTTTGCGAGCACACATCTACCCCATCAATCACTTCTACGCGAGAAACCTTAAACACCTACTGGAAACAACCATCGACAGACGCACAGCAAGCACGCAATCTATCACCAAACTAGGAACAACTGTAAGAATGGTTTTAGACCCTTTTATTCAAACGAAATTGGTATCTAACTTCACAGCAGCTCATCCACTTCCCAGCGGCAAGCAGCAAGCCCAGATCTCTACCAGCAAGCCCAAAACCTGCAAGCAGCAAGCCCACATCCTCTATCAGCAAGCCCAAAACCTGCAAGCAGCAAGCCCACATCCTCTATCAGCAAGCCCAAACAGATGGCGTATGTGTCTGTAAGACGTCCCCCCACCCCACCTGCGGCAGATGGAATTTAATGCAACAGATGGGGTGTGTGTCTGCAGGACGTCCTCAAAGTCAAGAGTGCTTAGCACAGAGCTTTTCGAGACAAAACTTCAGGAGAACTTGTTTTGTGGAGGGCACCACAGGCACCGATGACGTCAAACTCATCATACCACAGCCCCAAATGGAATTCAATGAAGGCCTCCACACCAAATGGAATTTGATGAACCAGGTGCGAAGTCTTCAGATCGGTCCTGAGACAAAACGTACTTGACACAGACCTTTTCGAGGCAAGACCTCAGGAGAGCTTGGGTAGAGAGAACCGCAAGCATGACGTCAAACTCATCATACCATCGCACCAGATGGAATTCGATGAAACAGGACTTCCACATCGGGTGGAATTTGACGAAGCAGATTTCCTCACCAAGATGGAATTTGATGAAACAGATGGAGTTTGTGTTTGGAGGGCCGTTCCCCCCCCCCCCACCCCACCTGCGACAGATGGAATTTAATACAACAGATGGGGTGTGTGTCTGTAGGACGTTCCCGAAGCCAAAAGTGCTCGGCATAGAGCTGTTCGAGGCAAAACTTCAGGAGAGCTTGGGAGGAGAGAACCGCAGGCAGGCATGACGTCAAGCTCATCATATCCCCGTACCAGATGGGATTTGATGAAATGGGTGCGTAGTCGCAACTCGAGACCAAAAGTATTCGGTGTCGAGCTTTTCGAGACAATACTTCAGGAGAACAAGCATAATTCTTTTTTTTTGATTGGCGGCCCGATGTTGCTGGAGTTGAAGTTGGCTACGCAAGAAAACACACACAGACTATGTCAGGTCAGCTTCCATGTCAATACTACATATCAAAAAAGTATTGGAGAATGTTATACATAAATTTGATCGTCTTCCTTGGCTCTCGTTATAGTGATACTTCATATAGTGATACTCTCGTTATAATGATAGCAATCGGTGGTCCCGAAATACTTTTTTACCAGTATCTCCTTACTCCTTATAGTGATACTCGCCTTATAAGAATATATTCAACACAGATTTTCGGTCCCGACCGTATCCTTATATCGAGAGGCGGCTGTAGTTCTTTTTTTTTTTTTTTTGATTGGCGGCCCGATGTTGCTGGAGTTGTTGATGCTGGCTCTGCAAGAAAGCATACGCAGGCTATGACAGATTAGCTTCCATGTCGATACTACATATCCACATAAGTATTGAAAAATGTTATACATACACTTGATCGTCTTCTTCTCAATAACAAAAACAGCCACTAACGGGAAAAGACACACCATGACTGTCTGTACAGGTATATCCTCCCCTTAAAAACAACCCTGGAGGGCCATTTTCATTCTTAGCAGTTGGATTAACCTCCGCTGCCCTGTATATATGGATTGAGTTAGTATTGACGGCTTCAGTAATATATTAGGGCAGGGGGGGGGGGGTGCTTTTTATGCATACTTACAAGGGTCTAAATAATGCCTTACGGCTTCCGGGAACATAACCTATTGAACCCTCGTGATGCTGATACGCTAGGAAATCTTGACACATTTCAAGCCGGTCTCGAGACAAAAAACATATTCGCAATTGGTGTAGAGCTGCTCAACAAGTGCGTCGCGTAAACACTGTAAGACGCGTCTCGTCAGCTCACGAAGAACAGTAATTGATTGGCTTAATTCTGGTATCAATTTTTTGACCATCTCCTTCCCAGGTCAGTGTAAACCTACATGCATGTCAAGCAGAAACACACTGAAGTGTCCCTGCCCACCATTTGGTTGTGTTGTGGTTCACACAATACGCGTACGCGAAGGATGGTGGTGAGGAAACAAAACAAAGTGGGAGGAAACGTGTCTTTTAGAAAATAATGGAGTCGAATACCCGGCTTTGAGATAAAAAAAGATGTTTACATCGTCACCTCGTCATGATCTATTTATTACTAAGGTTAACCCGCTTAGGTTAAGCGAAAGGTTCTTGGCAACGCTTGCGAGTGATACCGTATGATGACCTCAACACTCTTAGCACCCGATTACACTGTCATGCCCTCGATATGATTGATCTTGTCCCGAAACCCCGCCAGAAGCTGGAATTAATGTTAATGGTATGTAACTTCTCCGTTCTGACCGGAGAGGTAAGTAATTGCAATTACGGGTTTGAGTACATACTACAGAGTCTGCGCGAGATTACATGCATGTAGTGGGAAATACGTTTGCGCTAGCGCTTTTCTGCAGTACTTTACGACGTCCTCAACCGATATATATAGAAAACAACGATCGCGAGCGGAGAGAATTGAACAACTGAAGTAAACACGACTATAGCGCGGGCATTGGAGAGTATTTATCTTTATGTGGTTCATATTTTAGGCTTGTGGATGTGAATATTCTTGGGCACAGAAAAGTTGTTATTTGCATCTAACGGCTATTCTAACAAAGAGAGTGCTCTACGGATTAATTAACTCCTAGGGACTCTCTCATTCCCGATTTCTTTTATCCGGATCACAAGCTTTATACCCTTTTCACGCCAATGGCTCAACTTGGCAGCAAAGTAGTGGGGCCTTACGTTCCCTCTCAGCAGGCCTGGGGAACCGATAGGGAGATCATTTCAAGCCTGCGAATTACGCGTGTCACTGTCAGTTCTACCCAGGGATAGTTGCGGAATCTCGTTTAGACGAGGGAGAAATGATTGCACAGAGAAATCTTCATGAAAGTCCTTCGCTGCCTCCTTTTCAAGAAATCTCTCGATGATTTCCCTTAGCGATTCGTTGTTTAAAGGCTTTAGCGTGAAGTCATTCATTCCGGCTTCTCTTGCACGATCACGATCGCCAGCCATTTCTGTTGCCGTAACAGCAACAATTGGAACATCCTTATAGGCAACTAGACCAGGATCTTCCGCCTTGCGAATGATCGCAGTAGTTTCGTAACCATCCTGTTCATATATCACAATCAGAACTAAATCAATTATATGCTCGATCAGGGACAAACCAGTAACGGCATCTGAAGATCCATGAATATAATATCCAAAGCCTTGAGCTCCCCTTTTTTCATTCTCGAGATTGCGTTCTGTCCGTTGATTGCGACTTGTACATTACAGCCCATTTTCTCCATCCTCTTCGCAGTCACAACTTGGTGAGACCAGTTATCTTCAACAATCAAGACATTTGTTCCCTTTATTGAGACTTTTTGTTTCTTCCAATAATCATGCCTGATTGCAGAGTGTAAGTCACCGATTCGGAGAACAACACCCATGTCATGAGCTAGACTGTCTTCTCTACGTGGGATTGTTACTGGAGAATTCTTTGGAGGCCGAAGACAAGGTACAGAAAACCAGAAGGTGGAGCCTTGGTCAACAACAGATTGACACCCAATATTCCCTCGAAGGATTGTGGCAAACTATAAAACTTAGAAAGGTTTTCCTATGCATGAGAGAGATACATACGCTTTTCGCGATAGCTAAACCAAACCCTGTGCCATAGTGGCCGGTTGAGATATCGGCAGCTGCAATTTCTTCAAAGGGAAGAAACAATTTCTTCAAATGATCTTCAGAAATTCCAATGCCAGTGTCCTACGGCTGTTAGTTACATCGACGTGATAATACCAAACGATGCATGGTATCACCTTGACCTCAAACCTTAACTCTAAGGACCCCTTTTGGACCTTTTTCGTGATGACTTTGAGACTTACAGTCCCCTTTGAAGTAAACTTATATGCCTAGTAAGAGGTTAGAATATCTTTAAAACCTCATAATCGGCCAAACAAACATTCGATAGTAGATTAATGACAACCCTCCGAACTTTTGCATCATCACCTTTAAGGAGCAGTTGTGTACCATCGCCGAAAGCACTATATATGACCTCTGTGTCATCGACCTTAAACTCAACGCCTTCCTTTGCCATACTATTCCTGAATAGTGTTTCCAAATCTTCAACAAGGTGTTGCAAAACAAAAACATTTTGATCAACCTTAACGTCGTTTGATTCAATTTTGTTGAAGTCGATCAGATCGTTGATGACAAGAACTAAATCATGAGAAATTGTGACAACTTTGGCAAGGGTGAGGTTTGGTATAAAACCTACGGAAAGAATTGACACTTCTGAATATTTGACGGACTAGAGTTCTCTGTTCTTTTCCAGTCTGAATCTCGTATAAGAGCTCCAAAAAAGATATAACACCTGCAACTGGTCTTCTTGGCAGTGACTAATTAGTATTATATACGTATATATACTGAGTGATGGATCCTCAGAAAAGGTGATCTCTGCAATTGATTGCTGCGCATAAATCCATAGACTTACGTTTTAAGACCTCTGGATAGGTTCATGAGAAACACCTTCCTTATTTCCGCACTCCTAGAAATTTCCTGTTCTCTATTCGCACGTTCAGTCTGCTCTACAATTACGGTGAGACCTGCCAGTAAATTGTCTTTTTTTTCCGGGTCTTGCCACAATGGGGTAGCTTTAAGATCGAAGACGCGTTCTTCACCATCTACAAGTAGCCCAACTGTAGCTCTCTGTGGAAGCTTCGTAATAAAAACCTTATTGGTACACCATTCGTCATAAGGCAAGCGCTCAGAAAAGTCGGGACGCCAAACGTCCAAGTTGGAGATCCAATCCCGTCCCTGACTTCTAACTCGTTAGACTCTTAACTTGTGTAAACTAGAAATTTCAATTGATAGAAAGATGGCGAACCCAACAGGCGACATTATGTCCTGGCCTAGCACCCTCCGGCACGCCTTGTTGGTAATGCAGATGTCCCCGTCTGGAGTAATACATGCAAACGAATACTCCATCTCATCAAGAATCATATCTTTTAATTTAGCTACTCTGTCAACAACATCTGTTCCAGTTGTTCCAGCAGCAACGCTTTGTTTTGCCGATGGCTTCCGGCTTTTCCCTCGCAAGGCAGGATTGAATTCGGCATCGACATCATCTGAGTTTGGGACAATGGATAAAGCTATGAATACTCCCGAGTTTGTGGGGTTGTTAGTGGTCTCGAGTATAGACATATACAATTCACCTCCAAGTAGCTCCCCATCCTGTTTAGTAATAATTATCGGGATTTTTTCCTTGCGTGAATACTCATCAATTCTGCTCGAATCTTCGCTATTGTCAATCTCATTGTCTCCAGAGTAATCATCCTCCTTTTTGCCTGTATCATAGAATTCCGAGTAAGCGCCAGAATCGTAACCATATGTATCTAGCTGGGTTTGCTTCCGGATCTTTGCCTTCACAGTTTTGAGTACTTGAGCAAGTGAGATCCATTTCCGCATATCAATTCTTGCCAAATCCATTGGTAAATCCTCTAAATGAAAGCCCTCAATTCCTTCATCGTGTTCATATATCCCCTGAGAGCCTGTTGACGAAAATGAGGACTTCCCACCGGTTGGACGAGTGGTAGGAATAATAGGCGGGGGATGGAAGGTGGGGTCACCTAAATCGATTAGAGAATTACGCCCTAGTAAACGTGTTGCTGATCTGTTTGCGTATACTATAATATTACTGTTGGAGATCAATATTTGAGGTGTGGGTGAATTATCCAGAAGTATGGAAGGGTTAAGTCCTGTCGGCAATGAGAAGGAGGTAGGTCTGGTCCTTATGTTTGCTGAAGCTCTTCTCGCGATGGTAGCTGCAGCTGGCGTGTTTCTCCCCTGGTAGCCACAGTTGGGACAAATCGCGATGATTGTCTTATTTGAGGGGGAGTTCCCTTCATCACTTTCAAGTTGTTTTTTCCCATGGTATTTTTTCCCGAGACATCCCTGCTCATGAGCAGATTCACAGTATTTGTCAGGAGGCACGCTGCGAGAACGGTCATGGGAATGGAAGAAAGGGCTTGAGGAAGAATCAGCTACCTTGAGCATATTGGAATACGTGTTCATCCTTCAGTGCTCGAACTACAAGCGAATAATCGAAATTATGAGGTTTAGGCAGCCAATTCCAGTACCTCTCGAGCCAGCGAGTGTAAAAGGGGAAGGTGATTTATTGCGGAGGGATATTATCTGAGAAAACGTTGTATTTCCCACCTTCCAGAGGTATACAAAATATCGGTGGGGGTTTGGGCGGGCTGGGTTGGTCGGGCCGGGAGTTGGGGTTGAGGAACGTGATTGTAGACACAGAATTTTAGTTATCCGAATGGACCCAGGTGAAAATAACATCTGTCTAAGAAAAGTACGTAACAACTAGCATGCACTTTGATAAAGAAACGTATATACACCATTGTCCTACAATAATTGCAAGTCGAGTGATGGATTATGCTAACCTACTTCATGTAGTTAACCTATTTTTCTCTTGTGCAAAATTATCTAAGCACTCGAGAAATGACAAGGGTGAGTGATACTTCATGTCACGGTGGAAGATGGTTCTCTGCACCAAACAACCCAAAGCTAACCTATGGTAATAATGAAAATTCGTCGCCATAAAGTCCTAGTCGAGATTTCTAACCGGAATATTCTTTGAGATTATGAAGCAAAAAGGTACAGATTGCTTATATGCATACATATGTAATTATCTTCTTTCTTCTCGGCCGAGGATGCACGTTTAGTGATCCTGGCCGATTACTTATACTAGAGGAAAAGAGCTAGAGCCTCATCTACAATGTCAATTGCGTCATTGTGAATTTCAAAGCAATTGCGCGACAAATTATCGCCAGCTCGTACTGTACTATTCTACAATATTATAGATATTGATGCAATCCAAGTGATCTTCCATAATCAGAATACCAAATCCTTATTTATACCTCACATTTCCACGGTGCTTATAACTTATTCTCGGTACAATATTTATATCTCGCAATCGATCTCGACGTTCACAATTACAACTTAACTTAAATCCAATATTTTACCACTTAGACAATCATCCTCTGCAATGGCCGCCATCAAGCCCCTCGCTATCATAGCCGGTGTAGGACCAGGAACCGGTGCCTCAGTCGCTCTAAGATTCGCTCGCGAATACACTGTGATCCTTCTATCTCGCACTGCCTCGTCTTTTGATTCAGTTGTTTCGGAGATCAAGTCAAACGGCGGAGAAGCCTACGGAATCCCCACCGACATCTCGAACGAAAAAAGTGTGAAGGATGCATTTGCACAGATCAAGTCTAATCATGCGGATACGCCGGTAGCTGCTGCAATCTTCAATGCCGCAGGTGGATTTGTCAGAAAGCCATTTTTGGAAGTTACACTGGGTGAATGGGATGGAACTTGGGCCGTGAACGGGTTTGGGTCTTCGTGCCTTGTTGATAGATACAACTACTAACGCTTATGACAGTCGTGGGGCATTCCTTTTCTCCCAGTCAACCCTTCCTCTTCTATCAGCAAGCACGAATCTTCCTCATCCACCAACACTGATCTTCACCGGTGCAACCGCATCTGTGAAGTCTTCCGCTCTCTTTACAACCTTTGCCACGGGAAAGTTTGCATTGAGAGCACTCAGCCAATCTCTTGCCAGAGAGTTTGGACCCAAGGGTGTTCATATTTCCCATGCAGTGATCGATGGGGTGATTGATATCCCGAGAACTAAAGAGTGGTTGACTGAGGTCCCTGATGCCAAGATTAGCTCCAATGCAGTAAGTTTTTCTCATCCTAGTGGCCAAGGGAATGAGCTGACAGCCACAGATCGCGGATGCGTATTGGCATTTGCATACACAGCCTAGGACAGCGTTTACATGGGAGATTGATATCAGGCCATATGTCGAAAAGTGGTAGTTTTGAGACAACATGATTCAATTCTCATTAGCTATCTCGAATTAACTACATATGTATTGAGAATGCGGACCTTTATAAGTCTGTGCCTAGGTTTATCTCGATTGCCTATCATCTGCATCCTTACGGTGTGAAAGCAATAAAGATTTCGATGGACCAAAACTTGTAGCTACATGCTACATGTAGCACAGAGAACCTATTGATTATTTTTAAAATGTGACAAGTCTATGATTATGATTTTAGATATCTAATAGCCTAGTCTAAAAAAACGTTAGGAATTTTTAAGTAGACTGCGCGTATTTTTGAATTCATCCGTTTCAACTTATCCCATGCTCATTCCCACCAGCAAATTATAGGCTTCCAGACTATCCAGTCTCAAATCTTATATAACTAGAAACCTACATGGGTTTCACCACGTCAAGTGTGCGCTATGCGGTTGTAAATCTTTGCGCAACATATCTGCCTGTGATTCCCTTTCGTCACCTATGCATGTAGCTACATGTACCCAGAGAAGTAATCCGGAAATATTGCTCGCTAATAACAATTTAGTTGCAAAATTGCGCCATCAGAAGGTGTTATCGAGTTCCTCAACGAAGCGCCATGCCCTCTTGTACTCTAGGGGGTGCTCTTGAAGTTATTATAGTGATCGATCGAATGTGTTTATAGATACCAAAAAGTCAAGATATATGGGTAGTTTTGAAGTGATCGGTGCGGCCGGAATCAAAGGATCATTCCCTACCAACTATGTAGTTAGTCCGACGGAAGACGTGAAAATTGATTTTGGACTACTCGAAATAGGAATTCCAAATCGAGGTCTCCATCATAAGTTAAAGCCAAGGATGTACTTGCAGTGCTGGTATTCGGGTACTATGATGTAGAGTAGATATACATGTAGTTGCTGATAGAACACCCATACTCAACAGAAAGCACACTTAGATCCCATAGAATGACAACACCATGATTCGCACACTGATCCCAGGACGAGACGCAACCCCTTTGCTTATCTAGTTGATTTTAATAGATGCTAATATGAAATTTCATCTTTTAGATAACTTTTGCATGAATGTAGTCTGAGCGTATCTATGGCGAGCGCATGCGAGGTATCAGCAGTGCTCATTTAACCAGTAGAGTACCAGGATCCAAAACAGGAAGCAAAAAACCAAACAGTTACGTAACGTGCGTCATACCTTTTTAGGTTTTCATTACGAGATCTTCCACGCTGTGGACCAACCCCTTGATAGATCTCGATAAGAGAGAAGGGGCGTTGGTTCCAGCCGCACTGGCTTTGCTTCTGTAGATGATCGCCGAAGCTTAAAGCGAAGCAGTAGATATATGATATCCCGATCCCAACGTTGGGAGGTACATGCTATAACTACCCGCTAGTGGTTTATAACCCTCACCGGAATTAATATTGCATCGAATGCTACCGCAGTACTAGTAGGGTGTGACCTACCGACTTATAACTCAAGATGCTGCAAAGTACCGGTCATCAGTTTTGAGCTATCAAGGGGTTTGTTTTAAGGTTTATTAGACACGCTAACAATTAAAATAATAGGCTATTTGTACGATGGCCGGCCCGACCCATTGCAACGTCGCATAAATAAATTCTCCACATGGAAAGTTAATGTTAACTTCAAATGGCAGGGATATATATAACTATCAAACAAGCTCACCCCGCTAGGGAAACAATCGACAAATAAAACCGAGAAACGCCAATAAGAAACGCAGTCCCAGCACTACATACCCCCCAATATCCCGGCTGAAAAACCTTGTGTAAATATATATTACCATCTAGGCTCACCCCTCGCTGTCCTCCACTGCAGTCCATATCTTTGCAGCACTACAGTAACCGGCATCATAACTCCAAAAGTCAATAAGCCCTGTGCCGAGAAAGTCCATGTGAACCCTACGCTGTCACACCATGGTGCAATGAAAAACGGATTCACAAACGCACTCAAGTTAAGAAGTACGCTATAGAAGACTATTACTGACATTGCGTGCGATGGATAACAGTCGACTATGTAGGCGGAAATGGCAGTGTTGCCGATCTGGATTCCTGCTGCGACTGACTCGGTGTTAGCAGCAAAGGGCGGGAAACCTGAGAGAATTGCAGCAAGACTCACAGAGGAAAAGCGCAACCTGGCCAACCATCCAGTGGTGGCCTTTATCGACACTGATTCCCCACAGAATTAAACCCACTATTCATATCGAATTAGTAAAGCAGGAAGGAGGTAGCTTCTTAGATGGATCATACCAGCGGTTATAATTACAGCAGGATATACTAGCCAAAGTCGCATTTCTGCAACACGGACATCATTGTTCTTCTTAGCTAACAACGAGACTATCCGGTCGCTCAATGTACCAGAGCAAAAAATTTCGCATATCAGAGTTCCAAGAATCAATCCGAGAAAGAGGAGCCCTTGAATATTGGCGGCGTATTGTGGATATGCAACTGGGAGGTATGTAATGACTGACAACACCCACCAATACCTTCAGGACCCTTGTCAACTTTGTCACTTTTGGGATATATACCAGGGGAAACAAACCAAGCAAAACAATAAAAGAAGACTGAAACAGCTATGTTTGGGAAGGACCAAAGCTTGCAGAATTGCATAAAAGCGTCCCAAGGTTTAGGATGCTCAATCCCAGCAATCTTCGTAAAGTTAACGAAAGGAAGGTTCTTAGTTCGCTTAATATCTAAAGAAACCTTCGCCGAAGTCTTTTCGGGATCATCACCCAAACCAACCTCCGTTGTGGTTGTTGGGAGACGTGATAATATCAACTTACGGGGATATAAAGTTTCCGGCAAAAAGAATATTTCCGCAACTAAAAGGACGCCAAAGAGAATTGCTGTGAGCCAGGCTACCCAGTATTGGTCCACTAAGGATACAAAACCACCAACTTTCCGAGAACAGTTAGTAACTAGGAAACCGTCGTCCTAAATAGGAGTTTCGTTGTACATACTCAACGGTCCAATCAACAGTCCCATGTCCAGTGCAAGCACCCACAGGCCTAGCTTTTGACCTCTCTCGTACTCAAAAAATAAATCATTCACAATGGCCATGCCGACAGTCGCTGCAGGACTAACACCAAAACCCTGGAAAAATCTTGCAGCCATGTACCGCTCATAGGTGGGTGCCACGGCAGATCCAATGGTCGCGATAAACGCCATTATCGTCCCTGTAATGAAAATTATACGCCGACCATATATATCTGCGAGGGACGACCAGAATAAGGGGCCTAGTGAGAGTCCAAGTGCTGGGATGGCGACGGTCCAGTTGACCTGGGAGTATGATATTGAATACTGCTCTTGAAGAAGGGGGAAGGATGGAACGGTCGTTGTCGTGATGTACGTGAAGAGGAAATACCTGGGTTTCGAAATTTAGCACATTCCTTTGGCCTTATTATTTCACCGAACCATCACCTCAACACTTCAGCTCCTCAGCGCCCCGCAGAAAGACGGCCTACTCACATCCACATTACAATCCCTAAGATCGTCCATTTTTCTATTCTTGAAAAGTTCAGCGGATCAAGGGGGTCTTCCGTCGGTTTAGGATACAGCTCGATCCCCCCTTTTGCCGGAGCAAACTCTTTGACATAGCCAACAACCTCCTCGTTGTTTATTTCTCCAGGAAAAACATTACTTTTACCCAGTTTCTCAGAGCTTGATGGAAGGGCGTCGCGGGGAGCCTTTTCGCCAGTGCTGCCCCCGCTAGTGTTTGCTGTGCTGTGAGCCATGACTAGCTACTGAGTGGGCCACTCTAAGTTACTCCCAGACACTCCGTTTGAGAACTAGCCGGGGATAACTAGTCGAAATGGAATAGGAAAAACTAACTCGCTCTTAGGGTTCAAATCGGAATGCAGAAAAGATGAGTCTCGCAGCGAGAACTACCTCCTATCCAGATGACGCGTGATCAGAGACAGCTTGCAACTTGTCTGAGGGAATGATCTGTTCTATATGTATCCTTTTGATAGCCAATTTGTTGTACGTGACAGGGTGCAAATCCTCACGATCCCAACTCCTTGAATACACCAGTTAGGGGTGCTTGCCTATAAAAAAACAAATAGAAGATACGCGGGGGTTTGAAACGCTCAGAGGCCGGGATCATGTGACTCTCATGATAAACGATAAGTAACCTTATCCTTATCACAATCAGTAGATCTAATTATGCACGTTCAGTGTAGTTTCCTAACATCGCCGGGAAGTGTCCTATCAAGAGATAGACAGAGACATGAATAATTTACAAGACTAGGGGATTCACAGATTATCAGTCACGCCGTTTCGTGATGAGAGATAACTTCTTTGTCTGCTATCTAATTGCTCTAGCGTAGCCTTATTCAATCATGAGGCGACGTGGATCCCAAGAAAGATGTTTCTTTTTTTTTTACTGAACCATATATATTCATCTATTCGAAAAGCAATTTCGTCCAAGCTTGACTTCTGTGATATCAATTCTTTGTGGTGTTTCTTTTCACTTATTAGGTGAGTTGCCGTTGGTCCGCTGCGGTACACTTCGCTACCATCTACCTGGATCGACCATGCGCTGCGTGCATACAGTCGCGTGCGGCAGTGGGATAAGCGAATGTTGGGCTCTATTAGTTGGCTTCTTGCTATCAGCTTGATGCACAATTGAAGAGAAAAAATCGGATGTGTTAGTAGACATAAACACAGGTTCCTGATAGACCTCGGTCACAAACTAGCTGACCTACAAGCATATTCTGGAGGATCACATTCTAATTATATGCTTATGACGTGGGGTGGATCATTAGCCTATTCGATTGATCAGCTTGGAGGAAATAGACGGGCAAAATCACCCTAACAATAATTTATACTCATATATTCGAGCACTTGTATACATTAGATTAACCTATAAAAATAAATATAGTTTCAACTTCTCGTGGATCCTTGTAACTTGCTTCGTCTTATATCTTGGTAAACAAAAGAGTCAAAATATAAACACTCGGGGCCGGCCAGGTTAGGTTCACTTAGGAGACAAGAATTAGTTTTAGCGGGTATTAGGAATTCAGGAAGTTTAAGTGATCCATCCGTCGTCCTATCACTATAATTTCTAGATAATTGCATCCATTATTTATACGTATGTACTAATCTCTGTACATATAAGTATCTCTAGTTCCCATGAAAGCCGTTTATTTGGTGATTATGCAATGCAATGATTATGGATTTGAAATTAGGAATAGACATAACTGAGGCTTGAGCTTGATTAGATTTAGGTTAGCATCTCTTTGGAGATCACAAATGTTTGAATTTCTCCACCCCGAGATTCATGCATGATGTGACTACCGTTTTGCTATTCTGAAATATTCGCAAAACTTGAGTATGTACTAGTACTTAGCTAGCTAGCCCTAGATAGCTACGGTGACGGAAACCAGCAGTTCGCCAAGTAGTCAGTATTAGTCAGCATAGAAGCTCATGATCAAGCAGCCCCCGTAGACCAACCATAGACCAACCAAGCTTAAGTTTAACTAGCTAGCGAAGCTAGTGATCAGTTCATATCATCAAAATTAAACTCTCACAGCTACTCTGGAGGATTTTCGGTGACAAAAACTGGCAACTACCCTTCGAATTAACGGTACCAGTTCGTATCTACTTCCCTCCATTAAACTTGTCTCCTGAAGAACAGAAGCAAGCTACTCGAGGGTTGGGATGAGCCCTGTCCACCCGGGCTCTGTTACCCTGACACTCGCGACCTCCGTAACCACCCGGCCTCAATGGATCCAGGCCCCCACACATATCCAAGGCATTGATTCATTTACGTAAGACCACGCCAGATAACTCTTGAAGCTGGGATTGGCTCTATTCAACGTCTGGCTCTACATTACTTCCGTCTTTCCGCGTCGATGATTCCTCCGACTGGATGAAATAGTAAAACTCAATTGAGATTCTTCTTTGGGACTTTTATTGGTGGATGATGCAAAACATCCTTTCTATCTACCGGGCTTACATACTTTATGAGAATTTCTACATACCAGTACCTGTATTTGTGATATGGTAATTTTACTCGGTAGATATTCTTGGAAACTTCTAGCTTTGATAATCCAAATATTGTTAATCTAATCTGTCTCAGGCTAACCCAACCACCCATGCAGAAGATCTTATTCTATTCTGCCCTTAGGTAAAAGAATCGAGTAGTGGGCCAATAGGAAGATTTCCGGACCCTTACTACAACTACCTTTACCTGCCCATAAGGATAGTCCGATGCGAATATTACCAAGTTTCAAGTCCAGACGAGTCAGCTAGCTATCGATGCCCCGCAATTGGGGCAAGTAGATAGGTAGGCTACGCACTTACCATCATGTAGTCCCTGCCTGGTGCTATGGTTTACCTTTTTTCGATCTCGGTTCAAATCCAAGAGAACTGAGAAGAATATTGATTCGTCTTCGTACTGCTCCGCTTGACTCGTTATGTAAGAATAAGACTTTGTGGAGGAAATACTATGTTGTTCACTCTGTCTACCTACCTTCTATGGTACAGCTCGCTACTGGTCCTTTACTCTTACCCAAGGAAGAAACCTTTTACTGGTAGACCTCTGTCAACGCCACCATCTTCGGCTCTGTCATTCCGTAACCGTAATCTTGGTAATCTTCATCACTTCTACTGCCAGTCTTTTTCAGTTCAAAAGCTTACTTTTCTCCCAATATTCAGGTGCACCCTTATATCAGAGAGATATACAGTATACGACGCTACTTCTTAGTATCAACGGTAGAAGGATAGATTACCCTATATCATTCGTTCTACTCACAATACAGATTCCACGATGCGAGATCATACGTATACGGACACCCCAATTACGACAAAAACCACATCAACATGGCTACCGCCATTCTTTCGATCAAGTAGCACTTCCAAAACAAGTCCAGATGAAACTTCAACATTACTTCCAAAACCTCTGGATGGCACTTCACATTCCATCACTTCCAACTCTGCCCTGGCAGAGTTTCTTCTTCTGGTCAAAATGAGCGTTCCTGTCATTTTGGCTTACACCCTTCAGAACTCACTGCAAACCATCTCGGTCCTAATAGTCGGACGGATGTCACCAGAAAATCTTGCCACCGCTGCGTTCTCGTATATGTTCGCTATGTCAACCGCCTGGCTAATTGCTCTCGGTGGTACAACAGCATTAGATACACTTTGCTCCTCAACCTTCACTGGTTCTCGAAACCCTCACGAGCTTGGGATCCTACTTCAAAGGGCTTTTATTGTTCTGGGCCTATTCTATGTGCCTGTTGCAACACTATGGTGGTTCTCGGAGGGTGTATTTTTAAGGCTAGGACAATCCGCAGAGCTGGCTCAGCAATCCGCGCTTTTCTTGCGATGGCTTATACCAGGAGGATTGGGATATATCTATTTTGAAGCTACAAAAAAGTTCTTACAGGCACAAGGGATCATGGGGGCGGGAACTTATGTACTATTGATAACGTCTCCAGTAAATGCGGTGCTAAACTACTTGTTTGTTTATACGTGGGGATGGGGATTGATTGGTGCGCCTATTGCCACGGGGATAACATATTGGGCAAGTTTTGCAGCAATTGTGGCATATGCAAGGTTTTCCAAGGGGTGGGAGAGTTGGGGCGGATGGGATAGAGCCTGCTTCAAGAATATGGGAGTCTTCGCCCGGTTAGCAGGATTAGGGGTAGTCATGGTGGGAACTGAATGGGTAAGTCAAACACCAGTCGAGAACTCAAAATGACCGTTCCACTGATATATTTACCCACAACAGTGGGCATTTGAAATTGTCGCGCTTGCGGCTGGCCGCCTAGGCACCGTCCCCCTTGCGTCTCAGAGTGTCATAATGACCACCGACCAAGTCCTCAACACAATCCCCTTCGGCATCGGCGTTGCTGCCTCCACCCGCGTTGGTAACCTTCTAGGTGCCCGTGACGCCCGTGGCGCTTCCCGTGCCGCTAATACCGCTGCTGTCCTCTCAATTACAGCTGGCGCCCTCGTCATGATAATCATGCTCGCCGTTAAGGATTTCTACGCTAAGATTTTCTCCGATGATGTCGATGTGATAAAGCTCACAGCAGAGGTCATGCCACTTGTTGCGCTGTTCCAAATTGCAGATGGATTGAATGGCAGCTGTGGTGGTGCACTGAGAGGCATGGGAAGACAGCATGTTGGAGCTGCAGTTAACCTGGTGAGTTATTACTTGGGGGCACTACCATTGGGAGTTTGGTTGGCCTTTGGCGGATGGGGGTTGAAGGGATTGTGGGTGGGACAGTGCCTGGCGCTCTATTTGGTAGGTGTGGCGGAGTGGGCACTGGTAGGGTGGAGTGATTGGGAGTTACAGGTGCGGAAGGCGTTTGAGAGGATGGAGGTGGATGACCAAATTGAAGAGGGTGGGCTATAATTGAGCCATATCCGACAATATGAAACGATAGACTATGTATAAGCTACTTTTTGCTTTAAAATAGAATTTTAGAATTTCTTTCCAATCGTGGTAGTACAACCTGTTCTCCTTTAAAAACTTGAATAATTACCCTGCGGGTTGTTGTTTGTACCGGAAAAACAATAATCCGAATATAAATCCCTTTTATCCTTCCTGCCATTAGGAAACACCCGTTTCTTATCTCGCAATTGCATTCCAGTGGCGCATGCAGCTCGAAACTCTCGTCCACGCCCACAACTCACCCAATTGGCCCCTCGCCATCTCTCATCATCAGAACAAAAACAAGATATGTAGGTATATCCCCGTCCACTACGGGGTTATTGTAGATACATTTGTTAGTAATCCCTCTTAGCAACCCCTTCAGATAAGAAGTTTACGTAACAACCAGCAGAGTTACAACCACATTCTTTACATAGCCGCTGTTACATCTTCTGTGATGCGATGTGCTCTACCACGATTGTAAATATGCTGGGGAAAGAAGGAAGGAATGGAAAGTATGTATGTACTCTGGAGTACCTACATGTAGATAGGTACATGTGAGCGATAAGGAGTACAAAGTGTAGTATGCAGCGAATGGATAAGGGCCGGTTGATTGGCTGGGCTCCGAAATGGGGCAACGGAGCGACGTTGATAATGCCCCGATGTGGTAACTGGGGTGAGAAGGTGCGCTTTTTGGGCATGCACGGGCCAGCTAGTGGACCGGCGGAAGGCTGTACTACTATCTATATTCCTATTTGGGATATACAATAGAGAACTCGTAGGTCACCGAGTCACGACAGCTTGCAATTGTAGAATATAGGTAGAGTACTTCGTGCACCCCACCCCGTACCGGTTTTTTTTTTCTACCCCGGGTCGAGAGGTCTTATCCGGGATGCTGGGAATCGGAGAATTGTGATTGCGTTTTTGCTATTACTTTACACTTTACCTATTATGAAGATCGTATCATATCGAGTCAAAAACACAATCGCATCTTCGCTGTCCGATGAATACGCCTCCTATGTACCTGGCCAGTGAGCTATGAGGCCAGCATACCTTGCATCTTCAAGAAGAAACTTCGACCGTTGCCACTTCAGGATATACGGGAGGGCAGGACCCCCAATTGAGGTGATCCGGGGGAGAGCGTTTCGTTCTTTTTCCTCTTTCTCTTTTTTACTACTATAAGGAGGAGTACGATAGAGCAGTAGATTTTCCAGAGTATAGAAATCGGATTACCTAAAGCTCCGAGTCTCGCGATCGATGCTTCGGAGTTAAGATTCGTCTCCAGATCCAGATGATAGGATACCGTTGATAGATGCTTTGATGCGCAGAGGAGTTATTGCATCCTGCCATCGATATCGTTTGATAGCTACCCGCACTGTTTCTCCGGTGTGATGTCAATGACCGATCATTGTCTTTTGAAGGGCATGAAATGACAATTTCTTTTACCTAATGGATATAACTTCTGAAACTTCTCTCTTCTTAATAATATTCAGGTCTTGCTCGGATTCCTCAACTTGAGAGCAGCAATTGAACATAAATCGGACATAATCTCTGTTGAAATTACTTCTCCAACAGATGTACATCACTACTCTCATCACTTTAACGATGCATACCACCGCCCTTCTTTTTCTTGCAGCTATATCCTCTGTCGTAGGACATGAGCACACAGGAAGTTTACAAGAACGCCTCAATGCGCAAGGACCTCATCGTGAGAGATTGTGGTATAATACTCTGCCCGGTGACGGCGGCACTCAAGTATATCTTCCTCTCCCTTTAATACTGTGGTTTATTTTAATTTGATTGATAGGCGGACTCGGTATTCTCTGGCATCTCCACATTCGGACGTCTACCATACTATCCGTGCCTAGCTTCCGACGCAGAGAAATTCGATATTGCCTTCCTCGGTATGGGATGCTCCTCTATGCCAAGCGTTTTACTTCTAACACGGAGATACAGGTGCACCATTTGATACCGGCACGTCCTATCGCCCTGGGGCCCGTTTTGGCCCATCCGGAATTCGCCAAGGCTCCCGGCGTCTCAACCTCTACGGCGGATATAATGTTCCACTCGCTACCAACCCATTCAATTCCTGGGCCCGGGTACTTGACTGCGGTGACATACCGGTTACTTCGTTCGTTCCCCATTCTCTCCTGTCCCCTATCCAATAAAAACTGACAGCCGGTAGCTACGACAACGACTACGCAATAAAGCAAATTGAGAACGGCCACTATGCGCTACTGTCCCGCACTCCTGCCACGGACGCGGACAAAGCGGGCCCCAGTCTGAACGGTAAGACGTTGCCAAGGGTTATCACTTTGGGTGGGGACCACACCATCGTCCTGCCGATTTTAAGGAGTGTCAAGAAATTGTATGGTCCCATCAGTGTTATCCATTTTGACAGCCATTTGGATACGTGGAAGCCCAAGGTCTTTGGGGGTAGCTTGTCAAAGACTGCGAGCGTGAACCATGGAACATACTTTGTAAGTCTTGCCCACATAATACCCTGATTGTTAGCTGGTATTAACAGTTAGAACAGTATCACGCAGCCCAAGAGGGTCTTCTCAAGAACGACACCAACATCCATGCCGGAATTCGCACGACCCTCAGCGGCCCCAGCGACTACGAAAATGACGGCTACGTAGGCTTCCAGATCGTCGAGGCTCGGGAAATTGACACCATCGGCGTGGATGGCATCATCAAGAAGATTATCGACCGGGTCGGCACCACAAATCCCGTGTACCTGTCTATCGATATCGACACTCTTGATCCCGCGTTTGCACCTGCTACCGGAACCCCGGAGACTGGAGGGTGGAGTACAAGGGAGTTGAGAACTATCGTTAGAGGGCTCGAGGGAATTAACTTGATCGGGGCTGATATTGTGGAGGTGGCGCCAGCGTATGATACCAATGCGGAGTTGACTACGATGGCGGCTGCGGATGTGTTGTTTGAAGTGATGAGTATCATGGTGAAGAAGGGCCCCTTGAGTTATATGGGCGATGGAAAGAAATAGCACGAGTTGTAAGAGCATTTGTAACGGTATTATGTGATTAGTAGCTATATGAATGATATGATGATATGTTATGAAAAAAACAAAAAGATTACAACTATCGCACTTACCACTTTGGTGGACATAGATCGCTCTTGTTTTATTTCATCCAGATGATCAACCCATTTATATCCGTTTGAATTATCGTACGCAGAGTTTGAATTTGCGGCTCGTGTAGGTAGGATACCCAGTCGTAACAATATGTCCAGAGCAACAAGTTGGGCAGCTAATGACGTGGGTGATGAATATGTAGATGAAAGAGCCATAACGGGGATGAGGGAAGAGAAGGCATCCAACAGCATGGATGGAGCGGATCACGCCTTCACTCCCGGAAACGTGCTAAGCAGCCAAGCATGGTGTTGATGCTAGTCTCATTGCAGTCTCGCTAGCTCTGGCAGTGATGATAAGCAGTGAAGAGAGCTCAAAATCACAAGGAATCACTCGAATGTCTTGGCACCGGTGAAGCAGAGCCCCAAACCCGGTCAACCTTAAACTCAAGCTTAAGCCCGGTCAATCCTTGAGGGTGAAGTTTATATAAGCAGCTCTACTGCTGTCGGTGAGTAAAGATGAAGGATCAAGCTTTTGAGAAGATAAGCGATGTAGGGGTTCCGACAGTTTCAGCTTCGCTTTACAGTCATGGTTGTCCACTCATGCTCAGAAGTCCCATGATGGATATTGGTGGCTTTCTTTTTCCACTGAGCCTTAGACTTGAATTTGGAGACCAGATTGTTGACATGCTGACAGAGGATGTGTCAAAGAACATGTGTTTGAAAAACGCAGAAGTAACAGCTGTATCTAGATCTAAATCGCCGTCAATACACGTGTACGCTTGCCTGATTTGTGTCTGTATACTAACAAGACAACGTGGAACATCAGAAAGGCACCCCGCGGTTCCCCAGAAAACCCATTCCTCATGATCATCTTAACCCCGAAAACCATCAGATCATCCTATCGATCCCAAAAATATCAATGGCCCATCTGACCTTCGGGAAACATTCAATTTTTCAGCTATCACCAGATGAGCTAGCTAGGTAAGTACCGACTTATGTAACAACCCACCCTTACTCAATACGGGATCTAAACATTTGCTCACACATCTTAGAACACAGCCCCCGCAACGTCAAACCATATCTTCCAGAAGGAAATAAAAATACCCTCCACGATAAAGAGGAACGATGCAGAAAAGGGCGGATCATTCATCTCTTATGTCGTGCGTCAAGCCAGACTTCATTACCCGACACGCGCGTTCCTACTACATGTAGAGTAGGCCCCGCCAATTGCAAAGAAAGAAAAAAAGTAAAACCATCCGTTCGCGAAACATCATTTCACGCAGTCTAGGCAAATTTTGATCAGCATGGATACTGCAGGTACGCGGATAGCTACTGCGTAGTATGCATACCAGCTAAAGTTAAATGAAGGTTTCGTGCGCGCACCACCGGCCGGATCGGAGGACCCGTCAATTGTGGAAACTAAACCGATTTCAACACCTCTTACCACTACTAGTGTTTGAGGCTTTGACTTTCGAGATGATCACTATATTGAAAGTGGTTTCCTTTGGAATTGATGACCTCCTGAATTCTTCAGAGAATGGGGACTTATTTTTGCTATTGTTACTGAAGTCCTCTCATGGGGTGCAGGGGGCGCCTCGTTAGGGCAAATTATCAAGGAATGATTCTGGGATAGGGATATGGTTAAACTTAATACACAGCAGCAGTAGGAGGGCGCAGGAAAACTACATGTATCGATGGGGTTCATGTCGCACAGTCCACACCGGATCGCTCCGTGAGTCTTACCGCGCGTTCGGTATGTGCCAAGCTCAGGCAGGATTTACAGACGCTAGTCCTAGAATGGACAGACTGATGATACATGTACTTGGTATTTACCTACCGGAGAAATAGCTACTGACCTAATATCGGGGATGTGGAGGGCAAAATAGTATCGTTAATGCCTTATAAAGGGGTCGGGCCGTTTATCAAGCACGTCTTTTTTTACTCGCCAAATATCATTCACGTCCTTCCTTCCTACGAGCTTCTTCTTCTTCTTCTTATTCTTCGTTTGGTTTCCTATTTTTTTCTTCCTTATTTCTCTTCTTTCCAATAACTTGGAATCCACACTCTCTATCTTTTTTTCTTATATATCTTCATAGCTAATATGAGTAACCCACGTCACCAAGAATATCACCATAATCAAGCTCGGTCTCAGGGCTTACCTTTGGAAGACTATCCTCTGGACCATAGGCACTCTCATCCACAGGACTGGAAATATGGGATGTGCGGGTGCTTCAGTGACTGCGGAGTCTGTAAGTGGCCTATCTTAGTTCTAGAAGTTATATTCCAAGATATACTAACAATCCTTTAGGCTGCACTGGTTATTGGTGCCCTTGTATCCTCCACGGAAAGACCAAGCACCGCATGCGCCATGGCACAATGGAGAAATACTCCTGCTGCAACGCTCCCGTACGTCTTTCTCATACCCCATAGCTTTTATTTCAACCACTAACATATCTTTTTACAGTGCATGGGATTCGGATGCTTAGTAGCATGTCTACCACCACTCTACTTCATCATGGGAATGCGACAGCGAGCCGAGATCAGGGAGCGATACAACATTGCGGGTGGAGGCTGCGGAGATTACTGGAGGTCACTTTGTTGCTCGTGCTGCTCGCTCATTCAGGAGGAGAGGGAGGTTAGGGACAGACAGAAGGAGAAGAACGTCGCTCGCGGATATCAGCAACCACAAGGGATGGTTTATGCGGGAGGTCAATAAGCTTGGCAACGTTTACGGAGATTGGTTTGGGTGGCTTGAGATTGGGGCTTTTTATTTTCTTTTTATCTTTCCCTTCCCGTTCTTACTTTTCTTTTCTTTTGTGGGTATTTTTGGGCGTTTCTTTTGTTTATTTCGTTCAAGGAAGATCGATAGGGCTGGGGAACTAGAGGGGTGACGGCGTTCACCGGGGGGCTTTTCTATATATTGGGGTTTTCATATGTCCGCGAGCTTTCGAATTGACAAACTAATCTGTCAATAACCACTTATTAAAAATCGAATTTCATAACGTACCACCACCACCAGAACCCTTGTCCGGCCCGAGTGAGCGCCCATGAAAATTTACTAACCAGCACCCACCTCCATCTCGGTCCATTGCGGGTTCCGAAATTATCCAACGGCAGCTCTCTATCTGAGATACCGCCGCCCCCAAAAATAAACCACCCCCAAATTCCAATGACTTCATGTGATTTTGCGCTCTGGCATGTAGCACAAGCACAAGCACAAAATGCAATATATATATCTCTAACGCTAAGGATAGCGGGGTGTGTCGCTTAGGTTGGGTTGAGTTGCAGGGTACAGTCACTCACAGGGTGAAGGCGGATCCTGTCTGATGGCGGTCAGGGATTTGAGGCCAATAAAAGAGTTAGGTTTTGGACGCCAAGGGCAAATTACTGCAAACAGAACCATCAGACAGGATCCGCCGTCAGTAGGTGAGCGGCTGTAGGATTATTCTGGAAGCGCAGCGCTTGTTGGTTGGTTACACCGCATGCATGCACGAAACTTCTCAGCTCAGTCGAGGGTTAGGGTTCGGCGTTTCATCCAATGTGATCGGTGTTGCGGACTGAGCTGCCTGGCCTGCACAACGGACTGAGTTTGTCCTCAATGTTTGAATTGAACCGGTCGGTGTGGTGGTCTGTTACTCTATATACGTGCATGTAGGGCCCCAGATATATATATAGAGAGGGGGTTTTTGGTATCATCTGGTTGGGCGTCACGCCAGTTGGGTTTCGTCAAGGTTGGGTTTGGAATGTTTGGAATGTAGGTGGGTGTGGAGGTGCTAAGTTGATGCTGGTGAACTGAGTTTGGTTGAAGTTCGACTGAGCCGGCATGTGTGACGGACTAAGTTGGTGCTGGTGGTTATTTTTGTTGAGCTTAAACTTAGCCGTGCAGCGGACCGATATATTTTGGTCTACCAGTTCGACTGGGACGGGATTTATCCGACTGGGTTTGTTCGATGTATGATGGACTGAGTCCAGACGACACTGATTGGAAGGAGTTGACACCGCGAAGTGAGTTGCGTTGATATAAAACTGATTTATCGATGGACTGAGCTTGGTTGATCATGCATGTGGATTGGACTGAGTTGGATCTACTCGATTGAGCATGAGCCGATCGAGTGATAACAGACTGAGTTGACTGGGACATTGAACTGAGTTGGTGCCGGCGGGCTGAGTCGAGTTCTAGCGGACTGAGTCTGCCCATCCCCGCTCAGTCGACGTACATAGGCTCGACTGAGTCTGTCCCGTCCGACTTAGTCCATTTGATGGCGGATTGAGCCGGTGTGTGTCTAGAACTGAGCGACTGAGTTCAATTGATGCCTGACTGAGCTGGCCGACTGAGTCTATCCTCTCCGACTGAGCTAATTTGCTGCGGGCCGAGCCGGCATGCATATAGAACTGAGCAACTGGGTTCAATTATCCCCGACTGAGTTGACCGAGTCGAGTTGATATCCGACTGAGCCCACCTGAGTCCAACTGAGTTCTTACAGTTCTCGACTGAGTTCATATCTCGATGAACTGAGTTTGTCAAGTCCGACTGAGCCAACTGAGCCATCCTGCATATTGGACTGAGTTTGTGACGTCCGACTGAGTTATGTGAGTGTCCGACTGAGCCTAAGTCCGACTGAGCTCATGCATCCGATACCCGACTGAGTTGGTACCTCGTCGAATTGAGTTCAGTCCAAAGCCAACTGAGCCCAATTCTGTCCGACTGAGCTCACCCCACTCGACTGAGTTCACTTCATGGCAAACTGAGTCCAGGTTTCGTTAAACTAAGTTCCCCACCCCCGGTCCAACTGAGCTTACCTCCTCTAACTAAGCTACACAACGTCCGACTGAGCAACACCATCTAACGTCCGACTGAGTCGACACCTCGCAGAACTGAGTTTGTGCCCACTCGACTGAGCGTTATTGCCGATCGACTGGGCTTTATTGCCAATCGACTGAGCTCAATCGGCCCCGACTGAGCCGGCCTGCACATGGGACTGAGTTTACACTTTCCAACTGAGTCCAACTAAGCCTATTTGCTCCCGACTGAGTCGAGTCAACATCCGACTGAGCCCAGCTGAGCCAAACTGAGTGCAGCCCATGCTCGACTGAGCCCAATCGTGTCCGACTGAGCCTGGTTGAGTTCGACTGAGCTTAATCGAACCCGACTGAGTCCACGCTATCGAACTGAGTAGGACGATACTTATCTTATCCAACTGAGTCCCTCAACGAAAGAGCCGTTACATGCCCCGATCTACTATTTGGTTTCTCCTGGACTAAGTTTGGATGTATCCACACCCGCGGAATGGCCATAGTTCCTTCCACCCAACCTCCCAGTCCTTACTGTAAGACTGAGGAGACTAAGTAGCTACTGGCCTAGACTCGGGCGCCCACCGCCCAGGTTTTATTCCCCGAACTAGCGGAAACGTCATGGTTTAACTGAGCTTGAGCTGGCGACTGATCTCGAGGGAATAGAACATACATGACAGGGTTAGGGTTTGGCGGAGATTTATTTGATACGGCTTTAATTAATTTCGATACAAAGAAAAAAGAGAGAAGAAGAACTTGTTATATTATGAGATCCCCCCAGGCAGCGAACCTTAACTATTCAACCTATCGTTGATAACAAAATACACAGCAAAATGAATGAATAAAAAGGTATTCATGAACCATCACTCGGCCCGGCCGGCCGACTATCCAGCAAAATATACTGCCATCGCTAGCTAGATCCACCACTCAGAAGTAAAGCAAAAAGAAAATAAATAGCCATTCTTATGCTTACGCGACTACGATAAGCGCGATATCGTCCAGCATCATATTCGACGCCTGATACCCGAGCCTGTGCCCGTCGCACGTTCCAGACACGTTCAAGATGACCGGTAAACCAGTCCCAACCACAGTTGTAACCTGTCTAGTCTCCTTCCACCCGCCCCCTACATCATTGCTGCTGAGCGCAACAGTGATACCGCTAAGGGAGAAACTGAACTGGCATCCCCGCGACGATATCAGTGTGGAGGCCTGAAGTGTATATTTCACCCCAACACATAATACAATGCTCTGACTAAGTGATACCTTGCCTTTAATGGACGCCACTGCTTCGAACCTGACGACGAGACTTTTGTAGCCAGACCGCGAGACGCCGCTGGTAGTTTTGCCGGAGGTGTTGGGGGAAGAAGTGATATGCCAGAACGAGGGATAGCCTATCTCAAAGCCAGGGTTTTGAATGATTGCGTAGCAGGTCGTGATGGGAATACTCGTGGTCGATGTGGAGAGTGTTGTGGGTGTAGAAGTGATGATAGGGCTGATAGCTGTAGGAATAATGGTACCGCTTGTGATGATAGTATCGATTGTATTAGCAGTGCTGCCGGTGGGGTTAATTATGGTAGGGTCTGTAGTGCCGCTAGGATCAACAATGGTGGAAAGAATAGTACCACTGGGGTTGATGGCACTAGTTCCAGGGATGCCAGCAGTACCAGTAGGGATGGTGGTGCTGCCTGGAGGGACGGTACCACTAGGGTTGGTAACACTAGGAGTAATGACAGTACCAGTTGGGTTGATTGTACTGGGAGGGTTGGGATTGGTGGGATTAGTAGCAACGCCAGTGGAGCCAATGGTGGTTGGATTCACTGTGCCAGTCGGGTTTTCTGTACCAGTAAAGCTAATAGTGACCCCATTGGGATCGACGACAGTAGGACTGACGGTACTTCCACTGGGATTCACGGCGGTAGGGTCAATGATCGTAAGACTGGTAGTACCAGCACTAGGGTTAATCACAGCAGTAGTGGTGTTAGGCGCTGTAACAGCCCTATACAGGTGTTAATTAGCGACAAAGAAGGCAGTAGGTGGGGGAGGCATACCCAGTGATTGTCACTGTAACAGTTGCTTGGGCAGCGGCAGCAGTTATAGTCGATGTAATAGTCACAGGTTGCGCATTAGAGGTAACGGTAATAATACTTAACCCAATAGTAACTGTTTCCTGGGCCGTTGTAACAGTCACAGTAGCGGTTGCAGGCGCAGTAAACGTTTCGGTCACCGTACCACCGACAGTTTGAGTGCTGGTTTCAGTTATGGTTACAGTAGCCGGCAGAACTGTAGTAGCTTGTTGAGCCGTGGTAATAGCTACAGGGACAGTCGTAGTAACTGTAGCTATAGTACCACCCAATCCTAATCCTAATCCCAAGCCCAGCGCCGGAACCGTAATTGTTATTATACCCCCAGGCTGGGTCTCAGTTATGCTCCTGGTGGATGTTTCAGTCCTAGTGGTGGTAATTAATCCCTCGGTGATTGTTTCTTTTGCTGTGGTGACTGTTTGAGTTACAGAAACGGTAAGTGTTCTGGTGCTTGTGTCGGTAATGGTGTTTATACTTGAGCTAGTGACTGTAGTAGTGGCAACCACTGTTGATGTTGTGGCCATGCAGACGTCTGTATTAGTGGCTGAGATCATTCCAGTACCTGTACCAGTCCCTGTGTTGGTAGAGGCATCCGTGCCTATAACGGTACCACTAGGTATAGATGTAGCTGTAGCTGTGCCAGGAGATGTGGCTGTGCCAGTAACTGTACTAAGTGTGCCAGTAGCTGCAGTAGGTGTGCCAGTAACTATAGTAGCTGTACCCACACCTGTAGCTGTGCCGGTACAAGTGCTCGTATCTAGCCTTTTCTCCCATAATAGACCCCTACGAGGATATCAGTCAGATCTGTCGAGCTATTCAAAGATAATTTGGTATCATTGCGTACTTTGACAATCCTCCACACAGATCCTCAGGGTTTCCTGGACAAGAAAGTCTACATCCAGTCCCCATGCCATTCCAGTCTCCACCCGTTAAATCAGGTTTATTACCACACCAGCACTCGCTATCACCAGTCAATCAGCCAATAAACTAACCTAAATCAAATGAAAGGTGAGAGGGGGGCGTACATTTGATACTCGACTAGCGCCCAGCCAAACCCTCGCTCTGCACAATGAGACATGCAAAGATCTGAGGTCATCTGGTCTAAAATAAAACGATATGGGAGAATTCTGCGATCTGGTAGCTCATTCTTGCACCCATGAAAGTCCCACATACAACCACCTGGGTTTGCAACGCCATTGGAAGGTGGGGGCTCAGTACGGGGGATTAGGGATGCAAGACAGGGGCTGTTCAGAAAGATTAATAGAAGAGGGAAGAGACAGTTGCTTTTCTGGAATCCTCCAGAGAAGAGATCTAGGATAACACCCATTGTAAACGTCTATCTGCTCGGCTTTGGGTGATGATGAGATGAGGAGAGAGATTTTTTGAACTCTGAAGTGGGTTTCTTGGGACGTATCTTTTATACTAAACACTCTAAGAGAATACATATATACTACACGTAGCTGATCTCGGGATGTATCCTATCGGATTACGTTGTACAAAGTTTATCCATACATGTCTGTTGCCTCCCTTTCCAGAGCCACGGGAATAAAGACTCAGATCAGTATCATTGTACCTACTCTATATATCTACATACACCTAGATATATTACTGGCCAGACAATCATCATTGCGGAGCGCGTTAGAAAGATTCATAATCTTAAGACCCTGTGATATGAGCGTGTAACTGTCCTTCCAATTCACAGCTATGTCTAGCCCTAGTTAAGAGCTTCCCAGATTAACATAGGTATCCCGGTTGGAGTCTTCTTTCTGTTGGTAGATGCGTACATGCATGTGGTTAGATCTAGATGTACTTAATTACAAACCCGTATAGTAGATTAAGTAGGAATCAAACAAACCTTAGCAATAGGCACACGATACTCCTAAACCGAAACCTCCAAAATAAATCTTCTCTAGAGAGAGAACGAGTGGAATGAAATATTGATAATTCGCGTTATACGTATTTATGTGGCCTCAACACATCTGAGTAGACCAATACACTACATGTACTCTACATGGCACCCTGCAAAGTGCTCCACGCCACAACGAACATGAATGTGACTAAAGTTTGTTATACAACACAACATACATGTCTTCGGTATACGGTTGGGTACATACGTTATGCATACATGTATCATCAGGGTTTCTGCCAACACCCGAATCAAGGGGTTGGGAACCTGTCTCTTTTTGTGACTATGATGCATATGATAGATTTCTCCATATAATTAATATTAATGAGGCTTGTAGTTGTCTCCCGCAGTGACACACACTTGTTGCAATATTGCTTATCGATCCGAAACCTTTATAGAAGCCGTTCACTTAAACTTTTATTCCTACTTATCAAGGTCTTTTTTGTTCCAGATCTCCAACAATCGGATCCTAAGTACCTGCCGAATCGACCCTGCTGTCAAGAAACTCTATTTGCCGATACAGTACTGCAAGGAATCGCTGACATTCTTTCCGCATATAAACTCCCAACGAAAGTACATATATATTAATATCAAGGGGAAAAGAAATGAGCGTAGAATAAATTAGAGTTATTGCCTCCCAATGTCTCAGCACGGATATAAAAATTACATATAATAAAGGTTAAAAATAGAAATAAAAGTGACAAACTCCCCGATTGTACATATCCTCGATTCACATTCTCCACTCCTGGTAGTTCATCTGTACCATCAATAGCTCAAAAGAACATTCTCCAGTATCAAGAAGGTACCAGCAAAATAGGCATTTAGAGCTCGACCATAATGAATCATACCCTTCAACGCATAGATGGACTCAAGCGAGCAGGTATTGCTTCTTCCTCCTCTCCCTTCCCTTCCTTCCCGCACAAGCACCATGCTGGCCAACGAGACGGCTTTGATTTGGGGGGCTGCGATGGGCTACTAAAACCACGATTACCTCCGACGGAGCCGTAATGTGTGGAACTTGGTGGAGATCTATGTGCAGTCATATCTGTGTATGCTGGGCTCTTGATAGATTCAGCACTAGAGACAACTTTCCGCCGACTGACCGCCGGAACTATCACTGAATCAATGTCGGAAAGACCCATCAGTCCGCCCTCCGTTGTCGTTGTTGCACCAGTCTCGTCCTCATGCCGTTGGTAGGTCGTATTTGTATCGGAGCTATCATTAATACTACTGGTTACCCTATCCGTCACCGTAGGGGGAGGCGGCCAGGACGATTCGGTGCTCTCAATAGGACCCTCTGTTGCGCTGAGCGCAGGGGTACGACTTGTAGTATTATCATGTGAGTCATCGGTAGGGGTTAATACAGAATCGTCAATCTGGCTTTCAGTGATGTGCCCAATTGTTGCACTTGGTTCAGGAACGCGAGATGCATCATCATGCGAATACTCTGTAGGCCCCTCTGTGTGACCTAGAGATTCAACAATGCTCTCTAAATCATCATCAGGCTCGTCTATATTCAACGTCAGTGTGCAGTTCCTTAGTCGCGATAGTGAGGGGAGGTTTACTTATTGACTTGAGATATTCCTCAACATCTAGTTTCTTCTCTACTGTAGCATATTCTAGCACATTCAAGCCTTTTTTATCCTTGACCTTTGGATCCCCTCCATTTTCGCACAGCAATTTGACACTAGAAAGATGACCTCCACTAGTAGCATAATGCAACGCAGTTCTTCCACTATCGTCCGTTTGAATGTTTGGATCGGCGCCATTTTCGAGGAGTGCTCTAATGCTATGATCCCGTCCTTCTCCGGCTACGTGGTGTAGTGCAGTCCACCCGTTTCTATCCTTGACGTTGCTATGACAACCATTCTCGAGAAGCACTCTGATGCTGAAATCATGCACAACCTGGCTTGCTACGTGAATTGTGATCCGCTTGATATTTTCTTCCATGTCCCCGCCATTTTCAAGCAATTCTTTAATTGCGGATCCATCCGCGCCCTTTGCAGCCATGTGAAGTGCCGTATCCCCATCACTACTTCGAGTGCTTCCGTTACAGCCATTTTGAAGAAGTGTCTCAATAGTGGTATGATGGCCAGCAAGAACAGCGAGATGAAGTGCCGTCCATCCAAATTCGTCCTGAACCTCCTTCTCATAATCTTCTGATAGAAGTGTTTTGATTATGTGATCACGACCTTCGTGTGACGCTATATGCAACGCCGTTCGTCCTTTGCTATCTCTAGCATGTCTGTCACAGCCCCCTTCGACCAGCAATTTGACAGTAGTATCGTTTCCCGAACGGGAAACGAAATGGAGAGGCGTTTCGCCGAGATTATCCCGGGCATTAGAATCACAGCCATAATGTAAGAGGACTTCCATAGCAGCTTCATGGCCAGCGTACGTTGCGACATGCAATGGCGTTAGCCCCTTTTGATCGCGGAAATTTATCTTCTGGCAACCTTTTTGAAGAAGGACTTCAAGGATATAATCGTGCCCAAGTTCTGCAGCTATGTGCATCGAAGTCCGTTCTTGGCCATCCAAACTATCCCCATGATATCCATGATCCAAAAGCATCCGGATAATGGACACATGTCCTTTATAACATGCGAGGCGCATTGGAGTACGTTCCTGGGCGTCTCTTACTTCACAGTCTGCGCCTCCCCGAAGTAACGTCTCGACAGTGCTATCATGTCCAGCCTCAGCAGCAAGATGGAGAGGAGTCATCCCCGCAGCGTCGCGAGCGTTCTTATCGCATTTATTGTCAAGTAACGCCTGGACGACAGAGTCGTTGCCGGCCAGAGCGGCCACATGGAGAGCCGTGCGGAAGTCATCATCCCGGGCTTCAACTTCAAGACGCCTCTGGAGAAGCACAGAAATACTACTGTCCCTTCCTGCATGGGCAGCAACGTGTAAAGCCGTGCGACCAAGCTTTGCTTTACTCTTTCTATCGTTCTTGTCCTGAATCAGGCCTTTGATGACAGGATCACGGCCCAAACGGCTAGCATAATGTAGGGCAGTTTCCCCCTCCAAGTCCCGAGCCTGTCTATAACAGCCGTTTTCTAGAAGCATATCGATTATGGGAAGATGGCCGGCGAAGGCTGCAATATGCAAAGGGGATCTTTGGTGCTTGTCTTTGGCCTCTGCATTAGCTCCGCTTCTGATCAAGGCCTTCACTATATTCTCACTTCCGGCATATGCCGCAACATGTAGCGGAGTCCACCCTGCATGACTCTGCATCTCGATTTCGGGGCCCTTGGCTAACAACATTAGATTGGCGGTAGGTTCCTGACCCGAAAAGGCGGCGGTGTGTAAAGCGGTATATCCATCTCTATCTTGTAGTTTTGGATCTACCCCATTCTGAAGAAGAAACTCGACCATGCTATCATGACCCTCATGTGCCGCCCAATGCAAGCCGGTATATCCATGAACATCTGACAGCAAGATGTCCAATGTTCCAGCCTTGAATAGCTCCTGAACAACCGACACAAGGCCAAACCTGGCTAAGATATTGATGGTTGGAACCGTCTGGGGATTTGTCCTCCAACTCTCTGCCATTCGTAAGCTTGTGGCAGTGGAATCTGGTGAACAAAGCTTTAACCATTTAAGGCGAAAAGGCATCTTTTCATCACAAAGAACTCGCACAAGCTCCAGTAGATTGATATCGTTGATGATTCCGATTTGGCGGAGATGATAGGCCCAGTATGTTGCTGCATAGAGAACGAAAGCACCGCCGGATGATTGTGTCAACGCAGCTTCGGATTTCATTTGTGGCGATTGATTATTCCGTGCTACTCCATCCGACTCCTCAAAGACATCTGCAGGGCGAAGCATCGAAATGTACCTCACACATGCAGTCGCAATTGCGTAATTGGATTTTACCGAATCGACGTAGAAGATAAATGTTTCGGGTTTGAATGATAACGGCTCTTGTAAAAAGTCCATAGCTGATCTGTGGACTAAACGAACAGTTTCTCCGACTATCTTAAGCAAAGGACCGCAGTGGAGTCGAAGGTGTCGCTTAATATCTGCGGAAACTTTACGAATTACTGACACCAATGCCCCATCATCCGGTTCTATTGCTAGAGCGACTGCAATCTCGGATAATAGCAGCGGTCGAGCAGCGCAGACAAGGTACATCAGAATTTTGCTTGCGGATTTCTGTCTTCTGATAGGTATTGCCTCAATAATATCCTCATAAATGCCCTCCAATGTTCCCGGCATGCTTGCAAGTACTTTCTCGAGGTCGTCTTCGGCAGACTCGGGGGGTTCTCGAAGGATTTCGAGTACTAATGAAGCCCATAGAAATGATCCATGAGCTCGTGCGATAAGGGTAGACTCAATCATCGACCGCATATCATCGCGCTCCGACCAGAGGTGTTTCAGCTTTCCGACTTCTGCTTGTACCACCTCCGTAATATCTTTATCTATTTGCTCAGATTTCTTTTCCAGTTGTATTGTATGTCCATATTTAAGGCCGTGAAAGCTGCTATGAATCGTTTCCTCGGGCCGTCCTACCATCAGAATTTTAAAAAGTTGAGTGACATGTGACTCTCTAGTTCTTTTTGTTTCAATTATCCGTTTGAAGAGCCGGATAAGTTGTCTTCTCGATGATTTTTCACACTCGTCAAAGCCGTCAATCACACAATATATATCTCCCATAGTCGTGTCAAAACAAACCTTCTCGAAAATGTCGCATAGGGTGCCGAAAGAAAGGTAAATTTGGGATCCCATGGATTGGTAATAGGGAAGGGCATGTTTCTGCAATAAGAATGGATGTGCGGTGAAGACCTGGTGTAATATAGCTCGAAGAACAGCCTCGCCGGTATTCTCCTTATCGTTTTTTGCGTCGCAGAAAAAGTAGCCTGACGTTGACGGGTTGCTCGAGCGAAATTCAACGGTATTCAATTCATCAACAATATAAGAAGATAGAATTGTTTTCCCACACCCAATTGGACCTGAAACCCACAGGGCAACGGACTCCTCTCTATCGAGCCAATTTTTTCTGAACTCTTCATCCTGTAAAAACCACTTACACGTTCCTGGCCCTCGACTTGGTATTTGTTTTCTGTGAGTAAGGTAATCCGAGGTCCAAAAATACCGCAAACAGCTTTCCTCCTTCTCAGAAAGTACTAGAGGAAGAATCAACTAGTCAGCCTATAACAAAAAAGAAGATTGGTTCCAGTCTTTCGTCAGAGTACTGACCTCGAGGCACAACTCCCTGTGTAGCTAAGTCTTGCAATATCGAGGCAAGCTTTCGATACTGTGAATCATCGGCTGATGGAAACTTGGGCAATGATCGGTGGTCCCCTGCGATACTGAGTGTTTTTTCGCGGTCTCCGAGATTCAATTTTGTCGACGCTGGCGGTACCACGAGTGCACTCTTTCGATTACTACGTGGTACAGACGTCTTTTCTGTCTCGTTGACGGTGACCACAGAGAAGCCTTCAAGAAATCCAAAAGCGCGAGCAGTATCTTGTATTGAACGGGAATCCTCAACAAGATCTTTAATATTTGTTGTACCGAGATCAGTGACAACTTGAGCAATCTTGCTAATACGCTTTGCCAACTTTGCAATGTCGGCACCGTCATGAGGTACACCCATAAGTACTACACCACAAGTAGATCGAAGAATCAAGTTATATTTTTCTTCTCGCTTTGCGATTGTGAGAGCCTAAGAAATGTTAAACCAAGAATCCCACAGTCCAGTTGAAGGAGATCTTACTTTCTTGATGAGAAGCCCTCCTATGCTGTGCCCAATAAATATTATTGGTCTTTCTTTCTCCTATGATTCTTTAGCGAATATCCGGGAGAATACAGACGTGGAGCTCAAACCTCCATTGATAGACGGCGGAACCTGAGTTCTCTCAAAAGACCCTCCGCCTTCTCCATTATAGTCATAACACTTTTGCTGTTGACCAGGCTTGAATCATATCCATAAGTCATAACACGCGCACCTGGGAGATCTTTCGGCAGAAAATCCCGGAGCCATGATTTCCCGGATGAATCGTGAGTCCAAGTTCTCACCGGATGTCCTGCCAGACCGTGAACCGCAACAATACTATGCAAAGGAATTCATCAGTGCTATTCCCAGTTCCGAGCCTATTCGAAGGAAATTATGGTTTAAAGCTCATTTTTCCGATGTGCGCGACTACGAGCGCTCGTCGCGCAATCGGAGTGAGGGTAAACCCACAGAAATCGGGTAAAACTTACTCCACTGCTTTTATACCATATTGCTGGCCCGCCGAAAGGTCGCTTTGAGCGGGGTGTAGAGTCCTGAGACCATATGTAGTTTGCGCTGTAGAACTCTATTACTTGTCAGGGTAGGTAAGCAACAGCTCAAGGGGCTCGCAGAAAAGGATCATCAACTTGCATTTTTAAGCGTGAGGTCGCTGTTTTCCCCAGCGATAAAACGACTCGAAACGGTGCGATCGCTTCTGGCCGCCATAGCGAATTTACAGTTTGTGAAGGTTTGACGACCTAGGAGGACCGAAGATATTGAACTGTTGATGGTGTTCGCGAAAAGCGGTCACCTCAACGAATAAACCCCGCTTACCTTTGCAGGCGGCGGTCCAGCATTCTACATACGTGCCTGCCTCGGCTGCCACTATGTACGTATGTCATAGCTGAAGCGCATAGGCCAATTGCAATCAATTGGGTGAATGACTCGTGGCTCACCAGATGGTTGGATCCAAAAGGGCGCCTACGAAGAAAACAAAAACAACCCCGATGAAATCAACCCTTGCCAAGAGCAACACTTGGGCGGATTTGAATGGTAGGGGCTGCCATTTTAGCAGATGCTGGCACTGATGCACATGCAGGTCGCCTCGATCAAATGGGTACGTTTCAGGATAGAGGCTGTAGAATACATCGACAAGATGCCTGCAACCGAGTAACCATTTTAAGCAAACACCCCATCTCCCAGGAAAGATGAAGTCGAAATCCCCGGGAACCCTTTATCTACTTCCCCTATCATATGGTGAGGGAAGCCAACCAGAATATATGCCGAATCCCAGGCACGTCTCCTTCTCACATGGTTGGAGTCGACGTAGAAAGATATAAAGTATCTAATCCGAGTGACAAATTATGAAGATCAAGGGGTTGAGATTCAGGTACAAAATGTACCTGTGGATGATCGCGTGGGTTGGGTTCCGTTCCCAACATCCATGGTCCAGCAGCTAGCAACGGGACGGAACAACAAGTGGGGGATGGGATGAAAAGCGGATGTTCCTGCAGCTATAGTGAGCGAGGTTCTAACTATGAAAATTGTCGGCAAGGAGATAGACATGTAGATTTACATTAGTGCTAGTAGAGTACATGTACTCTATGTAGGTGCGTATGGAATATAATAGGTACATAATCCTAAACCCCTGTAAGTTTTAAGTCCCATGGTCACTCACTGGATGATGAACAACGACTCATCAATCAATTCTCCAGTACCACACTTCTCGATCAAGCCTTCTAAAGTCCTCGACTTTGATAAACCAAACAACGAGGTTTCTAGAAGCCAGGCCCCGATGGCAATGCATCTAATGTCGTCGTCATTTCGAGGATCGATTGGTATCGGGACTGCAAGGGGGAGTACTAATCCTCTCTCCAATCAGCACGAAAAAACCTCCGGCTAGATAAGACCATTGCATCACCATCATCATCGTCATCATCATTATCATTATCATCATCATCATCGAAATGACATGACAAGTCAGATCTCAATTCAAAAATCGGCCTGTATCTGCAAAAGATGGATCCCAGGAAAGGATAGTGACTTGCTGAGATGGAGAATAGCCCAATTGGCCAATTTCGAAAAATACACTTTCTGTGCATATAGGAGCTCTGGGGCAGAGAGAGATATAAGATGCAAGGGATCTAGGGTGCAGATATAACAGGAAATAATCAAGAAGGAAAGAAAGATCTAAATATTTTTATCAGTGCCATGTGAGTGAATATCGAAGCTGCTTGGTTGGTGACGCATGCCGCATGCATGCAGAAATAGTCAGATGAAGAATACAGGAGCCAGTATTTGAACAACAGGACCCAAAGAGAATTTAATTTAAGAACCATTAATGGTACAATGATGTTCAGTCCGGCTGTCCCGAGTTTGATTCGTCTAAGACCCCAGGTTAGTTATGTTTCTGGCGGCCTCATGAGCGGCTTTCGATAAGTATCAAAGACTATAAAGCCGATCTATATCCTACGGCCTGAATGAAGGAATTGCTGACTGTGCCATTTTACATTCCCCAAACTATATTCCTCTTGCTAGATGGACCTTGACTAGTAGTCAGCGCTGTATAAATAAGGACATTCTTGAGGTATGATCTAGCCCTAGGTGCATGTTGCAATATATATATGCATATGGCCCTGGTGGCGTTTCCTAAGGTAGTAAGCTTTATGGGTGTTTCATGTTTTCACTCCTTTTTATACCGGTATATGGATACTGGGCCACATTTTCTCTCTCTGAAGGATATGTGGTTAAAGGTAAAAACTCCAGGCATTGCCTAGTCGTTATAATTATCTTACTGGGTTCATATGTATATACATTAATCAACTTCGCTCCTCCGGATCACCAATACTGCGCATACTTGTAAGAGCCAGACAGGTAAATTATCCTTAACGTCGCGCTTCCCGAGCTAATTAGGTCAGAGTTCATGTTTATGGGATTGCTTTGGTGACTAGGCCACGCCATCCATCCATGTAGGTGCTTTAAGTCACATTAATACACGTACTTTAGAACTATAAGCTTTTCTAGGCACGCTATATTAACCAGCCTTTGCGTACCTCTAGTACTTGTATAAGGAATAAACCCAATTTCATCGGCGAATGCAGGATGTGACGCGGGGCTCAAATCGTTCCATCTGTATGGCGCATGGTAAAGCTTTTGATAAAGTGCAATTTAATATAAATCCCAACCATCATATCACTAATCCACCAATAGACACCGAAATCAATATCCAGATATCGGTAAAAGTGGATAGAAATCCCGGTTTAGTTTACGGTTCTCGGTCCGTTGAATCCCTCGCACGGCGGCTAAAGAACTCTGCGTCATTCGGTCCGAAGCTTAATTTGACATGCACAACCCCACCGGAGAGCAATTATATTAATTGAGAACATATATAGGGAGGTCACTTGGGTAATGCGATTCCATATTCATTAAGACTTCACAACTCCGAGAGAGAGAAAATACGTCAGAATGAAGTCTCTTGCTGTGGTATTCTCCTGTGCGGCGCTTTTCGAAGTGGCTATTGCTCAAGCTTCTGCATGGGCGCAGTGTGGTCAGTATCTTGTTCTCTGAGCCTAATTTGTTGAGTAAGATACTTAATTATAATTCTAATGCTTAATTGAAGGCGGTGTTAGCTGGACCGGCGCTACTACTTGTGTCACTGGCTATACTTGCAGTTATTTGAATGCTTATTACTCCCAGGTAGAGAAATAATGCAGCTCCAATGTTATAGCCAATGATGGACTGAAAGAATTGTTCATAGTGCATCCCGTCGACCTCCACTGTTGTGACGACATCGGTGGCTTCTACAACAACGACACGGTCTTCCTCAAGTTCCACTGGAGTAGTCACGTCTTCTTCAACAAGAAGTACCACAACTACAACCGTTAGTAGCACTACATCCTCATCCACGGCAGTAGCTAGTGGAGGTCCCAGAAAAGAAGTTGGGAAACTTCCAGCGCTAGGATGGAACACTTGGAATGCATATGGAGGAGGTACGTTCAGCTCCAATCCTATTGAAACGGTCTGCTGACCTGGACAGATATCAATGAAACAAAGATTCTCAATGCAGCCAATGCCTTCATTTCACTCGGCCTCAAGGATCTCGGCTACGAGTATGGTATGTTGATGACTTTTATACTACAAGGGTTATATGCGATTTCTCATATACAATAAATAGTCAACATCGACGATTGCTGGGCACAGATGGCTCGTGTTGATGGTAAAATGGTCCCGGATGCAACAAAGTTCCCCAACGGCATAAGCGGACTCGCAACAACCATCCACAACCTTGGGCTCAAAATTGGGATCTACTCTGATGCCGGCCTTACTACCTGCAGCGGTAACTAAGATTCAATTCCAAACTGATCAGTCGAAGAAGTGAACTGATTTTCAAAGGCTTCCCGGGATCGTTGAACTATGAGACTGTTGATGCTGAAACATTCTCGGGATGGGGAATTGATTGTATCTATAACCTCCCTGATAATTTCGGCTGAACTTAGTGCATTCTGACACGCCTCAGACCTGAAATACGACAACTGCAATGTCCCGAGCGAGTGGAACGATTCCGGGGTATACATCCTTTACTAGGTTTCACCCTGCGGAATGCTAATATGACTTAGAATTACGCCGACTGGACTCTCTCCAAATCATATGAAAGATATAAACGCATGACGTGAGTGGATACCTTCTACTTCGAAACATTTCACTAATATATTCGTACTCAGCACTGCATTGAACGCCGTTTCAAGACCAATCCAATATGCGATCTGTAACTGGGGTAACGCACAAGTATGGACTTGGGGCCCTCAAGTGGTACGACGCCCCAGTTTTCACAAAGAGAAAGAGACATAAATAAATAAATAAAGTTTACTTCTTTAACATGTTTAATTTGGTAGGGGCATTCGTGGAGAATGACCGGAGACTCCAGCGAGACTTGGTCATATATCCAATCGGCAATCACCAACAATGCGAACTACCTGGACTATGTGGGATTTTATGTAAGTAAAAACCTCACTACATGTAGTAATGCTATGAGAGTTGTGCTGATCTTGGGGTGTAGGGACATAATGATATGGGTTCGGTCCCCGCTTTCTCTCTATGAATACTAGGAAATTTTGCTGACAAATAATAGATATGATGGGTTAGAACTACCCAATTCAGGGGCCGAATCATTTTTGATGATCCAATGCTAACATATGAATTCCAAACTTACAGAGATTGGCAACGGGTTTGTATCATCCAATTCTTATTACTGTATATGCATAACTAATGTCATACGCCCAGAGACTTGACCATCGCCGAAATCAGAACGCACTTTGCAGCCTGGGCATTCATGAAAAGTCCCATACTACTCGGAACTGATGTAAGCGATATATAATCAACATGTCTCCAAACTCATCAATACTTACATGCGTATCTAGCTCTCTGCCCTCACTGCTGCCGAACTCGCTGTCATCAAAAACACGGAACTTCTCGCCTTCCACCAAGATGCCACCTACGGTGCCGCAGCAAAACAATATAAGGTTACCAGTCCCCCAGAGTATTACAGTGGCCAGAGCTCAAAGGGTTACCATGTCTTTATCATCAACTTCACCAGCGCTGCATCGACTAGAACAATTACCTTTAGCGAGGTGCCGGGTTTGGCGGCGGGGGTAAGCTACAAGGTGCATGACATGTGGACCGGGTCAGATTTGGGGACTTTTACAGGCAGCTACAGTGCAAGTGTGGCAAGCCACGATACGTTGGCTGTATTGATTACCACAGCTTGATAGATGGGTGGTGTGGCGAAGATTTCGAAGTGTACTTAAAACCAATTCATCATTGATTGAGAAAGGTCGTATTCTTTTGGCAGCGCTCGCTCTAGCCTACTCGTAGGCTTTCTCATCTTGGTTGAAGGAAATAAGAAGCATATATAGCGTAGTGCTATATGATAGTGCTTTAGATTACTATCGAACCTTCCATTCAATCACCAGAACATCCATACAATATCTATCTCGGACACTCCCTCCAGTACTCCTAATCAAGCGCCCTCCTTCCCTATCTCTCTTCTACAACTCCTATCCTCTCCTCCGTATATATACACTTCGCTACTTTCGCTGCACCCATTATGCAAGCAGCGGAACGACCTGTAACAATGAAAACATTGCGAACGCCCCCAAATCTTGCCCTTGGCCCTCCCGACGCCCACTCAGATGGAACACCAGGATAGGGGTACGGTACTGACGCCATACCGAAATGATCGGATTCATGACCACAGGTTATCCAGGTACACATGTTGAGCTGTAGCAGATCAGATCTAGATCGAATTTCGGGGCTCCTTTGACAACATCCATAAAATAGTTCAAAGCGTTCCGGTTAACCTCCTAGATTTGAGAATGACCCACAAACAGAGGTGATGTTCATATCCAACGGAAAGTCTCTGCCCAGGCTCGTCGGCCCCGGCCCCATACAGGTTATATGCTTCAATAGGAGCAGGTAATCCGTGTCCGCAGTCCGCTTTCCATCACCATAAACTAATTTTTCTGATGTAGGGTGGCTGCAGCAAATCACCATCCCTCTCACAGTAGCCTGTTTAGAGAAACCGTGGGATCCCAGAAATTTTGTTGAAACGATATATAAACACTTTTTATCGTTTTCAATTAGCGGAGGTGATGAAATTGGGAATATATATATTTTACTATATACCTGTATTTTTGCTCCTATTGATCTGTGTCCTACCAGACAGTAACACCCCTACAGCGGAGGCATCTTTCAAGCTCCAGTACCGAAAACTGGTGGTCCTCCACGGATCTGGGGCGTGCATGGAGCATTCCAGTTAACCTTAACAGCCAGTTTATTATCGTGGTTAGCTTAAGCCATGAGATTTTAAATATTTCATACCTTCAGCACCATAAGACAGAATGTTTCGCCTTGTTGGAGGCGGCGCAAAGTATCCCGGTTAACCCCCAGCTAGTCCTGATATTGAAGCCCATGATGCGAGGGATTTGTGCTTTTAGCACTGGCCCACAGCCAATTGTGTCATCCCAGAATCCATGGGGCGCGGCATGAAGCTTCTTCTACTGCCAGACCTATCAGCTGCTAGCCTTACCAATTTTTATTAATGGGAGTAGACTGGAAAGCGACTTCACCGTACCTCCGGCATGCACCGTTCAATCGAGTCCCCGACTCTCCTTATGGTCATCGGTGCATCTGTACTACAGAGAGGACAACGGCAAATCTGCTGGATATTCGATGATATCTAATATATAGAGAGGTCCACAGTATCATGTGCGAACACTTGGAGGCGGCGAAAAGTTCTACGGTTAATCCCCTGTAGTGTTTATTGTATTAGACTACCAATAACACCCGATACGAGACGGACACTGAGCGTACACCATTAAGCATAAGATTATATCGATTCCAATGTGATATGATCATTCTTTTGTTGACTGATGATGATGCTCTCGCTGCAGATCAACAAACGATTGATCAGTATCCTGACAATAACCCCCGAGCTTATTCAGAATATACTTTAATAGAGAGGATGTATTTACCTGACAGTTCTGCAAAGTGCGTGCCGCATTCTAGCTACATCCAAATTTACACATAAATGTAAAGTTCTTTCGAACAGTTTTCTGTTGATAGAGAGAACTAGGATGATGGGATAAGGACCCTGATGGGTGATGAAGAGAGATGGAGTCGAAGGACAAGGTGTGGAATAGACTTTATAAAAATCCACTAAGCCGCTCTCTTAGTAAGTAAGAAGTCAGTTTACTATAAACGTACCCTAGAATCAAGCGAGCCATGTGTCAATTAATAATCTTGTTTGCGGTGGAGGGGTACGTATAAAATCAACGACTCGGGTACAGAAACTGGGAAATAATATTTGTATACATGCAATATGTACATAGATCAGCTTACATTTATTGAACTCAATCTTGTCTGCAGAATTAGTCTATTCAAAGACTAGAATTGGAAGCCCGGCCTACTTACTACGTACTTTCAAAGCAATGCACGTTTGATTGGTTGTGGTTTCTAGCTGGTCGAGTGATTTCCTGTGTTTGGACTTGAATCACTTGGTTACGCTTGGCATACTTGTACCTATTTACGTATCTCCGCTGTTCAATAAACAGTACTAGCTCAGTCTCTGGAGACTTATGACAACACCTATCACAAGACCTGACCGAACATAACATCTCCGCTATACGTAATAACCGCGTCTACCAGCTAGCCGCGAGTGATATTGAAGCTGTCTTCGTACGGCCCCGCTCATGTGCCATGCATTCATCTACGGACAGCGAATATATCAACTTCAACCAAATTAATATATATATACACTTTACGGTTTCTTGCTAAACCCAAAATGCCACCCTCAGGTTTCAAGAGATTCTTCGACCGTAAACCCTCTACTGAAAAGGAGAAGGAAATCCCCAAGTCCACGAAAAAAACCTTCCTTGGGCGAGGGTTCTTAAAGCTAAAACTCTTTCGGGTGGTTAAGCAAGTCCCACCACCAACAGAGCATATACCAGCTCGTGTACCACGTATGAGATTCTTCGATTTCCCAATCGAAATCATACTCCGAATTGCCGATGACCTCGAGGTCGACGACCTTAACTGTTTCCTCCGGACATCACCACGCCTGGCTAAAATTCTCTCTCCGCTACTGCTGGAACGCGCAGTAACTCACAATCTTATGCACTACCGCAACCGTACTGTTCTTCATTGGGCTTCCGCGCATCACCGAATCGACCTGATCCAAGTACTCCTCGCCTGCGGTGCTAGCGTCAACATCGCAGACGAATGGGGCATAACACCGCTCCACTCTGCGGTCCTCGCCGGTAACGATCTTATCACCTTGGTGCTCCTCGAGAACGGAGCATATATTGACCAGGTCGACAAAGTATGTGAGATGACCGTACTCCAGTGCGCGGCGCTCGTAGGGAATCATAGGATTTCTAGACTACTACTAAATCACGGAGCAAACATCGATGCAAACAGCCCTAAATCCATGCGCATGACTGCGATACTGTTCGCTGTGGTGCTTGGGTATATTAGTGTCGTTGAACTGCTGGTGGGGAGGGGCTGCCGCTTGGATAAGATCCACGAGCGTGGGCCTACTCCAGCGATGTTGGATAAACAATCTGGTCGGGGGATGTTGGTTGAACTCTTGGGAGGCGTCAGCCGGCGATATGATACCACGTTACATGAAGATGCATATGAGAAAACTGTAAATAGAACCAATCAGCTAAGAGAAACTTTGATACGGGATGAAGCTAATTGTACCTGTTGCAGGAAGAGATTTCAACAAAAACTGTTAGCAAGCTTCAGGCTTAGAAGTACAGGAAGAATGTGGCCCGGGTTTACGCGGATCTGATATTTGAATAAAACAATTTCTATGTACATATATATCCAAATCTGCTTTCAAGAAGCGATATACTAATTACAAACTCAAAGCTTAAGCCCTTGCCACTACATATATATATACAGAGCTATGATCGGACCAGTGCAGTTCAAATGAATCATCAGAATCTCGGCTTCAACATCTTGGGGTTTAGGAACTCGTCTAGTAATACGCCTTAGAAGACGTTACGAATATTCGAATTCTTTTACAAAAGTACAATAAAGATACATGTATACGTACTTACATATATATATACCCGTGATACATATTAGTGCTTTGCAATTCCTCAATTTTGGTCTTTCAATCTCCACAAAATGTTAGGGTGCCCGTGGCCACTCTGGTGTAGGTACATGTAATTGCAACTCACCAATTTACATTCACTATACACACAATAAATATATAGGTACCCAAAGATGAAATTCTCAGAAGAAGAAGACTAGCTGCCAGCATATATCGCCCAAGCTAGCAGTCTAGCAGATCCTAGATACACGCGAGGTTCGCCCTATTACGTTTAGGTCAGATGAAACCAAAGCCCTTAGTAGGTGGAGAGAGTCCGCGTTTATCCCGATGTGCTGCGCTGGCATTCAAACAAATAACAAAATCCAGTTAGAGCTTTAACAAATTACAAGTAATACTTGGGGGGGGGGGGGGGATTCAGAGCGGGACAAGGTCAGCTGTATAAAGGATTGCATTGATTGGAAGTTTTTGAACAGCAATAGAGTCGCTTTATCCTTTGCTGTGTATTAAATCAAGAACAAGAAAACCAACAGAGTACTACTAGCTATAGGTCCATGTTGAGGCAATCGAAGTTTTGACCACCGGCGAATGGCGGATTCTAGGTCCAAATCAAGTATAGCGTAGTATGTGTGGCTAAAAAAGTTAATAGATACAAGTACAATGGCGGAAAATGGGGTGTGATTAGAGTAGTAGTAGTCTTGTAGTGATGTGGCTTTTATGAGCATTAAGCTTGCTCATTCGGCTCGGGTTAATTCGGTATTTCCCAAAAGAACGGTATGCTCAAAAAAGCCGTACCAATACTGCTAGCTAGCTCAGCGCTAGTATCAGGGTATGGCACTAGGCTAGACCTACATGATACACGCTATACTCACAACCCTCCTACATGTATATACATACATGTGGACTCATCCCGCAACCCCTCGATAGAATTGCCAAATTATAATTCTATCTTGAAGTTGATTTCAATCTCAACATACACATGTACAAGAGGAATCTTCAGAACACCTACTACTTGTATTAGTTTTCAATTGTATATCGGAGACCTGCTAGTTTCCAGACACCTCCTATGCTTTTGAATATTTTGGTATTTTAATGGTATATTAAAGGCGTGCTGGTATATATACGGCTTTTTTTTAAAACCCCACTTTTTTTCTAAAAAGCAGCTTGTGACCAAAATGACCCTTTTTGAAGAACACCAGTTCTCTACTATAAAAAAGTGCTTCTATAGAAAAATATTTCTTTGAAAAGTCGGTGTCTTTGTTACTATGGTTTTACTACGTCACTTTTAAACCTGCAAAACTTGTACGGCTCTAATCACACCCGGGTTTCCCGTATTGTAGCTGTAAAAAAGTCGCCACTAAGCCCTTTATGTCCGTCTATGCGCGCTACTTGATAAGAATGTGCCACACCTAGACCAGCAAATCTTTGGGGAGGATAAAATCTGATATTTAAGGTAATAACCAGTGTATGTAATAGGCTCCATCAACTAGATACATGTATGTACTACAGTCTATCGTGACATACTATATGTGGTTCACTTGGGAAATGCGGCCAACTCCAGTAGCGTATTTTGTATCCCGTATGAGGTCTGACTTACATAAGCGCAACATAGCAACCTTATTTACAACGTCATCTCCTTGTATCATGTCGATAGATTTAAACACCACCGGTCCTCAAGATACCGAAATTACCTCCATTACGCGTTTTCTTTTCAGGCCCACTAGTCGCGGCCTTCCACTGGAGCTCCCCCGCCATAGCGAGGCCGATATCACAGCTACCTCTGACTCGACGAACAGCCTACTTCCAGGTGTCACTAGCCTAGACAGATCTCATGTGGTCCTCGATGCACTCGTTTCAATTTCCGTCAGTGGCAGTAAGCAATGCTTACCTTTGTCTTTAGCAATCGGTCTGACCATCGTCGGTATCTGCCTCGCTGAAAACAACCGGAAACCGCAAAAGGGTATCAAAGAACATCTGGAGAGCATATGGCAGCAACTCAATACTATCGCCGCTCTCCAGAGGTGCTTGCGGTGTGAAAACAGCCTTCCCGACAGTAACGATAGTAAGGGCACATCTCTAAAAGATGCGGGGAGTTGTCTGTCGAAAGAAAGCACAGGGTATAAGTCATTGAAAGAGTTAAAACAGACCTTGAATCGCGATATCCATAGGTTCTGCTACTTCAAAACTAAACATCGGGTCAAGAAATATCTCGGCGGTATCCCCGCTTTCTGCAAATACTACAAGGCTAACAGCCTAATGCTGGATGTTGGTGACGTTTTGATGATGGTTATTTACTATCTAGATCAAATTTATCAGGTGGTAATGAAAACTAAAGTACCCCTTGATTCAGCGGGCATCCCGTATCTCGACTGGGATCACCTAGTGAGCTGGTTTAACCTGCTGATTCGTGAGTACACAAACAACATGACGGGATCGATGGACCGGACTCGCTACATCATGGCTACATGGAGTAGTTTACCTGAGGTCAAAAGTGAGTCTACTTCATGTTCTCCTTTTTACCCGACTTTTTGATTATCCGACTTTTTACCTACGGGGATGTAGACGATCGTACCCTAAACCAGTTTGACCTAGCAAGAGCGCTACAAAAACTAGTAACACTCAGCTCCCACATCCAGGACTTAATCAACTTCGCATATTCCCCGAGACTCCGATCAATACTCGAGAAGAAACTGGAGGTCGTTCTCGTAGACCCCATCGTAGACCCAGTTCCAGAGCCATCCCTTGGCGAGATGAAGTGCACTGTCCAGCACGCTTTCGCCATGACTGAGTACGCCAAGGACCTCTGCGCCCTTGGAAAGACGGGAGAGACTGCATTGCAGGCCTCCCTAAACAGGCAACTCGATCTCGTCGAAGGGGCGCTAGGGAGCCCGGTACCATTCACTCCTGATTCACCACCACCGAGAATCCCAAGTGCAACCCCCTAAGGCAAAATTCATACCGCCATTGCGGTATATTGCTTTCAGTAAACTCTCGTGTTTCTGTTGCTGGTGCACCTACAAGGAGTACTCGAAAGCCACAAACCGCACCTTCTTGCTACGAGGATCGCACTCTAAGTTGTATTCTCCCTGGTGGGCTGCAACTGATCATTTTGGAGATGATAGGGTGGCGGTGGCTGTGAGGAGGGGCTTGTATTCGAGGCTGGTAAAAGTTATATTCGGAATATCTAAACCGGTTGGGGGATTCGCACAATCGCTTGAGCGATAGCACTGCAGCGTCGAACGAGTTCGGGAGAGACGATAGGATGACTGCAGATGATACTGACGAGGTCAAGGTAAAGGAGAGAGCGATGATATAGGCTGATACGGCTGAGTAAATGTGTGGGAATGGGAATGAGAAAATTGAGGGGTGTGCGGTTACGATATCTTGTCTTATGGGCTTTACAGACTATAGGTCTATAAATGTCTTTGACCCGACAAGCAATCATAATGCTCGAAAATTTAGCTAGAGCATTGAGGTTGCGCATGGAGTTACACGATCGGTCTCCTTCAAATACCTGATGCAACTACTCTTTTTGCCTTTGCTTTGTTAATGTGTTTCCTATTGGCGGGAAGGGGAGGTAAGCAATGATCAACAAGGTTCCAGTTGGTGTTGAGTCCAAACTTAAGTAGTCAGATACTGTATATCTACATATTTATAATTTGTTGATAAAGTGTTAGGAGAGGATTTGTCTGTCTTGTAAAATTAATGAATCATATGCATTTTTTTCATTTTGATACTATACATATAATATAAACTATCAACTAATATATAAAATCTTTGGTAGTATAGTGGTTAGTATACTCGCTTGTCATCAGACTGTCCGCGAGTGACCGGGGTTCAATTCCCCGCCAGAGAGACAAATCAATGAGTAACATGTGTCTCACACGTTAATTCTATTTTTACTTTTCGGATAGTGTTCTATTCTACATCCAACGCACTCCATGAGTCTATTAGGAACAGGTAGCCCGCCCGGCCTTTTAACTAAAGTCGGATAGTTAAATAATTCTTCTGTTTTCTGAACCTATCCCTTCGTGCGTTTTCAGGACCGGGCACTAAAGGAAGGTTATCCGGCTAGTAAACCTAACCCTCACTCCGCGAACCTGTTTTGGTGTGAGGTCACCGTTTGTGACTTCTTCTTTACTTGTTCTGGCGATTCCAGAGACTGGAAAGAGTTAGATTTAATGGCTATCACCACGCCGTCGTGGGCCTAATATGTCTCCATCTGCGGAAAACAAGGGATGTTGCCTCGTCTGTTCACGGTGCTATGTATCTCTATGATAGCCGGAAACAGGCCCATAAACAGGCTTGATTGTATGTACGCAAACCACACCTTCTCAATACCGCAAGATTTGGAGCGTAAAGCCCGGGCGTTAGAGAAGATCCTAGTATGTAAAAAGCACCAATTATTGCTCGAACTGTGGCGAATCCTTCAGTTTTTGGTGAGAGAAACTTACCAGGATCTTATTTAACACCCGGGTGCAACGCTCCAACTTTTGCGGTACATCGATCAAGGCCATATTAACTCCATGGTGCATGACCAAATGGTTACGCACCTTGGAGAACTCTGTGACCCTTCGAGAACACAATTAACAGCCCACCCAAATGCTTAATTAAAAAGCGATCGTTGCTCTAAACATGCTGCAAATCCGTCCTTACCAATTTGCCTAATACCCCGCACAGTACTCCTGACGCCTGTTATGGGCGATTTTCTATCGATCTAAAGACAAGCATTTTGGAAGGAAACATATCCCGGTGATGTGACGGTTCAATGCCTGATTCCTGCATATTAATACATAGTATGTAAATCTCTATTGATCAATTGAACAAGCGACGCTCAATGGGATGGCCTCCGGCGCGAGGCCGGCCCCGAGGATGCATGATCACCACGCCAGCATATACGTACCGCAATTTGAGAGGGGACGAAAAAACGTTTTCGAAACCGCGCATACAGAGTGCGTTTCTTTGATAATAATTCAGACTTGCTTTTTTTCTTTGTCATTCGACCAGGGGTAAGGTCAGCACTTAAAGACTTAAAGTTAATGCCGTTTCAAATAGCTGCAGGAACCGCCGGCGCATACAGTACCCGCTGTCGACTCGTTGATTCTCTATGATCTGACCGTCATATTAAACGTAGCGCGCTCTATGGAACATCCTGTATCAATTACCCGTGAGGCTTAGCTGAAACTGGAATTCTCTTTGGAATTTAATCCCCAAATAGTCTCAACTGCGGCTTGCTATTCAAGTATGCACCATACTTATGAGTTTTGTAAACCTCAGTTTACCTAATCCAAAGAAATACTTTTCATGGGTGCTGCAGCGTTGATCAATTGAGCTCATGTAGTCAATACTTGCCCAAGAGAAAACAGGCTCTACAGGCTATGATTCTGCACCTGGACACTTCACCTACGCCACGTGCCGACAGCAGCGACCAGCCCTAAATCTCCCCTCACCGGCTTCTGTGCCTCATTACCAACACGGGAGCTAAGCATTCCCTACCATTAGGTAGGTACATGTTCATCGCCTGTCTTTATCGCCAAATATAGGGTTAAAGTGTTACCGAACCAGAAATTATTTGGCTCTCTTTCAAAAGCACAACCCGAAACAGGCACAGGGGCTTGATGATGATGCAAGGGTCAATCTCGTATAAGAGCCAAGCGAATCCTCACTATCTTGAATCATATTCTCCATCATAATCTACTGTTCTTCGACTCTTGCGATCAAGATGTATACCAAACAGTTCCTTCAAGCTTCGTTATTAGCTTCTGTCGCTTCGGCGCTTGTCAGTAAAGATGGTGTAACTGTATGTTCAACTCAACCCACCCCAGGCTGACATGATTACTGACAATTGAATAGGGTAAACTACCAGCCCTAGGATGGAATTCCTGGAATGTAAATGGACAAACAAACAAAGATTCCCTCCATCAATTACTATTCTGATCAAATCTATCAGGCTTTCCGTTGCGACATCAACGAGGAGAAATTTCTCACAGCCGGTCAAAAGCTTATTGACCTTGGGCTTGCAAAGGCTGGTTACAATTATGTCAATAGTACGCATTGTAGTCCTCCGTCATTATCCTTCTTCTTACTGACCATGTCCTCAAGTCGACGACTGCTGGTCCATAAAGTCTGGAAGAGACAACACAACTCAACGTATATTGCCAGACTTGACAAAGTTCCCCGATGGTATTGACGGTACTGCAAAGAAGATCCACGACATGGGACTTAAAATCGGTATCTACAGCGATGCGGGGAAGACGACTTGCGCTGGCTACCCCGGGTCACTTTATTATGAGGATATTGATGCGGCAACATGGGCTGAGTGGGGGATTGACTGTAAGCGCTGGACTTTCAATATTGATCAAAGAGGAGCACACAAATTAATATCGTGCCGCTAGATCTCAAGTATGACAACTGTGATGTCCCCTCCGAATACTGGACCGGTGATGAATACCACGCCTGCCACCCAGATTATAATCACCCCACAGGCCCTAACGCCACTTGTGTCAACGACCCTGGCCTCGCACCGGCGGGATACGACTGGTCTAAGTCCCGCACAGCAGAGAGGTACACCCGCATGACTACAGCGCTTTTGAAGCAGGACAGAAATATCCTGTACTCTATCTGCAACTGGGGACAGGCCGCGATCGAGACCTACGGAGCAAATATAGGACACAGCTGGAGAATGACCGATGACATTTTCCCTGTATGGAGCGAGGTCATTCACATTATAAATTACAACAGTTTCAAACTCAACTATGTAGATTTCTGGGCCCATAACGATGCCGTAGGTTTCTCTCTGTTCGATCCGGCTTCTATAAAATATGCCCTCTAACACCGCAATTCACAGGACATGCTCGAAGTTGGCAACGGCGACCTCACTCCCGAAGAAACGCGCTCTCATTTTGCTCTTTGGCAGCGATGAAAAGTCCACTTCTCATTGGCACTTCCCTAGACTCTATCTCTAGTGACAACCTCGCCATCCTGAAAAATAAATACCTACTTGCTTTCAACCAAGACGATGTAAACGGTGCACCAGCAATGCCTTATAAGTGGGGCATCAATCCAGACTGGACCTATAACGACACACACCCTGCCGAGTTCTACAGTGGTGCGAGTAAGGCCGGGACGCTAGTGCTGATGCTCAACACGCTCGAGACCGAGGCGGAAAAGGCAGCGGTTTGGAGTGAGATTCCACAGTTGAGCAATGGCAAGTGCTTCCAGGTCATCAACGTGTGGACGGGCGAGGATCTAGGATGCGTGAGCGAGAGCTATAAGGCGAAGGTGGCAAGACATGATACAGCTGTCTTACTTGTGAGTAAGAGCTCGAGCTGTGATTGTAAATGACTCGCAGGGGATGAGGGGTCAAATCAGACCTCAACAAATGAAACTCAGGCACAGCAGAGTGGCAGTATAAGTGGTAATAATGTATGGGGCTGGGGTATGGCGGGTGCGGTTGGTGCGTGGGGAGTTTTGAACCTATGGCTTCATGTAGGTGGGATTTAATTATGCATACATGTAGCTATGTACTATGACGATTTGCTTTTCTCTGTAGAGAGCGGTTTGCCTTGTTTTTGTATCATAATTTTTGGTTTACCCAACACACAGATGCATTTGTAGTAATGTCAAGAAAAGTATATTAGATTCTATCTGAGCTTAATTATCATGTGTCTACATACAATGTATGTACTTTTTAAATAGGGATTTTAGGGCTAATACGCCTTAGAAAATACCTTACGTTTTTTTCGTAACGCGTGACAATTATATACGTTAATCCTATTTCCTTTAGGTACCAATACTAGAACATACATGTATCTAGAGTATATGGAAGGCTTAGATATATGAGTACATAAGATGTACATGTTGCAGCTGGAATAATGGGAGGAATCCCGTGTCCCCACCCCTGGTACACCCACCTTGCCAGTCGGCTGGGTTTTGGAAGTTTTCCCCAGTCACTTGCTCAAATGAAGACAGCGGCAATCCCTTGAGCATTGCCATAACCTCATGGTTGTATGCGAGTATGAAAGATTATGGTTTCGAGTGATATCTGATGATTCCAATCTTCTTCTTGGCACTAGAGGTATAATAGGGCCAGATATTTTTTGTATTAAAGGTTCAGCACTACTATATCATCAATAAAGACAAGTTTATATAGGTTAGCGTGAGCTCAAGGCTGGCTATCGCCTATTATGGCCCGGGTCTACCGCCAGAGACCTCTCAAAAGTAGACAGCCCGGCTTATTAACAAAACAGCTTGAGATATGTACTATTGGCCAGATTGTCCATATTGACGTGACTTAAGGCTATTTCGTCGGTTTTATTTCGCAAATTTATCCTCTACCAGACCCATTAACTAGCCGGAATGCTCTAGAAAACCATATCATTATTCGCTGACAAGTGTGTACATACATGTATCTGTTCACTGGAGCTGCGCTGTGCTTAGCAACGTACGTAGTACATACATGTATCTATATAATTGAGTTATGTCTCGTACTCCTACTCGCAGCGCCGGCTTTCGAACCATCCTTTCTCGCACTTGTAGTCTAGCTTCAGCTTTGCCGCTCTTTATCTAAAGGGCTTGTTTAGAGGAATATTAGCAGTACAGATTAAATCATAATTCCTGCAATGTAGAAACCTCCCGAAATGCGGAAAGGATAACTCCTTGATCACATGACGGTCGACATTCAAGCTTGAACTGCTCAGCACGATGGTTACTCAAGGATGACTAACTTAATGCGAAGCGGATATGCCTACTTAAAGGGCGCACCCATCCCCTAAGATGTGGCTAGTGCCGGACCTATCTTAAAAGCATAAAAGTCAACCGTTGGACCTACAGCTGAACCAATTGATTTCTCATCAATCCCCGATCACGATTTTCTGTGGCTCTCAAATGGCCTCCGCATATAATTTGTGGGCATATTCAGCTATGTTACTTCTGGCTTACGTGACAACAACTTTAGTCTAATCTACATGTATGTATCTTAGGATTTATCTTAGCCTTAGACTACAGCTGCAGTGGAAGCCATCCCGTGGATATTTTTGAAGGTTCATAGGCGTTCAAATGTGGTCTGTAGATCCCCCCGGGGGCGTCTACAGAGTTGTTATGAGCCGTTTCTATGCAAGATCTGTAAATTTATCTTCAAGGCTTAATTCAGGTTTAACATCACAGGGTGGCTTTCAGTACTAGATATGAAATTTAGGAACAAGATCTGGAGAGAATTTATGGGATATGGTATGCACCTTAGCTGTTTGACCGTTGGGAATATTGGAGACCAATTCAATATTGTGTGACATGTCACGAGGTGCGTCACAGATGCGCGCCTATCCCTTCTTCTGTCAGAAAATGCTGCCCATCCAAGAAAAAGCAAATCTGGTGTGGCTTTACTAACAGATCTCGTTATCTCTCTTATCAAATAACAGATCTCCATAAAATTTTTAATTGCTCTAATATAGGGTGGGCAGCATCGACAGACGAAGGGATAGCTAGTGATTCAATCCGGACTTAGAAGGCTCTTGCCGGTCTGGTTAGTGAGCATACATGTAGTTGGTTGTTTGCTGGCAGAACCTGGCAGTTGCTAAACCGCGGAGTATAAGGCTATTGCCCTAGTCCTTGTCTCGTAGACTTAATGAGACACGGTATTATCCCATAGTCCGTTAAAGCTGCCTATTGATTCGGGCGGCGTATTTTCAGCTGTGGCTTGTGTCTGGATCACACACATATTCGGCTGCCACCCTTCCTCTTTTAGTAATTATAATATTCTGTCAAATAGAGCAGCATCTAAGCACCGGATTATGGGATACTGCTGAGAGCCCCGGAGCTTATGTCCTAGTCTGAAGTTTAAACTTTCTTGGCTTCCCGCACTTCCTTCCCCGCCGCGCCCCTTTCCTGTATCACCTGCAGTCCCTTCTACTCCCGAGTGTTAGGGTCCTACAATTATAAGCATCGCCCTGCTCGGGAAATTTGGTACCCCCCACTGCTTAATTAGGGTGCAAGGCTCAAATGAGAAGTTCGTCTAGGTATATCATATTTGACGACTGTAAGTTGACCCACGTACTCACCTTTCATGAAGACTCCAATCAGGAAGCTTGTTGTGGAGAATTATGTATCTAGTATCTACATGGCTCACTTTCTTGTCAATGCTGAGTCTATCTCAGTATCGATGGGTTTCTGACCGACAGTTCTGCAGAGATGACAGTTACATACTCATTTAAACTATTACGGACACTATCTCCATACAACACGTAGGTATAGGAAGAAATATCACAGAGTTTATTTGTAGCCTTCGGCGATGACTTTCGATTGCTACATGATAATGCATATGTTACAAAGATGCAGCTGGCCTTATAAGTTTTTGCCCTGGTTCTGGTTGCGAAAACATCGCGCTATTCGATTCTAGGGCCTATCGTACCTGCGGAATTAGTACATGGGCGAAAGAGCAGACTAATTTCACAGGAATTGAAGCTACAGCCGGTCGGTCAATATAAAATTCCGGCTGTCGCTTAATTCAATACCTTCTGGAGCACTCATGCATGCAAGTCTCAGGGTAATACTCTACCCTACGGCTCTCTTTTCCTGCAATGATCGACATTGCCGAAGCTTATACAAGAGAGGCTTGCTGTGCTTCATGTGATGGGATAGATAGAGTCTTTCCATAAAAAAAAAGATGAACATATCGGTGAACGGCGACGCCCCTGTGCTCTTTCTAGAAATCAAAGGGGTCTAAGCTTCGTCTAAACGCAGGGCTAATCTGGATACGCCCCCGACCCAAGAATCTCCGCACATACAGGGAGGTACTAATTGATATGACGAAGCGCTTTTAATATCGATATGGTTGGGGACACCTTGAGCCGGAGTGTCAAAGTTGCCGAACTTCGAGGCTTAATGGCCAACCACCACAGCACATTAAAATTAAAATGACTCTGTAGGGTAATAGAGAAATAGATAAATAGCACTGTAACAGAGCCCAATTAATTTTATCTGTTGTGGTTGTTGAGCTATTGAATTTCTAAAAGTTGGGTTTTTGGTGAGAGGCTGACTGAATGTCGCACTTCCACACCAATAATTACCCGATTAGGAAGTACTTTAGTACATAATTACCCGATTGGAAATAGACCACTGATGGCTGGCCAATATCTTGGCATAAATATACTGTCTTGGCATTTTAAGTGCGATTTGGTGCTAGACTAGGAAGGTGATCTTCACTGGGGACCAATGTCGCACCCTTCCGTCTCTAGGTGTCCCCAACCATATCGCCTTCCGGGTCAGGGGCTCTGTTTCTTGGGACGGGAGCTTCTTAGGATAAAACTACTGATCCATGGTTACTGTGCTTGGTGCAATCGGTTGGGGATTGAAGCGATACGGAATTAGACCTGGTCCATTAGATAATTATTCAGATCAGAATCTGGGCTAAAGCATCTGATGCCACCAAAGATGAGGACCTCGATAAGTCATGCACGGCCCCAAATAAGTATCGTCCTGCCAATTTTCACCCCAGCTAATACTACTCTCTTAAGGCAGGAGTATCATGTGCTCTATAGGCTATCTTATTGATCGAAATCTAACACCGAGTGATATTATATGATACGGGCATTATCATCAATGAAGGTTTACCGGACCTGTTCACTCTACCAGTATGGGCGCTATCGGGTTCCTTAATCGATACCCTTATCGTACTTGTAAAATAGGTATCCCTTAAGCTGTTACTTAAGTGCCGCCAATATAAGACATGGTAACATCAGGCAAGCCTCGCATACAAGCCACAGAATTGAGGCACGATTAATTGGTAAAGTTGGAAGCTTTCACAGCATAAGGGATACACGATTACTTGGCAAAGTTGGAAGCTTTAACAGCATAAGGGATACACAACGCGTGTAAGTAAAGTCGAATTTAATATAAAAACAAGACGAACTGTGGGCTCAAATGTTAACTAGGCCTTAATTTAACCACGAGGTCAACTAAGGCTATATTTCATCTCTACGCATAGTGCTTATTGAGACTTCCTAAGATGTAAAAACACTAGGAGAATAAGGATCAAGCTAGAACAATATCGACACTCACCGGGCCGGAGCACAGATAAGGATCGGCATAATATCTTGGTGCCCCTATAAAAATATACATCCGCCACTAGAGTAGAGATCACCCCAGAAACCTACCTAAATCGATCCGAGGGGTAATGTTACGAATCCGACTAGAATGTAGATCCCGAAGAAAACAAAGGAAAAAAGACTGCTTGTGTTGAAGGAAAACTCCGGCCGTAAGAGTCGAATCGATTACAGTTACGGAATATTACGTTCCACAACATACCCAAAAGACAACATATGCAAGTGTTGGTCTCCCAAGTACCCTACTCGTCAGAGAAATACTCGCGACCAGCAACAAGAACCCGAATATGCAGCTGCAAGTCTTTGGTGTATTTTTGACTTCTACTCCAATGGAAGTTGCAGATTAGGACGTGCATTTTCGGGTTCTTGTTGCTGGTCGCGAGTACTAGTATTTTGCACGGTGCATACATAACTAGCTCCCGCTGCTAAGTTCTGCAGCTGACCGTAGCGGTTTTAATTTATGGCAAACTCCAACAAGCAAATATGAGGCTTGGGCTGCTATAGAAGGGGCTATTTGATCGGTACCGGTATTTACGTTTAAATGGCAACTTGGCCTGAATTCTATCGATTGTGCCCTGAGCTCCGGGATATTCACAATCTTTGTTTCGCTCCGCCATAATAGCGGCGGAAGGGCCTATCGATCGATGGTAGTCCAAACTCTCTGCCAGTCCTAGGGGACAAGGCTCAGGTTACGCGGCAAATAAACATGCCTTAGAGCTGAATCTAATAAGATGTCAAGACAATCAATTGAGATCATCGGCGATGAAAACATATCATCTTTTAAGAGCAAAAGGTTAATTCCGAGTGGCATGCGAGTTGGAAGCAAGCTACAGCAGACATTTCAAACAATACACTTATGGTGATAATCTTTTACCCCCCCAAAAAGAGACACAAGAGACCAACCACAAGGTTTGTTTTCTTTTCCCTCGTGCATTACACACCCCTTCATTTCAGTCAGAACTTTGCTTCCAGGGTCATAGCTTATCACTCGATTCCACGGCACGGCACAAAACACGTGGGCATATAGCTCGCGCGCTATCACTCACCTGGTCGCTTATGTAACCCTAAGCAGAAAGGGATCGCCCTGTGAACAGTACTTACTTGTGAAGCTTGTGTTGGATACCTACTCTCTGTATCGTATGTCCCTAACCTTTCTGTGATTCGTTGACCAACGCTCGTTCCCAGGCCGAATAGCTATCACCTGGTCAAAGCACTGAGCGCCCCTAACTAACTGGTGTCTTAACCTCAACTGCCGCTATATACAGTTATTTCCCGGCGCGTAGGGTATGCTTATTGGGTGGATCGATGAGATTAGAATCAATGGACGTGGGGAGTGCAAGTAGGAGTCGAGAAGAGAAGGGAAAGATCCACGGTTGCACTTTGCATTCTTGGGTGACACAGTCTGTGCTGAGTGCTGGATATAACCGTTTGCTTAAACCTGGTAAGTCTACTCTAAAACTAAAACCCTCTACCTTGGGAATGGGGGTTGTGATTGTGGCTGTAGATTATGGTGGCGATCTTCGTTAACTGTTGGTCCAACCACCAGAATAGTTTAAGGTGCTCACCTCCCTACATATTGACCCATGCATCTTGGAGCTTTGAGGATCAGAAGGCGAATATGAATACGTGCCCGTCTACTCTAACTAGAGTACCCAACCAGCTACGAATATTATGAAAAACCCGAGAGTCAGTGTACTGGGTTAATTAATACGGGCCTAAGAATTTACCCGTTCACTCAGGCTTGGCATAGTGAATCCTCAGTGCCTAACCAGGTACTCGGCACCCTGTTTAATTCGGCCCGTATAGTAAGTACTGTGTATGTACCTGAGTACAGTAATTTCGTTAATTAATAGCACAGACAGACATGCAGGCACTAGAATCTGACGTTTCGTTTCGTTTCGTTTCAGTCGGGACTACCTCTCCCCTGGGTATCCAACTCTGGGGAGGGGGGGGAAGAGACTACCCGTGCGCAAAAAAGCTTGACTACAATATACTCTACAGTAATAATAATAATAAACATTTTCTGCTACAGCCTCGATGAATGGTATAGGTAGTGGGGGTTACATAGACAGAGCTGCAGTATTAAGGTAAGCGACCTGCAGATCCCAAAGAGGCATCCTACCGAGATAGCTGGAGATAGGTACATGTGTGGCAGTTGAACCTCACACCGCTTTCGTGGGTGACTGAGACTGCTTCTTTCTACTGTCATAAGCGAAGCAGTTGGATTAGGGCCATTAAGTGTCATGGGTACAGCCGGGATCTCCGCTGTCGTTGACTCGGTCCCAACACTGAGGTTTGACAGTTGTGATACTGTCTGTCTCTCTGGCTGCCTGTATGTATTACCCACTTGTCTGGCCTTACACACACGCACTCACATGAGATGAGAGGCATGACAGCTAAGGAGAAAGATATGGTGGGATTCAGATGTGAATGTTGGTTTTATTTCTTATTTACAGTATAAAAAAAAATGAGAAAATAGAAAAAATAAAAACAGAACCTAAAGAGACTACATGCAGACCTCAGACAAGTGGAGAAATTGAACGATGCAACTTATCACGGTTTCCAACGTTTTCTTCAGACTGCAACTGCATATCAGGTGGACATAGATAAAACTCGCCCAATATGTATATTCAATTCCCCTGACCTGGCCTAGGACATTGGACTCCGCGGCAGACAAAACAACCAGAACTAGACAAAAAAAAGCAAGGCCACAACTACAGTACCGTTAGCATACCCTGGTAAGTCGGTCAACAGCAGCAGCCGTTCGACGTTCGTTCGTGCCACACCAAAGCCTGCCCTGAGCGCAAGCTGTCTGCCTGTTTGCCTACTCCTATCATTGGACATATCCCATACACCAACGGGGGGTTGCGTTTGCTGTTCCTACTTGGTAGAGCAGTAATTGTCCATGCAAGACAATAATTATGAATATAACTATTACAACCCAACTGGGTTTTATGTCCATCTGCCACCAACCACCGACCGAACCGCTGATCTTGTCGATTCTGAGGTCTGTCTGGCCTTCTTTTGTTTTTTCAGTTTTTCCGACTCTCCCCCGTACCTACATACATACATACCTACATGTAAGTGAGAGGAGTGAGATGTCTTAACGCTCGTCCCCTTCACCTGAATTCATCTTATTTCAGATGGAAGGATTGGAAGCCGGTGGTTTGGTTATGTATATAAAGATCCGGTCCTCATCCCGACTTCAAGAACCAGTCAGTAGTAGGAACCAGTCAGTAGGAGAGTTGGATTAGTTGGAACAGTTAGACGATTAGAATCAACATACAGCGGCTTTGACAGCTACAGAATAATCATTTACGACCCATTCGGAGAATATTATCAACTAGTCACCACCACCTCCCGCCAAAAATCACAGAAATGGCCGACGCACAAGCAGCAGCAGCACACGCAGCATTCGTAGAAATAGGAAGAAGGTTTTTAACAGAGTCTTGGTCCTACCTCGGTACAGCAGCAATCTTTGTTTTCCTACGCACCTTTGCAAGATGGAAGGTGGTTGGCTTCCGGAATTTCAAGCCTGACGACTACCTCATGTTCTTTGCTCTCGTTAGTTTCCTCTCTCGACCCCTCGAAGCTCCTGGGAAAACGTTGAAGAAGCTGATTATCAATTCTCCGTAGTTCTGCTTTACTCTAGAGTCCACAGCAGCCCATCTGGTTATTACCTGGGGGGGCACCAACAGTTATCTGACCGAAGAAGAGCGACTGGCCCTCTCCGATGACGAGTTCTGGCGCCGTACCAATGGCAGCAAGGCCTTTTTGCTGGGATGGAACTCGTACTGTGGGACGGTGTGGACGCTGAAGTTGTGCATGATCTTTTTCTTCCGGAGGGTTACGTGAGTTTTTCTGCCACTCAAGAATGTGGTGACATCGAGGTGCTAATATAATTTGGTGATGTTTAGTATTGGTCTTGAGAGAGCTTCGATGATCAAGTATGCGTTTGCAGCAACGGGACTGACATATGTGATTATGATGTTGACACTGTACTTGACGTGTCGGCCATATCACAAGCAGTGGCAGGTTATTCCTGATCCTGGCAGTGAGTCCTTTTCCTCCATTATTTCCTCCTTAAGCTTTGAACAGCTTACTAACAGAATGGTACTGCAGAGAAATGCTGGGTCGAGTACAACCTTTACTACGTCATCAGTCTTGCCCTCAATCTGTCCACTGATATCTTGATCATGGCCATCCCCATGCCTGTAAGTTTCCTAGTGCCTTTTTCCAAAAGAACCACAGTAGAAAAACCATAACTAACTCTCTTCCCAGCTCCTCCTCAAGGTCAAGGTGCCAATGCGCCGCAAAGTCGTCCTCATCGGCATGTTCTCCGCCGGCTTCTTCGTCATGATCGCCGCCACCCTCCGCTGCATCTACGCCTTCACCAACACGCAGGCCAACGGTCTCGTTATCGCCATCTGGTCCTGCCGCGAGGCCTTCGTCGCCATGATTGTCGGCAACGTTCCCATGATCAAGCCCATCATCTCGCGGTACGGGGGCAAGTGGACCAACTCGAGCCTGAGTAGTAGTGGCAAGAAGGGCGGCAAGGGCGGCAAGGGCAGCAATATGAATGACAGCGTGGAGCTGAGCAGCCGCAGCACCGGCAATCACCACTCGAACGACAGCGAGAGGCAGATCTGCGGGACGGACTCGGACAGCATGGAGCATATTGTGGGGAAGGAGGGCGGGCTGGAGATCGCGACGAGTAAGACGTACGAGGTGACGTACGAGAACAATGAGGAGGCGGGGTTGGGGTATACGGCGAGGGCGCATGCGGGCACGGCGGTGGTGTGAGCGGGTGGCCGAGTTGATGGATGAGATCCGTGGAGTGGGCTTTTTTCCTTTGTTGATGGATTTCTTTTGTAGGGAGTCTGGGTTTTGTGTGTGTGTGTGTGTGCAAATGTGCAGGTGCAAGTGCAAGTACTGTTTGTACCTGTACAAGAATTTTTTTTAATTCTTGAGTGTATTTCTACTGGGAAGGCTGGTTTGATTTTTGGCGGTAAAGTGTGTACTTTTCCCCTCTTGCTTGTTTTCTTACGATACTACGGTATACTACAGTATATACGGGGAGCTACAAAAGTTTTGTGTAAAGACATATCCAATTAATTACGAGTTATGAAATAAAACTGCCTCTCCGCAATCAACAATATTCATGTAGAGCATAGCACCGTACTAGTACTTGTATCTACGTAACTGCAATACTTACTAGCATTTAGTATTAGATTGATTACTTCATTTGATTGTAATTCAGTATTAGTATTAATAGAGTCCTTTCTGGGGCAATGGCGAGCCTTGTCCAATGGCGAATTGACCAGTCAAAGCCGACAAAAGAGAACCGGCCGCTTTTGCTTTAATGGCTGGATATCAATTCTATCCCATGGACCGTCAGGCCGAATTGAAATAAATGGAACCTAACGCGGGGTGGGGATCGTGATCTGTTAAACGCAATATCTGTGTGCATGCTTCATCACACATAAACTCCATGATGGTTTCTGTTGTAGGCGTGCCCTTCATCACGATTTCCGAACTGCGTTAGGTTCCATTTATGTGTTTCGCCCCAGAAAGTGTTATAGAACTGTGCTCCAGTATTACTTATCGCCCCTACCTTCACCCTAACTCCTGAATACCAGCACCACCCACTGAGACCAAAACACCCATCACTCGTGTCTCTCCCTTCCTACTACATACATACGGCCCGTGCCCTCTACCACCCATGTACATACACCGCCACACCCAACCACCCCACGCATCAACTGTGGCGCGGGGATGTAATGAAACACAGTTACATAACACGAACATAGCGTTACACAGTCCGATACCCATCCATCCATTAATATTAGAGCAAGAGTACGGACCGTGAAAAAGGCCCGCCCACACACTGGATCTGCGGGATCTCAAAATAATTATATGCCCGACCACCACCACCCGACCGGAGCAATTCTTACTCTAGGAAGAAGCAGCCAGGTGGGACCCAAATCTCGGTACGAGCCAGCGCCACGCCTCCGATTGATTGACTGATCGCAGCGATGCCGAGTGGAGTAGCCAAGTATGGACGTATATAGCTAGAGTGGGGAGGAAAATGATACTCTCTCGGTCTCTTGCGAGCGCCAGAAACAGCTTCCCGGTGGATGGCTGTCTGTGCTTGAGACATGGTTACATGACAGGTGTTTGGGGTTGGGGTTGGGGACTTGCGGGATATGGAGGATGGAGGATGGAGGATGGAGGATGGAGGATGGAGGATGGGGGATGGGGATGGGGGATGGGGGATGGGCGATGGAGGATGGGGGATGAGGGGGTTGTTCAGCTGGGGAAGGGGATGGAGTCAGAGAAGGGAATGGATTGTACTGCACCCTTAACCCTATAGCCTAACTGCTAGAGAGAGGGGATCTTCCTCTTAACATGACGGCGGGGGAGGTGCCGGGTGTTTGTTCTTCACATACTCCACCTAGCTATGTACTTGTTCTAAATATCCCTACTCTACCTTCCTACTCCGACCTACTCTCACCAGCTAGAGTCCGAGTCTCTCTGCCTGCCCATGATCAACTCTACTGCTCTCGATCCCCCCACTGTAGCCTAAACTCGGTACCCACACTGTTAATAGTTAATTAATATCCAGCTCCCCTCCCCCAGTGCCTGATCTACAAACGCCATTGACAGCGACAGCGACAGCAAACAAAAGACCACACCATGGCCCGGTTTAATGCCCTCCGATCATGCCCTGCTTTACCCCGCATTACCTGCGTGCCTGCCTCTCAATGCATCGCGGGTTCCGTCGCTCTCGCGAGAGCAGCAGTAATTAATAGGTAGCTGGTGATATATACTTTGGCTGTTTGGTGAGGACGGTAGCGCCCGGGACCAGGCCGGCGGTTGCGAGGAAGGCCCCATTGCTGTTCGGCGCGGGGGGAGTATCCTCCCGGTGGTTATGGGGGTAATCACATGGTGGTGGTGGCGGTATAAGTAGTGGATTGGGGGTTGGCTTTGTAGTCTGTGGAGTAGAGATCCTTGATATCTGCTGTGATGTATTTCCTCAGAGCTGCTGTCGTGGCCATTGCGCTGCAACTTTCGGGTGTAGGTTCTTCTTCTTCTTCTGTTTTTCTTTGTTTACAGTTGAAGCAATTGCAGATATACGGACGGACGGTGTTGACTGAGATATTGACAGGTTGCGAACGGCGATGTTATCGAAGGTCCGCATCCCCCCGCCCCCGCCCCCGCCCCCCGTCCCCGTCCCCCGCTAACTCCCCGCAGACCGCATCCTCGCAAAAATCTACGGCGTCGCCACCAAAGGCAAAACCAATGGCGTAGTCGTAAGTCTCTCCGTCCTCCTCTTCCCCAATGGACCCTCACAACCACCACTAACCCCGCCCCGCCAGCCCACCCCCACCGGATGGCCCGAATATGTGATCGGCACCGCCACCTCCTACACCTACCAATCCTCCGGCGCCTGGACCACCGGCTTCTTCCCGGGCACCCTCTGGCTCCTGTACCAGCGCTCGCTCACCAAGACGCTCAAAGTATCGTCCGCGGAGCTGCTGTCGCTCGCGCGCACGTGGCAGGCGCCGCTGCGCGCAAACAAGGACCGCACCGACACGCACGACCTCGGCTTCATGATCCATGACTGCTTTGGGTGGGATGCGATCCTGACGGGCAATGCGACGGCGCGCCAGACGGTGCATGATGCGGCGATTGCGCTCAGCCAGAGGTATAATAGCGTCACAAAGACGATTAGGAGCTGGGGGAGCATTAGTGATACGGGCAGCTTTACGGTCATTATTGATAATATGATGAGTGCGCATCATCCTTCTTTTTCCCGTGTGGTAGTGTTGTGGGTTCTGAAGTGACTGACTGACAGCGGGCACGAACAGACCTGGGAATGCTCTACTGGGCCGCCCAACAATTCGGCAACACCACCCTCTCCGACATCGCCACCTCGCACGCCACCACCACAATGAACAACCACTTCCGCACCGACGGCAGCACCTGGCACGTCCTAAACTACAACCAAGTCACCGGCGCCGTCACCGCAAAATACACCAACCAGGGCTACTCCGACTCCTCCACCTGGGCCCGCGGCCAGGCATGGGCCATCTACGGCATGGTCAGCGCCTACCGCTGGACCAAAAACACCGCATTCCTCGACACCGCGATCAAGGCCGCTGACTACTTCCTTGCCGGCCTCCCCGCGGACGGCGTCCCGTATTGGGATTTTAATGCCCCCGTCACGGGATTGAGGGATACGTCTGCCGGAACGATTGTGGCGAGTGGGTTGCTGTATCTGGTTGAGCAGGCGCCGGCGTATAAGGATAAGTATTTGCAGAGAGCGATTGACCTCATTGATGATACGATTGCGCTGAGTCAGTCGCCGCCGGCGGTCTATACGGCGAGTCCGTTTGCGGTGTCGGATATTGGGTTTAATGCTTTCCTTAGTGAGTTTTCTTTTTTCTCTCTGGTGTGGGGTGGTGGGATGTGGACTAATAGAGAGCCTGTAGTGAACGGCACGATCGATAACAATCCGGCAAAGACACACACGGCCGCGAGCTCAAACACGGGGCTGGTGTACGGCGACTACTACCTCATTGAGGCGCAGAACCGACTTCTTGGGATGGGGCTGCTGGCTGCGTGATAGGTTGTGCGGTAGTTAGTCATGGGTGGTCACTCGGTGTATCCTTGTGAGGGGAGATCTGGATGTCTATGTGAATATAGATAGCACTGCAGTGTTGTTTCATAAGCTCTTGTGGATATCTAGTCGTTTGGGCGCACCGGGGGGGGGGGGGGGGTTGGGGAGGGTCTATGGGGGTTAGGCTGTTTTATCGTCGAGCTCTATATATGTATCATCAGAAAAACGAAGAAATGGAAAAAAGAAAAAAATTGACATTTCAATGTAGCCCCAGACAGAAAAAAAAGTAAATACATATAATCTCCGTGCTTTCTGCAATAGAAGGGATACGTGATGCGTGATACCCCCACGGCCATAGACATGATGCACCCCCACCCCCCCTCTCCCCCGCCCAAACCACCGCGGGTAGTGAGAAGCTCGGCTCCAGGAATTGGGATGATCTCCGGAGTGCATAGGAGGTTTGTCGCAAAATCCGAGAAAGTTCGTTACGCTGCAGCAGGGGTATATGGGCCAACCGGAGGCAGCCTTTGGACGTCAAAATGCAAGTTATATGCAATTTTTGGTGTGTGCTGCAGCGCAACGGAGTTTCTCAGATTTTGCGGTATCGGGCCTGGTACCGGTGGGGAGGATGTGCTCTATTAGCATCTTGGCCCGCGGTAAATAATTACAATCATGGGATATCACTCGGCATTCTAATATGGGCTGCGGTGGTGGGTTATCGGGGGAGGTGGTGCTCCGGGTTTTAATTGCGGTTGGTGGGGTTTGATTCTGCGTCACGAGAGTTGAAGTCGGCAAAAGATGGTGTTTGAGGTTTCTGGAGGACTGTGTGGTGTGGATCACAGCCGTATCTATGAGCTTTGGAGGTTGAGCTTTGGTTGGTTTCTTGGGCGGGTGTGGTGGCTTCCGGTGTGGTGCATTCGTGGATTTGTTTACTTCTTAGTCGATTCAGGTAATGGTGGTTTGTGTGTGTTGAATTGAGTACTATCTTTTTGTAACCTATAGCATGAATGGCTAAGGTCCAGCAGTCCCAAACTGTCTTTGGGTCTATCCAGTCTATCTTTGTGGTGGTACGAAATGTAATGTGAAGAGTCTGTATATTGATTTATTATATATAGGAAGGGTAAATACGCTCCATGTCAAACTTAAGCCCCAGAGACATCACTAGGCAGCCTAGGGGCGGAACGAGGTAGTAAAGTTTCATAGATCGAGCTGGAAATATTTACCATCATATAGTCGATACGTATCACGTTATGTTCTTTTTCGTGAGTAGATAACTATAGCTGTAGTCTGCAAACAAACACCGTTTGGTCAGCTATGGAAGTGAGAATAGCGGCTTGGCTTGTATACATAGTAGTCGTCGATATCAGAGTACTCTGTGAGCTGCTGTGATCGACGAAGCCGTGGTGACAACAACCCCTCGGAAGGTAAGGATAGATACATATATAAAAAAATAATTTCTCGATAAGATTCCCGTTTCCGATTCGTTTGCCGCAGTCCTATATATCCGGACAGCTAGCTAGCGCAGTAATGGTTGCATTTGGAGAGAGCTCTACCGACATATAGCCCACATCGATCTTCCGCACAGACTTGAACCAGTCCGCCCGGCAATATCTTTGTAGTATTGAACTAGAGATCAAGAGCTATAGCTAGATGATATATAAGCCTGGCCAGATATATATCATAAGAACACACCGGCCTCTAATAAGCTTAATCTCGTTTCATCCATCCCCGCTATTCTCGAGTCCAGTTATAATCTCTGCGCCAACCCCACTTTGACAGTGCAAGAAGAACCTCATGAGGAAGCCCTTGCAATTGCAGTAGTCTAGTGTGTAGCGTAGGACAATGCATTATGGGATGATATCGACAAAACCGGATTGACGCTGGTCGGATTTAGCTCCTATGTCTCTCCCTCGACGTCCCTGTTATCAAACAGACTCCCACCCCTGGTTACGGCAGTGGCCTGGAAAAAACAGAGGCAACACCAAGCGGGACCGATCGTGCCGATTTCGGGGGCCACATGAGCACGGGGATGGCGGGAGAAGGGTGGGAAGAGTGATATTGTGAACCACCCGGCATCATAGCAGCTGAGTGAAGGTGCATGTCTCGAGGCGGTGCGGTAGAGGAAGAGTACGTGTGGTGCGGTGAGTCAACTGGACAAGGTAGCGAGGATCGATGGTGTTGAAGTTTTGTTTTCCTGTTGCTGTGGTGGTGGTCTGTGGGGTCTGGGGAAGAATCTAGAGAACAATTGTGAAATTAGTGAGATCACATAGTACCAGGTATACCAGATGGACTTGACAGCTTGCACCCTTCTCCATACCCCAAACCGCATGAAAAAGGCGCACTCGACATGTTTGCGTACCTACCTCATGAAGTACCTATGGCATCTCCTCCAACGGAGCTGCATTCCTCATCACACAAGGGTACCCACATATCTCGCATCCAGCAATGAGATCTCGTATCGTGACCACCCTCGTATCCCAAGCCAAGCGTCAATGATCGTCCCTCACAACCCCCCCCCCCCCAAAACTTCCCAGGGTTAGGGTTCACCACCCCATGACCTTGCAATAGCTCCCCCCGCAAAAAGATCAGACTAGATATTAGGAACCAGGGTCCGATAGCTCGCGGACTAACCAGATGGGTAGCAAATTAGTAGACCACTATTATTCAAATATTTAGTAGCAGCTAGTTAGTAGTAACAATACCTGGGGGAGGGACTGGAGGAGTCTAGACCGTCAAGCTTAAGTGCGACGTCGTACTTTATCGAACGCCGGATATCGACGGGCCTGTCTCTCCTCCCCACCTCACCTCATCGACTGATTGACATGACTGAAGTCTGACTGCCGCCCCTAGAGTTGGGCTAGCAGCTAGCTCCAGGGTTTATCACATCCGCCTCGAGCTCTCTCATCCACTCTCTCCTACACGTACGGGAGGGACCGCAGCCTTGCCATGATATGCCCCACGCATACTCTACCTACCTACCTACTAGGTAGGCGGGGTGCTCCTCTACATAAGACACTTCTAAGACAGATAAGACCATCAAGACAAGACACCCACCTATCTATCCCCCACCTCTCCGCAATCCTCAAAGCTACCTAGCAGCCTCACCATTTCAGCCGGCCTGCGCCGAGCCAAAAAATAAAGTACTTTCATATCTCGATCTCTGTCTTTTGCGTCTCTGACTGGCCAGAGCCCGTGCGGCACGAAAAGCCCCGGGCGGCTATCCTGAGGCCCCCACTGGGCGCAGCACGAAATGGCGCTTGTTCGCGTTTGGTAATGCGGGCAAAGACATGTATGTGTGGGGCTGCGGCCGTCATTGGTGAGGTGGAGAGGCCGGCCAATGATTGTGCGGCCCCGTTTTTTGGGGGGCTTTTTGCGAGTTGTGATATCACGAGAGACGATGTAGGGGTGGTCATTCGTTCGGTTCGGGGTTTGGGTGGGTGGGAGTGATGAGGGTTCAAACGGTTTGTGCGATGAGTTTGTGTGTGTGTGTACTATGTAGGTAGGTATTTTTTTTTGTTTTGTGCACCTTGTTTGGAGGCGGTGGAATAAATATACCGGATAAATAACTAATGAGAAAGAAAGGAGAGAGAGGTAGAACGAAAAGATGAGGAACAAAGATGAAAGATTCCCATGATACGGGACACTGGCAGAATTGTGTAATCTCTACAAACAGAAAACCCAGATAAGAACATAGCCGTCCCTCTCTCCCCAAATCCATCCGCACCGTATCTACAGAAAGGAAACAAAAAGACAAACCGGGCCGGATAATATAATAACCGAACGGGACGAAAGAAGGAAAAAGAAAAAAAAACTAGTTCTCAGTTGCATCCTCGGATTTCTCACCGACACGGGCGTCGAACTTGGTAAACTCGTGGGCGATGGAGCCCTCCACGAGGACCTCATAGATGTTACGCACCAATTCGGGTGGGAAGTCGACCTGTTGGGGGGGCGGGTTTGTTAGCTCCTGGGACGGTTGAACGGCGGAGGGACTGAACTGTGCAATGTGAGGGTGAGAATGAGGATTACTGTAGTTAATACATACCTTCTCAGCCTGGACAGCAGCCTTTGTGATGACGTCTTGCTTACGCCACTCGTCACGGACCGTCTTGCGGCTCGGTTTTATCCGCGCTGCCGCCTCGATGTAACGCATTCGGTCACCTTCATGGATAACACACAATCAGCGGGGAAGAGAGACATGAGCGGGGGATGGAAGGAAGGGATCGAAGGGAGGACAGCTAGAAAGAGGGCAGAGAGAGTACTGAGGACCTGAGGGAATAGGGAATAGGGAAATGGAGGGAGACAAACCCAACAAAGTCACGATGCGTCTGTCCAGATCATCAATACCGAGCCTGACCTCCACCATAGTCGTCACCGTGGCAGGGTTGAGAGTAGCTGGGTCAATCTCGACCGCCGCCATCTTGGGCGCCGGAGTGTTCTCGGAAACGGCTGTCGTTGCTGCTGGAGGCATGGCTGGGGAGTCTAGAGTCGATGACGAGGGAAAGAATGGAGATGAGGATGAATGGAGAAGGTGGAGCTGCCGCTTATGGAGGTTTTTTCGGTGGGGGGAGGAGGAGACTTTAAAAGGAAGGCATGCACTGCGTTATCGCTAGGGTAAGGGTTATGGTTATTTATCTTGTATCAACCTCGCAATCTTCAGGGTGCCGCCGCAACTAAGCGAGAAGGTGTTGAATTCCGGGGAATGGCCACCACCTCCGACTGACCCACCACCACCACCACCACCACCACTACGATACTAGCACCTCCACCACCCACCCACACACACACCGTCCATCAGAAATCCACATGCATGCCCACGCGCGATTCGTTTCCTGGATACCTCCCGCTGTCGCCGTATTTGGACTTGCCGGTCCAAGGTACGCAATGCACGTCTGAGGACAGAGCACCTGCCCAGGTCTAGGCGCATAGAGGCAAGCCCAGATTTTCCACCGCAGTGGTACTTGGTCCTGAGTAATCTGCAGCTTGGCTGTAGATAACTGCCGAATTCGCAGCGAGTCAGAGTACCTCAAGTGTCTAATGACAATTGGTACCTGCTCTAGTTAACAACCAATTTAAGTACCTACTCGTAGCTTCATAGCGTTTCCGAAGACGACCAATATTGCATGGCATACAAAAAGGTGGATTTGGTGCTTTTTTGTATGGTATGCAATAGCAGTCGTGTTCGGGAACGTCATGAATCTACGAGTACATGTACCACCCTACTCTATTAACATTACATAATTTAACTCTACTCTATGCATGATATAAGATTACCTCCCCCCTCCAGTGATTACCAAAATTCCGAGTACTATCCTGAAATCTTTGTTACTCTCCAGGCCACCCAAGTAACTACATGTATGTACTGTCACGAGCAAGCTTTTCCTACATGAACTTATATAGTGCTCACATTCGGCGTCAATGTCAGCAAGAAATAGTCTATTACTAGTACTAGCCAGCAGCGTATAACTAAGATTTAATGTTAATTTCTCGATTAGTATCTTCAGTTTCTTCCTAATTTGGCTATGGTCTACAGTTCTATTTCTGAAATCGCAAAGAAAAAGAAGGTGGTGGGAATAAGGCGCCTGTACCATTTCCTTTTCGGTGTTAGCAGTGCCCTGTCAATGGAAGAGGGGCTCAGTACATAAAAAAAATATCGTCTCATCATATGCATGATACTCAGCATTTAAATAGGCAATGGCTTGATTCTTGACAAGTCGAGGTATGAATACACAGTGCTGGCTAGCTACTAGAGGAGGTGCTAATATTACTTTATAATGCCATGCCACCAAGCCCTCAGCACGCCAGATATTCAAGACATGGTACTATCACTACCGGATAATCCATATCCAACTTTCCTTCGCTCTATATCCTCGTGGTTATGAGAAACGAGTGTTTGAAGTTGCACTCACATGCAAATTTGGTAAGAGAAAACATGACATATAAACGCACTATGAAAGGAACTGCTATGAATCCGCTGGTAATCCCCATGCCCGTGATACATGATATATAAACGCCTCATGCACAAATGAAACCACAAAAACATCGTTCCACGTATAATATAACTATCCACCGCGCTCAGAGCCATCGACGCACCCGGGTCCTGAGAAGTCTTCGTAATATATGCGTTATCATGACAATATATTAACGCCTTTATCAATGAGCGTCCCTAGATTTACGGGATAAGATCACCGGCTTTAGGTCTTTAGCCTCTTTCAGACGTCCCTGCTTGCGGTAGGTCCTCGCCAGATTATTCATGAATGTGAGAGTGTGTACATGGTCCGTACCAAGGAGCCTCTCCATACCAGCCAAAGACTTCAGATACAGCTCTTCGGCCTCTTTCAGACGTCCCTGCTTGTAGTAGGTCCCCGCCAGATCATTCATGGATCCGAGAGTGTCTACATGATCCGCACCAAGGAGCCTCTCCCTCCCTGCCAAAAGTTTTACACCCAGTCTCTCGCTATCTTTATAACGTGCTACCGCGCAGTGTGCAGATTCTAGATGTGATACCAACGCCATAAAATCATCTGTCCCACATTGCGGGCCTAATCTGTTGTGTAGTGTGTCTAAGCAATCTTGAGCGTGCATTGTAACTATTTCGATATGTGCTATAATGCGTTTTATGAATTGTAGTCGATAGTTTTTGCGTACATCTTTATTGTACCTTTCATCCATAGATTTAAGAGCGCGACAGACCAATAAGAGAGCTGAATCGGCCATCTCTTCCAACTGCTCCTGACTCATACGCTTGCGGGCCCACCGGTGAATCAGTGGATGGATGTAAAAACACTCGTCTAGGCCCTTTTGACTGGCTAAAGAGTACGAAAAAAGACTTTGTCGGCACCCATCCAAAGTCTCCTCTACAGAGTGGCTAATTATTAGTGAATTGAATCACACTTTATCTAGAAATACAGAGCTTACCATCCATACTATCTTCTAGCCCGTAGCATAACATGTCGTACCATATATCATTATTTGACAGAAAAGAGCATAATAATAAAAGCTTGGCCGCGTCTTTGTTCTCCTCCTCAATTGCTTGGAATGATATTTCCCAGGTGGTGAACACAGTATCATCTCGATACCTCCAAACATAGCTGGGGGTTTTTTCCCAAAAAGTTTGTCGAAATGGGTCTCGAAGCATTCCAAGTACCTCCGCAGCGATAGTTTTTGAGCGCAAATATATGCACCAGCTTGGTAGATAGCAAGAGGTAGATATCCCAATTTTTTTGCAATTTCTGCGACCACCATAGCTTCTATATCAATGTACTAGCATATGTTAGTTTAATAGCGCGTGCAGATGCTACTTTCCTTCAGAACTGGTTGGTAGGTTGACTTTTGTACACTTTAGTAGCAACTCGATTCCGTCAGCCTCCTCCATCTCTTCAACTGGTATTCCTGATCCAGCCCCAAGGTCTACACATTCGGGTCTTCTGCTTGTCATAATAACTGTTCCGTGGTTGCACGTAGGGATGAAAAACGAAACCTTAAATGACTCTAAATCATCAACATTATCAAAAACCAATAACCATCCCGTGTTCTCTTGTTTGCAGAACCAACGCTTCACTGCATTATTAACTGTCTCAACATCCGCGCACAACTTTCCATCCGAGTCTAAGCCTTCGGGTATACCAAGGGACTGGGCGATTTGGAGATAATCAAGGGAGGTGGTACTCTGGTTCATGGCGTAATGCTGAACTATTCGCTGTAGTATGCTCCCAAAGCTGTGGTTGGTGGTCGCGAGACTAGTGGCGTTGACCCAGAATACAGATGTGTAAGAAGAGTGGTTTTTGTATACATATTGGAGAGCTATCTCGGTCTTTCCGACCCCACCGGTGCCATAGATAACCGTGGCTTGCCGTTTGGGGGGATTCTTGGTGGCAATAGTGCTGGTAAGGGCTTCGAGGAGGTTTTTACGGCCGGTGAAGCGGAGGTTTTGAAACCACTGGTAGGCAAGTTCAAATGGAATTTGATAGTTGGTAGGAATATTTTGGGGGCCTGGATGGGTATAGGCGTTGCGGTTTTTGTTTAGCTGGTTATATTCAAACCGTTGGGGTTTTAATTTTGTACGTCCTGTATCCGAATCCAGTGAGTGACATGTATACTGAGCATACATAACAACTAGCCCCATATTTACTAATTACATGAGGGATATCTTTTAAGACCTGGCGCAAGTGTCCAATCACAGAGTGGTACGGAGAGTCTCTGTTGTTCGTAAACTTGACCATCATCGAGTGATCTAATTGAACCGGGATTCTGTGTTCATTCGGAAGGTTCAACAAGGCCGAATTCTCGTTTACCATTTTATTTGCTTCACCATCTCTCTTGTATATGCCTATGGGATGCTTCATGTTTTTGGATTAGCTTCTTCATATTTAGTTGGTTCAGTAGGAAATTCATACCCTCTTAAGTGTAGGCGTGTTCCTTTTTTCGTAGAAACTAATTATTCTTGGAATTCTTGGCAATAGATGAGCCATCTCATCCTTATGAACAGCCATGAAATCTGACTCCGGTTTGAGGTATCGCAGCAAATTCAACATTTCGTTCCTTTCCCCTAATTTTTCTTTAACCATTTCTTCCAACTGAGACGTGTCAAACCCCTCATGAGGAGTTCCGAACAATATCAAGGCGTGCATGGAGTCAAAAGATTTTCTTTCAATCCGACTACCTCGAGTCGCGCGGGATAGTGTCTAGTAGGGGCTAAGTTAACAATTCCGTGAGTTGTGGAAATAAAATATTTAAACCTTCAATACAAGAAGACCACCAAAGCTGTGCCCGATGAATATCATGGGTCTATTCCTTGTCTAAAAAATCTCTTAATACACAAAGCAATAAGAGTAAAGTGGAATCCTGTGGGTATATACGTACGTTTCCTAGGCTTCGTACATGTAATATACCTTCCATGAACACCCTGCTATGATCTAGCACCGAATATCCTCCAGTAGACCTTTCGAGACTAGTGTCATAACCATATAACATCACTCTGATTCCTTTAATATCGAAGGGACGAAAGTCCATCAACCACATCCTCCCGGTCCCCCCATCCTTCCAAGATCCAAAGGCATGTCCTCCGAGACCAGATACTGCTATCACGCTGATCTTACTCAGTACTCCACAGGATGCACTATTTTAGGGGCCTAGCTATAATCAGGGCTTACTCTGCAAGCACCTCTCCGCCTGGTGTATTTAATGGTGTGAACCCATAAAAGTTGCAATCTACCCACAGATAGAGATCATTCCCCTCTGAACCACCACCAACTAATGATACACATTTGGGTGTAAACTGATCAATACCCCTGAAGAATCCCGGCTACTTATTCAAGTTCAACAATGTAGCCTTCGTCGAACCATCGGGTTCCGGGTGTAATGAGAGTTGTTCCACACATCCACGCAGATTCTCGAGCGATTCAATCTTTTGCAAAGCATCCAGTAGGGTGTTTTTATCCCATGTATCTGGGATTCCGGTTATCCGCCAGCATTTTGTCGCTTGTGTTGAAATATGAACCCCAGATAGCTCGGAGGAGATGGCAGTCATGTGTTAAGCAACGGCCGTGTCGGAGAAGATGGATTATATATGGATATACTGCTGTCGCTGAAGATTAGAGGGAGAAGAGGGGTAAGGTAGATCATATTAAGTGGTTGCTTGCTTTACGTGGAGGAAGTCCATTGGTATTTAGCCCAATCATCCTTCTTTATGTATTGTCCTAATACAGTTATGTACCCCGCTTTAAACGTAGGTATAAGGCTCTGGCATTAAGTGAGTGAACTGGTGTTGATTGGTTCACTCACTAAATCCCAGAGCCTTGTACATACACGCGACCAGCAACAAGAACCCGAATATGCAGCTGCAAGTCTTTGGTGTATTTTTGACTTCTACCCCAATGGAAATTGCAGATTAGGACGTGCATTTTCGGGTTCTTGTTGCTGGTCGCGAGTACATGTAGGAACCTGTTATCTGGAATGGGTTAGGGTTTGAAATTTGTCTAAAAGGGCATGCAGGCAAGATTTGACTTAGCTGGGTTCTGCCGGCCACGCATACGCATAGTACAAGGCTCTGGCATTAAGTGAGTGAACGGATCCTTACTAGTCAACACCCCATTTAGTTCGCTCACTTAATGCCAGAGCCTTGTATGATTACATACATACTTGGACATCTGAGTGATCTTTCATGATTTGCATGCCTACATACCACACCAAGCGGGACTTTATTCACTTGTTCGTATTAGAAGCTTAGGTGTATACATGTAATAATACTCAACCTACATATTACTACTACGTAAACATCTAAGTTGATTGTTCTACCTTCCATTAAACCCCTTTTAAAGAAATTCTCTGCACTAGCACTAGTCCAAGTAAGAATTCCGTGTTTCTAAAGACACCCCTTCTTCCAACGCTTGTAATTCTTGATCCAGAAGATGAGTCTCATCGTTCACAAAGTAAGCAATAGCTTTCATAGCTTTGAGCCGAGTGTATACGTGGTTTCCTTTCGGTAAGGTGCAAAGACGATTCTTTTCGTGGTTTTTACTGTACTTTCCGAGTAATCTAAACAATTCCTATCAAGTATCAAGATTATTAGAAAGAAATTCACGCGGTGCGATGTCAAGTGCTTTTACCTCTGAATTAGAATAAGGTATGACTGTATCGGCCTTTCCACAGACCATGAGAACTTGCCGATCCCGCAACTTGTCCATAGCCTTGGTCGATACAAAAACGTCAAACCGGGAACCCCTCATGAATGATGTCCAATTGGGTCCCCACGCAACACAGCTGGTGTAGGCAGATATGAGAACGACCTTCTTGAAGCGATACTTCTCCCTGGCCGCAAGCGCTATTGTTGGTCCACAGCCTATCCTTGTCAGCTACCAGACGATGATAAGCCGAGCCGTTAATCTCGGCCTGGTCTCATATCCTTCATGTTGTAGGACTAGGCTCTAGGGCCGCGGTCAAACTTCACAATAGAACCTACCAGCGGAATTTCCAAGCAAACATATTTGCTCCTCCTCCCAGGACTTTGCCTTTAGCATCTCTACGAGCTTCTCAAGATCTGCCATGATCCTGTCCTCGGTAACAGGGCCGGGTGTATTTCCGTATCCAGGGTAGTTATGGAGAAGAATCGAGAGCCCCCATTCGGTACCCCATGTTCTCCACTGATCTACTGATTTCTGATCTAGTGTTCTTTGTTGTCCATGGCTAACAAGAATCATGGTCTTGCTCCCTTCGATACTGGCCCTATTAGATATATATAGTTCCTGGGGGTGTGTGGGGTGTGTGGGGTGTGTGTGTGGGGGGGGGGGGGGGTGGTGGTGGGAAGCCTACTTGATCTCGACATATTCGATACCTAATGATGATTTCCCATCCCTGGATAAAACCTTGACTTCTTGAGTAATCTCTCCATTCCTGACTCTTGACATTATATTCCCCGGGAAAAAGACTTTTGTAAAAGCTCGGGATATGAGAATCGTCAAGATAAACATTGGTGGTGCGATAAGCAAGCGATTAAGAAGCGGAGTGCTGGGAAAGCTACTTTGTGATCAGTTACGTATACTACCTTATTCGGGAGTATGTAGGATCGATGGTATAAGTGGGTATTTGGTGGTGGAATAATGCTCATGATTAGTTGATATCGAATATAAATCCTTGACTTATCAGCGCAAGGCACCAACAAACAGCATTAAAGGCAGCAGCAGAGCTAGAGCCTACATTTGAATTATACTTCATACCATTGTATTTTTTCAAATTAAAAGAGAAAAGACGTAAGGGGAAATACATACATAAAAAGGTGTAATTCAGACAAATTAGTCTAATTTAAAGAAGTTAATTCTAGTATGCCTTCCAATAGAATGATCGCGAACCGCGCGCGGCTCCTTTGAGAATTAACCGACTGGCTTTCGGGATACGGTATACGACGTAGGATAGCCAAGCCTGCTCGATCGCGATTTCTCAGCTGCTGATTCACGTCACACGCCTACAGAGACTCGGTCAAGGCAGATGTCGCTCTCTTGCCCACGAGCGAGCGAGAGATGGCAGTGTCTGTAGTTGTTGAGGTGTTTGTGGAGATATCCGGTGGCATGTGTGGGTTGATGATCATGGGGGCCGGCCGCAGTAGCTGAGTGCGGAGCTTAATCAACGGCTATGTAGTACATGCAAAGTTACCCTGTGCCTATAGACTATAAAATATTGGTCAGCTTCGGTATCAAAAATATTATATTTTGTGATTAGAATTAGTTCTTATATATACATAATCTCTATCTAGGATATTTCTACATGATACCTACATATACATGTATACGTAGCGATCATCTCGAGCAGTTGTGCAAAAGTCTAGGCATAGCTGTCACCTATAATTAAGGTTAGTACTGAGTTCTACGCCTGCCGGGGTGAGTCAGTTAATTCAGTGAGGACCGACGACCGTTGCGACTCGGCCACTGACAGGCGCAACTAGAGTACGTACATGCAGAGTATTTTTGTTTACGGATATTATATCTTTGGACATATATATATGTAGCGGCCCGGGAATTCCATGGGCGAATGCACAAGGTTAATATTCGATCGCTAGCGATGATCAGGTGCCCAACATGAGCGCGATCGAGTATACGCATATACCGGTGTATACGTATATATACATCTATAGCTACCGCATATACTGACCTAGGCTCGTCCGGCCCCAACGTCCCTCTGCTTAATTCCGCCGGTGAGCAGCTTATTGCTAAGTAGGGGATGGGTACGAGGCTAGCTTAAGCGCCCCTCACTATAGCACAAAAAAATGCTACGTGTGGTCATCAAATTCACGCGTGAACAGCACAAAGTTCGATGTTCGAAGTAGTTCGCTACCAGTATTAAAGGATCTCCATCTACTAGAGTGAGGTTATCAGCGTGGCAGCAAGTCGTTGAGCCCTCTCAGCTGGAAAGATTATATACTAATATTGCGTCTTGGCCCGGAATTGTTCAAACAATTCATCACAAGATATCACTCGGACAACCATCTTGAGTGATTGTTGAATCATAGTTTCTTAACCTAGAAATATAGTTAATTGCACAACACTGTGAAGATTTTGAAATCTTTACTCATTTATGAGTGTCTAGCTAGGGTGGTCTGTACTGTATCTGTTTGCAACGCCTCGCTTTTCTCTTCGCTTTACTTACGCTCTAACGTTTCGTATAGAAACACTGCTCGGACATATATCTTTTAATGATATTGCCCAGCCAACAGACCAACCACATCCTTTAGACGGTCAGTCCAAGTCGAAATCGTGACCGAACCAGATATGGCAGCGATGCTGGTGCACGCGGTTCCTGTTTTATTCTGTCCTCGAATTTCCTTTCACACGCAAGAAAGCCCCACCTCCACCATAGAGAACGAGCAGCAACTGCGTTCAATTTAGCACACTCAGCCATATCTAGTTCGGTCACGATTTTGATTTAGACTAACCGCCCAATTAGGGATATTCGTTCTTGAAGTGTTTAGTTCAAGCTATATTTGGGACCTGTACCATCGACTTATAACGGACTATCAATATCTAAGATAATGGACAGCTATAATCAGCTAGATACGCACCTATCGTTTCCCTCACTCTCCATTCCCCATACTAGTACCCATAATCTACTACCTTTATAGCTAAGAGTCGTCATTGTATACAATGTTGACTATATTCTCAACCTCTCCAGTCCTTTTAAAGATTGGTCCTCATTATTCGATCGCCGCCAATCTAACATATATACCAGCGGATACTCGGGTTGGTTTTAACTAGGAAGTCTATCCCCACGGCCAATAGACCCGCAGAGTACTATATATATGCTTACGTAGATCTAGGAAATTTACCGAAAGAAATATGCATGATGGCGCCCAATCCTTCCGTCACTAACATAGAAAGATAATAAGTGTGTATTCAAGAATTGGTCATCTATATCCTCAATTTCTAGCGTTGAACCTATATGGTTCACATATCTTCCCCAGTCAATATTGTTTGTTAGCACATTAATGACAAAATAGATCTTACAAATTCGCAACTCTGCAGCTGGAGATATTAGATACTAAACAATACACATGGCCCACAGTGACCATTCACCTGTATATATCCTCCCGCAATATTCATCCTCCAGTACTAATATTACATATATTACGTAGTATATTATAGGTAACGTCCACTTTCAGCAACCAGCAAAGAAAAAAGAAAAAAAACCCTCCCACTTATTCTTTACCTCAGCGCATATACTCGTTGTTTAAATCTCTTGACCATATCTGTCGAAGTTGGACTGAGTCTTATAGTACTACTGGGCTGCTTTGCAACGGGGCCAATAGCCATATATATGATATTACAGTACTCTAGTTTTCTTCTGGCCACTATACTTTGTAGCGTCCACAACACAACTACCTCATCTTGGTGTGTTCACCTCAAGCATGAAACCCCAACAACCTCGAGACTCCATCTGTTGGATATATCATTTCAAGTTTTACTTCAGTACGAGCGAGTGACACCCTATGATGTACCCCCGGTCTGCAACGGGATTAATGTCTAGCTAGCTACATGTACTTAATCACGTTATCGACGTTGACGCATTCCGATAATAGCAATAGCCTGGTTTTTTCCGAGTTGGAGGAATTGCATTATTTATCAGACGGTATGCACTTGTGTAAATGTTGGGTTCATGCAGTTGTCCATGAGTATATACCTAAAACATGTCTAATGGAGCTCAGGGACTGAGAAGTAGAACTTTTCCGTAAAGCACGCGTAGATAGTCGCGGCAAAGAAACTTACGCACATTGTTTGGGGAAATAGCCAGTGCTAAGCGATAATTCTGTAGCGTTTAAACTGATGATATTGTAAACCGGATTCCCTTGACTTGATGGTTGATGATACCCTCAAGTCTTCGCAGAATCAAGCCCTATTTATACATGTTGGAACCTATGCCAAGGCCCGCTTTCTAATACTAACTGAAACAACGATAATAGAATAAGATAATGCTCCCGAAGATAACCCAGATAGAAAAGCGCCCCCGCATAGTTCCGTTCTCCATTCTAATTCCGACACGTAACCATGAACCTTGCAATTGCCAGTCATCGGGCTGTACCATACTATTATCCTAGACCTACTTCTCTAAGTAGAACAGCCTACAGCCGTAAGCCCCGCTTCCTATTCTATTCCGGGTGAGAAACCCAATAGTAAGCGTGCCGTCATAACAGTATAGTACTAGTGTGGTAACACCGCATGCCCCCACACTACCCGATACTTTTCTATGCTTGTCCTTCCGTTACCCGACCGTCCTCGCATCACAACCCGTCACTCGTATTCCCCACTTTCTTGAGTATTTAGAATAGTGTTCCGTAGTTCCTGTAACACTACTCCCCCTTCCTAGACGTCGCCCTCGACCGTTAAAACCCTTCTATGATAAAAACCCTGTGGGAAAAATCATAGAGTAGGGAAAGGTATCGAGCTTAGTCTCGTCTGTTCCGTTGTCGTTTATGAGCCCGGTCATTATCGATCGCTGGGCCTTGACTTCGCGTATGGGGTCGTATGTTCGAGGTTGGCTGGAAGTTCTCGTCTGCCAATGCCTCCTGTGGCTCGGGTGTTGCCAGTCGTTTTCGTGTGTTCTGTTTTCTGGTGGGGTCTGGGTCCTTACGATAGGGTCGCAGCAACATCTCGTGAAAGACGTCATGGACCTTCCATTCTATCGGAAGCTCAAGGCGGTAAGCCCGATTGCCCACCACTGCCGACACTGTGAATGGTCCCGTGAACTTGTCTGACCACTTGGAGTACCCTCCAAGGTTCCGAGTATCCAGCAAGACTTTCTGACCGATAGTGAACCGCTGTGCTGCTGGTCCTGGCTTTGACGCCATCCTGTCGAAAGTTTTCTGTAGCGTATCTCTCGCTAACTCGTGAGCCGTGATGATCTCGTCCAAGTAGTTGTTTCCGTTGGCATCTAATCGTTCGATCTCTGCATCCGTAGGCCAGTCCGTTCGGGGGTGGAAGCCATAGTTGCAGTAGAACGGTGATTGTCCGGTCGACGTATGCTTCGCATTGTTGTAGGCGTATTCGCAGATAGGTAACAGGTCCTTCCATTTCTTGCCTGTTCCTGCCGTATATGCCCGAATATAACCTTCCATGTGTTGGTTGGTTCGTTCCGTCTGGCCGTCGGTTTGCGGGTGGAATGAAGTAGAGAGCCTCCTACGAACCCCCAATCTTTCCGTGATTGCCGTCCAGAATGCTGACACGAACTGTGTTCCTCTATCAGAGACGATGCTCCTAGGAAGTCCGTGGAAACGCCAGATGTCTTTGACAAATGCGTTAGCGGTCTGCTTCGCGTTGATCCCCGTCATTGGAATGAAGTGAGCCATCTTCGTAAAACGGTCCACGACTACCAATACGTTACGGAATCCTGATTTCTCCTTGGGCATTTCTACTACGAAATCCATTGAGATATCAGTCCAAGGTGTGGTGGCTAACTCTAGGGGTTGAGGGAGTGACAAGTGTCTCCGACGTTGCTTGGCTCTCTGGCATACATCGCAAGTCTTGACGAAGTTGGCTACATCCGTGGACATTCCTGGCCACCAGTAGTTCCTATCGATCAACTCAAGGGTTTTATCCCTCCCTAGATGCCCCGCTACGGGTCGATCATGATGTTCTTCAATGACTTGCTTGACCGCGTAGCCCGGTACTACCCATCGACCATCGTGGGTGGGGTCATTCGAATCGGGATTCCATTCAGCGGCAGGCTCTACCTTTACGATAGCAGCCTCCGGTGGTCCAAAGATCTCAAGGTTTGAATCAGGGAGGTGTTCATCCGGAACCATCCTCCGAACCCATCGTCTTTCCTGTTCATACCAATCCTGTAGTGGCTGAGGCAGCTCTACGCTCGGTATGTCGTACCACTGATCCAACTGATTCCATTCCACTTCGGGGTTGCCAATCACTTCAGATCCAGTTTCTACGCTGGTCCGTGATTTTCTGACAAATTGTTCTGCGCTGAGTAGCTGTTTTACGGGCTGCTCACGCATTACTCCCCCTTCCATTGCGAACTCCGGACGCCTTGTGAGTGCATCTGGCTTGCCGTTCTTTTCGCCTGGTCGGTAATGGATCTTGAAGCGAAAAGGTGCTATCTTCTCGGCCCATCTGGCTTGTCTTCTCGACAACTTCTTGGTCGTTGTGAAATACTGCAGGTTTTGGTGATCCGAATGTATCTGGATAGGGATGTCCGTCCCTTCCAGCCAATGTCTCCAAGTTAAGAGGGCAGAAACTATTGCGAGCATCTCCTTGTCGTAGATCTCATAGTTGACCTCTGCCTCGTTGAACTTGCGAGAGTGGTAAGCTACCGGATGTAGGATACCGTCCTCGAACATCTGGGAGAGTACTGCGGCCTCGGCCCAGTCACTCGCATCAGTCTCCACGATTGCCTCGCGGTGTTCGTCATAGTGTCGGAGTATTGGAGCAGACGTAAATCTCCTCTTGAGCTCGTCGAACGCGTCCTGCTGTTCCCTGCCCCATTTCCATACGGAACCTTTCTTCAGGAGATCGGTCATGGGTCTGCAAACCTCAGAGTATCGGTGGATGAACCGTCTTAGGAAATTGGCGAAACCGAGGAAGCATTGAAGTTCCTTGACCTTGGTTGGGGCTAACCAACCTTCGATCGCCTGGACTTTCTTTGGTGATATTTGGTTCCCTTTTCCTGATAGTATAAATCCCAGGAATTCTACCTCCTGTTGATACCATTCCGTTTTCTCGAGGTTCCCGTATAGATGGTGTCGTCGCAGTCGCTCCAAAACTTCTCGTACAAGAGTCGTATGCTCTTCTCTAGTCTTTGAATACATTAGGATGTCATCCAGGTAGACTACTACGCCTTGATCTAGAAGATCCTTGAATATGGTATTGACCATGACCTGAAACGACGCAGGAGCATTGGTCAAGCCGAAAGGCATTACTCTATATTCGAAGAGGCCGTATTTCGTTCGGAAAGCGGTTTTCCATTCTTCGCCCTTAGCAATCCTAATCAGATTATAGCCATTTTTCAGGTCTATCTTCGTGAAGTAGAGTGCTCCTTTCGTTGCGTCGGCCAGCTCGTTCATGAGTGGCAGTGGATAACGGTTCTTGATTGTGATTCCATTCAAACCACGAAAGTCGACACATAGCCGAAGCTTACCATTCGCTTTCGGAACGAACAGGACGGGTGCCGCTGCTGGGCTAGTGGAGGGGACTACTTTGCCGGAGGGCAAGTTCTCGTCCAAATACTCCCGGAGTGCCTTATCTTCAGGTGGGGAGAGCGAGTAGATCGGTCCCCACGGAGGCTGCTTTCCTTCCATAAGAGGAATGGTATGATCCCATTCAGAGTGATCAGGTAGTCGAGCGGCTCCTTCCTTGGAGAACACGTCGGCGTATTCCTGAAACCCCACCGGTATAGCACTAACGAGAGCCTCGTTTACCGATGCTCTTGCCCAAAAGGGGTGTTGCTCGATCGTCGTCTGCTTCTTGGGTGACGCCCTCAACAGCCTGATGACCAGCTCTTCTGGGTCTTGATCGTATATGTCCTCGACTGATACGAAACATCCATTGACTATACAGTTGTTACTATGGAAGCTAACACTGTTGCGTCCCCAATGGATGGTTGGTTGATGCTCCTTGAGCCATCGATGTGGTATGACGAGGTCCTCTCCTGCAAACGAGCCAACCTCACAGGTAATAGCCCTATCTAGATGGTTGCCGATGCGGAGGGAGAGAGGTTGGGTGGTGTGAGTGCCGGAGTTGGGCATAGGGGTACCATCGGCCTGTCTGATGATGAGAGGCTTTGGTCGAGGTTGAGTGGGTATTTTCGCACGGTGGATACAGTTTCAGGACATGATCCAGTCCTCAGTGCCACTATCTAGGAGTGCGTGGACTGTTGCGACATGTTTGGTACTAGTTGCGGGGTGATCCCAAGAGATCTCGATCTCGAGGCGGGTTTCTTGTGTGTTGGAAGACATATTTGTATTGTTGGTCTGATAAAGGGTTTGTATTGGTTCTAGGTGTGGGTTTTTCGATGGTTTTCCTTGTTGAGCGCGGGGTGAGGGGGTTTATATAGAGAGTTTGAGTGTTTGATGAAGATCATGGTACAACACTTACGCACCAGGCGTTTCGGGGTGTAACCCCATCCTCAGAGTGTGTGTAAAGAAAATTGAATTTCCGCGCGTATAACAAAACAAATATAGAAAATCTCGTGGCCAACCCATAAAAATAACCGTAATACATAAAACCCTTGTTTCCATAACCCAAAGTAGAAAGAAACCCGTAACGCAACATGAGATACCGAAAAATAGAAATACCCAATCAATTTTGATCCTCCAAAGTTGTAATCCTTGCCCTAAATGCCTCATTCTGGGGGCCCAATTTCCGCTTCTTTTCACCCTCCCTTCCGTGGTCCTTTCCTCCGGAAGGATACCGTTTCCTCTTCAGGTCGGTTAACCTGACCTTACTCGTCGCCACGCAATCTTTCGCGAAGTGGTTATCTCTACCACAACGGAAACACTTTCCTTCCTTTGCCACTTCTCCTTTTCGTCCTTGGTGACACCTAAGTCATCCGAGGCCTTGGAGTTGTGTGCTGGCGCGGAAAAAGTTTTCCGAGGTGCGGGGTTGCGCGATTTTCGCCGTTCCGATTTTTCCTCACGAGGTTTCACGACATCCTTGCCACGTAAGATCTCTTTCCGGGCCTTCACCTCGTGATCCTTACGTCCGACCTTCCTAACCCAGGCTAGCCATTCCGCGAAATCTTCTGGTTCCTCGATCGCATTCGAGAGGCGTTGTTCCAGCGAGGAGTTTATTCCTGTTGGGATCATGGATTTCATTACGATGGGTCCGACCTTCGCGTCCCATTCCAGATTCTGCATCTCATTGATGTAGTCATCGATCATGCCAGTTTGACGGAGCTTATCCATCTTCTGTTTGGCTTGTTCTTGACTTGTTCGATTGCCGTACTGAATCCGTAATTCGTTTTTGAAATTCTCCCATGTTCCGATGCTGGGGTCTACCGATAGTCGCTCCACGAAGTTTCGCCAGAATTTTGCCGCACTCCCGGTAAGTTCCAGGGATGCCCACAGGATCTTGGTCTGGTCGTCCCACCTGACCTTCCTCTGAAGTTCAATTAAGACTTCCATTTGGTCGATCCAGTGCCGTACATCTTCGTCGGCTTTTCCGGAGAAGGGGATTTTTGCCTGTTTTGGCATATCTCCCAGGGTGGCGCGAGGGGGGTGCATGAGTTCTACCTCTTGCTGCCTATTACGGCGTCTTCGCTCCTCCCGTCTTCTCTGCCTTCGTTCACATGCTCGACGATCGTCCTCTGAATCGGAGGAGCTGGATGAGTCTGAGGGGGATGGGCCTCGTGGTCTTGCGCGGTTTCCGCCGTTGCCGTTATTGCCATTGCCTCCCCTGCCTCCCTGTTCACTCCGTTGGCTTTTCCTTGCCTCAGAGCGAGGGGGTATGGGGGGCTGACTTCCTGATCCTTCCGGTCTCTCTCCGGAATTGCTAGGGGGGTTCGGTGGAGGTGGTGGGGGTACTATGCCTTCGCCTCCTGAGCCTTCGGGGGCTGCTGCCGTTCTATTGGCGGCTACCCGCATCTGCTCGATTATCTCCTCCAGGTTCTTCTTCGTACCTGCGAACTGGTCTTCTAACGCAGCTTGTCTGTCCCGTTCTATCTTCTCGAGGGCGGCTGCGACTTCCGCGGGTATCTGCACAGGGCCATCTTTCGGAAGTTGCTGGACGAAATTGGTCAGCGCATTTATGTGCTGATCCTGTCGCTCCTGCCTTTCCTGATGCGCCCTAGTAGCTTCCACGATCTGCCCAAGGACTTGGCCGAGGTTGCTGGTAGTGGCGGTGGATTCCGCTCGTAGCTGAGCCATGACCTGGTTGAGCTGGCTGTCGCGTTCGGCTCTGTCCTCAGCGAATTTGGCGTGGAGGTCCTCGACGATTTTGTTGGTGTACTCCTGCTGCTGCCGGGTGAGTTCCCTGAGTATGGGGATATCCCGCACGTGCATGCTGAGTTCCTCGATCCCGCGGCTGAGTTGCTGCACCACGGGGGCACCTTGTCGCTGGACTTCTTGCCCAATAAGGTCGCCAAAAGGGTTCTCTACCCGCCGTTCCTCTACGTCCATGTTGGTATCCTCGTCGTCGTCCATTACCCGAGGCACCGAGGGCCTCTGAGTAGAGGATCTCTCTCTGATGGGGGTGACGTATGGGGAGAACTCCCTGTGGTCTGCCTGCCGCCTCCTCGCCTGCCCATATGATTCTTCCTGCCTCGTCGATGCGAAGAGGGAGCCTATCGGCACATCTCTCTCTTTCCTGTGGCGCCTCTTCGCCTGGGTTTCTAATATACCTCGATCTCTCAAGGCGATTGAGCTCTCCATGTTGTAGTCTTCCTCCGACCGTTGCTGATGAGCCCTTGACATTGCTAAGTTGCTCGAGCTTGAGCTGTGGTTGCCTTCTGCACCAGGGTTGAGCAATGAACCAGGGGGCTGGATGAGCAAGTCCGAAAGATCGTTGTGAGAGAGTGATCTTGATTGGGAAGAGTTCTGGGTAGTTGAGGATTTCGGGATCGTGTTACTCGAAGGTAGCGGTGGTTCCTGCTTCTGCGAAGAAACCTGAGTAGTGAAGGTATCCGCAGTATAGATGTTCGGCGCTTCCTCTTCGAACGATGAAGGATGTAGCGCAAAGGTAGTTATCGATGGCTGCTGTTGCCACTCGTGGGTGCATATAGTACCTTGGTCCTTCTAATAGACTAAGCGCTTATTCTTCTACTGAGAGCACGGTGACTATCCGCCACTAAGCAAAATACTCAGAGTATTGGTTTAAGCGAGTAGTTGTCTTATCGAGACTTTGGTAGTGTATGCGATAGGTAAAGAGTAAAAGTTAGGGATAAGGAACAATATAGTGTTTGATTATTATGCTTTTTACAGTGAGACTATTTGATGCCTCTACCCACATCAAAAAAGTGCAAAAGCGTTTAACAAAATAACTCCTGATCTTTGTTCTTAAAGTTCTCTTAGGTCCTCGGTGATTACAATAGTGTATGATGATAGCAGCAAATCTGCATCGCACTATGAATACCCCCGTGCTGACTTTTCATCATCTTCGGCTACCTCGTTACAATACCCTTACTCGGTTGGCCATTCAGGCTTGTTCCTTTCACGTGATATTGTCGACCGGATTGCACCCGACTGATGGTTGATGATACCCTCAAGTCTTCGCAGAATCAAGCCCTATTTATACATGTTGGAACCTATGCCAAGGCCCGCTTTCTAATACTAACTGAAACAACGATAATAGAATAAGATAATGCTCCCGAAGATAACCCAGATAGAAAAGCGCCCCCGCATAGTTCCGTTCTCCATTCTAATTCCGACACGTAACCATGAACCTTGCAATTGCCAGTCATCGGGCTGTACCATACTATTATCCTAGACCTACTTCTCTAAGTAGAACAGCCTACAGCCGTAAGCCCCGCTTCCTATTCTATTCCGGGTGAGAAACCCAATAGTAAGCGTGCCGTCATAACAGTATAGTACTAGTGTGGTAACACCGCATGCCCCCACACTACCCGATACTTTTCTATGCTTGTCCTTCCGTTACCCGACCGTCCTCGCATCACAACCCGTCACTCGTATTCCCCACTTTCTTGAGTATTTAGAATAGTGTTCCGTAGTTCCTGTAACACACATAGCATAGCCACGAGATCGAGAGCGGATAAAAAAAAGGCTCTAAGTCTCTCCTATAGTGAGAACCAAACGGCGGATCGAGCTACGTATACTTGCACACGCGTTCTCGTGACAAAAGGCGAGTACTAACCTTTTCGCTAGTAGGGTCGAAGTACAATACTGGAACGTTTGCCATAAATTTAACATTAATGGCGCAGATATGTTAATTCTGGTACACAGAGCTTCAAAGACGTAACCAATACTAGTAACGAAGATATATACACCATTGGCAATATGAGTACATTACTTCCCCGCATAAAAGGAGTGAGTAGATATTACTCTCGAATACCGACCTCGCGTAACCGACTTTGATCGATAGATTGGTATCCCTTGACTGGAATATAGCTAGCTTGGTTAATAGCATTATCTTGCGCTATACGCGCGTGTACTCAATGCAGGACAACTATAGCACCCATCACAACGTTGGAAACCGGGGAATACGAGTGATGGACTGTGCACCAAATTAAAAAAACACGCATATATATCTCCATAACTCTCGTTCAAGCCTAGCTGATAACCAGAGAGATTTGACCACAGGCATGCACATGAGGGCAGAAATTGAATGTAGTTACCCAGCCAGGCTAAACTTGTACACCTTGAAGAAATAATTCCACATATATCCGATCCGACTAGCTAGTACGTTCCTATATATCTCTCTGCTTTAAGCATGATTAATGAACGATCGAACCATAATGACTCTGCGCGGCAACTTAATTCCAAATCAATCATTAACCACCAGTAAATCATCTAGGCCCATGTAGGTATAAGGCAACGTTAACAACATTCGTAATCAATCAACCCAGATTAAGAGTCCCAATTCGAGCAAAAAAGCACAGTAACCCCCTCCCCCCTCCCCCTCCCCCTCCCCCTCCCCCTCCCCCTGGCCTTCCAAACATCAAAATGAGATGACAATAATACATAATAAAACAAAAAATGGGTTTTCAGACTCCATCGGCAGCGACGGGCCGCACGGCCACCGCATTCGCGTGACTCCCTCCCCACACCGCGGTACCCCGAAGTACCCCATCGCAAATTAAATCTTCCTCAAGATAAAACGTCCCTGACACGCGTCCACGTGCGTCTGTACCACCGTCACGACTCACCCCCTTCCCTTCCCTTCCCCCCCTTGTCGTCCCTGGCACTCGAAAAATGTACTGTGTGTATTTACCAGGATCAACCCTGTAGCTGGGCCTCATCTCATTTTTTTCCAAGGGCCTTCTAGAAAGAAAAAAAAAAAGGGAAAATTCATCTCTCCCCTCCTACTGCATTCAGTTTCAAGATAAACTATTGTTAGCCTAGCTACCTAGCTCGATCATGCTCGCCCTAATCCTAGAGATTTCTTCAGCCTCACTTTGAAGCTGAGGTCGACGTGGATCGCGACGAAATGAGTAAATTCCTCAGCCATGGTGGCGCTTCAGCTAAACACATATCCTGCATACTAGTACATACACAGCTATCTTGACGTCAATTACCAACCCCCCCCCCCCCCCCCCCCCAACAACCCCTCCTCCAACACCCCCGGGGGCTGATACCTCGCCGACTCTGACGATCGATGCTGTGTATGTATCTCTCAGGATACACACGAAACCCTCCACAGTATGCATCAGTTACACATACATAACCTCTAAACAGCCCAGACATTGGGATTGGGGCTCGGAGCACAATACACCGGCCATCGAACGACACGAGTGCCAATCCACAGCGCTCACCGCCGACCACTCCCTGAACCCAGGAGGAGGGTATTCCGTTTCCCCGCTCTGGGGGGGGGGGGGGGGCACGTGCAAACTAAGTAGGCCAGTGCTGCACTCGATGTTTCCCGGCGTTGTGGTATCGGAATCCAGGAACAGGGAAGCAGCGCACGAGTTTGTAACACCAGGATTTTCCGGAAGGCTTGGTTCGACACCCCCAGTGCTGCGAAAAATAGACAAGGCGAGAGAGTGAGAGGGAAAGAGAGCTGTTTGGTGAAACGTTAGTTTGGAGTTTCACAATGGAATGTATTAGATAGGAGGCCGGGTAGGTCTGTAGGACAGGGAACCCTCGAGATAGTAGCTAGCCACTAGCGAGGGAGAGGAGTTAGATGGCGGGGTCGAGAGAGCCAGCAGTGAGAGTTGAGATGAGGTGAGGTGATGGAGATGGGATGAGGCGAGGCGGACTCGAAGGAGAAGGGATGAGTGGTACGGGGGAATGGAACGATGGATGTGTGTAATGACACGGTCGAACGGGGCCTTAGGATATCAATTTCGATGGTGTGACAATTATACAATAGTCAGTCATCTTGAGAGCTGGGATGGCTTGAATACATGTAGGGCTGTCCTACTAATCTAGTCTATGATCACTCAAAGCACATTAGTACATGTATACAATATGTATCCAAGTACTTTTGCATACGCATTACATTCCTTACGGAATCATTATGGAATGGAAGTACAGTTACAGTTCAAGCCAACTGGAACTCGGCCCTGGGATGATCAACCTATTAGTAGATGGATCGCCGTATCAAGTGGCGCGGCTATTCCACTTAGCTCATGAGATATATATCGCATTACAATCCGCAGACGAAGACGTACATCTACAGTGAAGGTACATCCTGGGAACTGAGGGGAAGTTGCATACCGAGTAGATATTTTTGTCTTTCTTCGGAATTCGGAAACAGGGCTACATAACATAGGTATTCCTAGCGAGCGAGAATCGGAGCATTGACAGCTCTCGGATGCGCCATCACCCAAGCCCAACGCAAAGGTACCACGTATCTCAAGACTTCAACCAGCATAAGTTATATACAGGTATATGCATGTATGTGTACAGTACCGTTACATGAGTACACGCAGTAACTTCTATAGATAGCTAGCTCAGGGTTATGTTTATGTGGATTGGAATGTGCACATGTGACAGTTTGGGCGTGACATGAGATACCTCGCAATCGATGAAACGAAACATGCTCATTCTTAGGCGTGATTCTGTGAATACGATACTGGACTTGCTGATTGAATGGTTGTATATGTGCGTCATGTGTCATCACTCGGCTGCAGATCTCACCAAGGGCTGCTAGCTGGGTACTCCATCCAGACACATTCCATTTTATATATGAACAGCATTTTTATGAGTTTTGTTCCTACCCAAACGAGATATACATAACTTGAACTTTGTGAACATTTGAACTCGGGACTGCAATTGAGGCTCTTCTGATGTAATGAGGCTCGTTCACCTGGTGCCGGGTAACCCCGTGATGACCTCACCCAAGACAGCACTGCTCTGGCTGGGCAAGACACACGACAGCATAGCTTATAGCTACATGGGCTTATAGCAGATATCGACGATAGTACAGCTCCCAATTGCAGACCTACAGCAATCACCATTAGAGAAGCCATACACAATCCCTTCGCTCTAGAGGTGCTTGAATATTTAATTAAATCAACAATTGCTTCAACCGCTCATAGCGTCCAACCGCGAATCTGGGCCCCCGCACACGAATCCGTTCCTCGCTTTCCCACCTCCGCTTCCTCCTCTACCCCGGCCTCCGCGCCCGCTTCTCAAATCGCCTCTACAAGCTCGTCACATACGCTAACAGCAGACTCCGCCCCCGTGGGCCCGTCCGCCCTTCTCTCTCACAGAGCTTTGTCAAGCGTGGCCATCTCAAGTGGCGTAACGATCACTGGGAACGGACCACCTGTCTGCGGACTCGAGCAGCCCACCGACATACCGAGACCACGGGCGGCGCGATGCAGGCCTCTGGGGACGCGGGAAATACCTGGGGGAGCTATTATAGGTCGTTTACTGGTGGTGGGGACCCAGGGGACAGAGAGCCGGGTACTAGGAGAAAGAGGATTGCGGGTTACTTGAAGGCTGCCAATGATTTGAGGCAGAGCTATTACTCGGGGTATGCGAATCGGGCTAGCGAGATGGAGGGCGAGTATAACAGTGGTGCGGACCAGTCGTCGGGCTCGTGGCCGGATATGGAGGTTACAAGGAGCGGCGATGAGGAGCTTGTGCTGTTCCCGAGCTATGCTAGACGGCGGCCGGATGAGGACAATGTGGTTGATGTGGAGATCCGAGGCTGGCTATTTGCCCCGCACTCGGGCCCTCTGAGCCGGAAGAACCGATACCTCCACTGGGTCGCCCTCAAGCTTTGTGGACTGCCTGCGCAGGCTTCTACTCAGCCCGGGGAGCCCGACAGGGACCCCACAGCTGCAGAGGCGGAGGCTGCGGGGGATGCTGCCGCAGCTATCGAAAAGAATGGCAGACCCCCGTCTCTCTATTCGTCCGACAGTAGGATGGAGACTCTGTCCAGGACCAACTCCGCACCCATGAGTGTGGCCGCAGCAGCAGCAGCAGCAAGGACGCTGTCCTGGCGCCCAGCCTTGGTGACTAGCGCAAGCACCCAATCATTGCCGCAGGTACCGCAACTGGACCCCGCCGAGGTCGCATCTGCGCATGCTGCGCTTGCTGCACGTCTCGCGCCCTTCATGCATCGTCCCATCCCCAATGCTCGTATCACCATAACCTTCAGCGACGAGTCCTCGGAATCCTCGCAGTCATTCACCGTACTCACCTCTGAGACCGGCCACTTCTCCTTCCAAGAGGATCTTCCCTTCATCCCTACCACTGTCCGCGTCATTGCCTCTGAAAAGATCTCGGCAACTGAGGATGTCATCATTCATGAGCCGACCGGAATATCGCTGATATCGGACATTGACGATACGGTAAAGCATTCAGCCGTGTCCATGGGTGCGCGCGAGATATTTCGAAACACCTTCACGGAGCCCTTATCGAAGCTTAGCATCCCCGGTGTTTCAGGCTGGTACAAGAGGCTATCCCAGGAGCCGTATAACGTCAATTTCCACTATGTGTCAAACTCGCCATGGCAGCTATACCCAGTGCTCAAGTCATTCTTTGAAGAGTCTGGGCTCCCGCCTGGCAGTATGCATCTCAAAGAATATAGTGGCATGCTTCAAGGCATCTTCGAACCCGTGGCCGAGCGCAAAAAGGGCACGGTGGAGCGGGTGATTCGAGACTTTCCGCAGCGCCAGTGGATCCTGGTGGGGGATTCTGGCGAGGCAGATCTGGAAGTCTATACCGAGATCGTCGAAAAGTTCCCGGGTAGGATCCTGGCGGTTTTTATCCGGGACGTCACAACAACACCGGCACCCGACGAAAAGGAATTCTTCAATCCAAACGAATCACCCGAGTACGCCAAGGCAATGCAGGAATGGGCAGAGGCAAAAGCAGCCAGTGTGAAACAGCCAAAGATCCCCCCGCCAATACCTCCAAAGCGCAAATCCGTCAACCACACAGCTACCACCCAAAACCAGCCAGAAGAACACTCCCGAGAAACATCAGTGGAAGGGGCCAAGACACCCCCTCCCAGGCCTCCCAAGCCCTCAAGCCTCCGGGACACCATGACGGCACCAGCTGCCAAGTCATCCTCCACCACCGACCTCCTCTGTACCCGAAACTCCCCACCGCCGCCCCCGCCGCCACGACGCACGGCGACTTTCTCGCCCAGTGAGACCCCCAGTACGGTGACACCGGCGCCTGGAAAACTCCAACACCCTGCCACCACTGCTTCCTCGTCGCCCGCACCGATTACGCCGAACCAGCAGCAGCAACAGGCGCAGCAGGAGGTGCTGCTGAGTAAACGCGAAGAGCTGTGGAACCGTCGCTGGGAACGGGCTTTGATGATTATGGGGCACTACGACGTTCAGTTGCATAGTTGGAGGACGGGCGGGGATGTAGAGGCCATGTGTAGAGCCATTGTGGAGAAGGCCCTGTGGGAGTAAACGTACATGATGGGGTTGGAGTTAACTACATGTAGTTCTTTTTGTTTTTACCTGGTATTATTATTTTTTTCTTGCTTCTGTGGGTTAGGGTTTGCATGCACATTGTTTATGGACCGCAATGGAATGGAATGGTGGCTTCTCTTTTTTTTGCTTTCATGATAAGGGAGAGCGCTCTGTACTATATTATTTTTATCTCTCTCTCCTTTTTGCTGTTTCCTCTTTGGCTTGTATATTGATGATTGAAGGTTTCTTTGAATACATACACGGATGGAGCGTCTCCTTCTTCGCATCTTTGCGCTTTTTGTTTCCTACGGCCGGGTGAGAGCAATGATTGGGCCATTTGCATGTATGTAATCATGCTATTTTTCTATATCCGGATCCTAATTCTTCGCTGCCTGGAGAATTCTAACGGACCTTGTGACAGCCACAAGTACAATCCTCTATGTAGGAGCATACAAGGCCTAGTGAGATATAAAGTATAGTAGCTAGAACACATCTCCATAGATCCGACAGCCCGAACCAGTTATACCATGTACATACGTGTAGGTTATCAAGTACCCTAACTAATATACCTGTATCTGTACCCAAGGATGTTATGTAGCTGATTCAATGCCACCCCGTCAAGCTGCATCACCACCCATCACTCATACTCGCGCGGTGAAAAAACCAAACCAAACCGAACCACACCCCTTCGCCAAGATACCGCCATGCATGTATACACAAATCCGCAGTTTCAAATCCGCATTCCTCGCCGGTTAATTAAACTGATTCACGAACGCAAAAGATCTCGACGCTCGCTCGGGGGCGGCGTACGTTGAGCCGAGCAGCGCAGGCAACTACATCCGCCGTATGGACGTATGTACAACAAACGACAAAACACAAGAGAGAAAGAAAAAACCTGAAACTTCGTATCCTCATGGTTGTTTTGGTTTAAATGATTTTTTATTTACTATTATTCATTTTACCCTCCCTCTCTCTCTCTCACTTCTCCTCACTTGTGGAACGATTATGACAGGTGATTCACAGGAAAAAAGGGGTGGGGGGTAAAAGATCGGCCTATCTAACTACATGTATGTATGTACATGTAGTTTCTAGAATGTTTGCGCGTAGTAATCGGTGCCAAGATTCGTTACTAAGAGATCTAGATGTTTGGGAATCTGGAATCGGGGGAGGAGAGGGAGAGAGAGGGTTGTTTCGAGTGCGGCTAGGGATGAGGCTGAGATTGTGCAGGGGTGGTTAAGGGTAGAGCGGGTATGTATGTGCGATATTCGTAGCTAGAATAGATGTAACCCCCTTCCCTGGGTGGGTATCACGGTGACGCCGGAATCACGCAGTTACGCTGCATACATGGTGGAGTATAGAGTAGGGGGAGATCAGGATGGGAGATGGGGGAGGGGGGGGATATATTGGCTAGAGTTAGAGTAGTAGGTAGGTCATCATCATGCCTGTCTGTTCTGTCGGGCTGGATGGCTATTGTATGTATCCATCTGGCTGGCTTGCAGATGCATATGGTGGCACCTGCCGCCGGCAGTTATTTCCCTGCCAAAGAAAAAAACACAGTTCCTTCTCTACGTCTTCTCCCGCGGCTTCGACGCCTCCCCTTCACCACCGATCGATTGCATGCTCCAGGGGTGTGGTTTTGGGGGAGGGGGGGGGGTTATGGCGAGATGAGATAGAGATGATAGAGGGGGGGTTGTGCGTTTCCAAATCCGTCTATCATCTCTAGAGTAGAGTACATCTATTATTATTCCTTCTAGCTTCGAATTTGTATGAAGGAGAATAAGGAAATAAAAATCAAAAAAAAAAAAAAATTCACGGACGAGCGTTGATGTTCCCGAGATGAGATGCGTATGAGATGGGGGATTGAAGGGGGAAGGAACAACCCTTCGTTCGATCGCGCCCTCACGACATCTACTCTCTTTCATCGCGCACGCGTCTGCCGAGGCAGCCACGACGGGTTCGCAATGCCATATGTACATACCTACGCCAGCTACCTACTTCATACCTACATCTTACGCAATAGCACGAAGGAAGGATCCGAAGCCAGCCCAGCCCAGCAGCAGCCAATCTTGTTTGGCAGTTTCCTTTATATTCCGCCCCAATCTTAATCGCGACTTTATCCACCGGGGGGGTTATTAGGGCGGTTATCAGCTTATCCAGCCAGCCAGGTCAGGTGGAAGCAAGGGAATGAGTATGTAGGCAGCCAGTAGGTCGTCACATGGGTCTGCCTCCCTCGGGCAATTTGAAATCTGGGAGTTTGAATTGGCGGTCGAGGGGATCGTGTATATATTGACATCGTGAGGTTGGATCGAGGCCGGTGATTAGTTAACGATGTGTGTTGTGCTGTACATGTGTGTATGTACTAGGGTGTAGCGAAAAGTGATCAGAATCTGATAAGACAAATACACATATTCACCGTAACATTCACTTATCAGATTCTGATCACTTACCCTCAACACCCGGTACATACATGTATGTAGGTGCTTGGGAAGGGTTAGGGGTGGCTATTGTCTGGGTTAGGGGATAGAGACATATGGAACTCGAGTCCGCTAGTAAGGGAAGGGAAAGCGTGTGGGGGTGGGGATATGTGAGTGTGGGGGGTGGTGGGGGGGGGGGAGATCAATCATCTGGCATCACTCGACGAATTAATGACTACATGTAGCCAAGCAGAGCTGAGCCTCAGTTGTTTCAAGGTTATGTATGTACATGTATTCACCTTCCCAGCTTCATCTTCTCCTTCTCAGGTCACACCAACACTGCCTACGAAAGGCCCGAGCAGAAGAAAAAAAGAGATCGAGAGCAGCTGCGCAGACCAGCCATGGCCAGCTGTTGCTTGAGAGCTACATCTTGCCTGTTAGAGGATGATTGATATTGTAGAAATAGGGCATTGCAACATCGGTTATGTATGGAATTACTCATGTATAAGGGATGACTAATAGAAGGAACAGGGATTCAGACAAGGCTTAGTGTCAGGGATTATGTAATCAGGGGATCACGTGGTATTAGAATATCTGTATATATAGAGCGCTCAAACGCCCACATTGTCGCTGGAACTACAGCGGCGCAATAGTATCTTCTTCGCACTACAAACCACATCCTCCCTCAAAGTCACGTGTTCAAACCACACTCAAGTCATTTTGTCACACACTCCGAACTTCAGGTTATGAGCCCGGGTTTTGCCAAATAAAATCCGCACAACACTCGCCACCTCGCTTAACTCAATTACACTTCATACAACATCATATCTGACGATGGAGAATCATCCAAGGCCGTGGAGGTTAAGTCCTCAGACAACACGAGCCCCAGTAACATTCGCATCAAGTTTGATGGACTCCCGAAATTAAAGGGACAATCCAACTACCAAACTTGGGCGTCTGCCTGGAGGATTACATTCGATGCAGCAGACTGGTGGGAAGCATTGAGCATCGAAAACCCCACAGAGGATGACACAGACCTCACCAAGGCCGAAATCAAAAAGGCCCGAAAACAAATGCACAGCCTTCTCATCGGAGCTGTAGCCGAAGACATACAACCAAGAGTCGTCTCCGCCGAAAATGCATACCACGCATGGAAGGCGCTCAAAGACCTCTACGATCGCGTATCACCAAACACGACGATCACACTCCTCAGCCGTGTTCTAGACACGAAGATGCAAGAGAACGGTAACTTAACCGAGCATCTCGAGACCTTCAACACGAACTGGAACACTCTCAAGACCAGGTGTCAGAGCGGCGATCACAAACTCGCTCAGGCCCTGCTACCCCTCACCAAATCCAACGAAGCAATGGCAGCATTCCTACTTGCCTCTCTGCCAAAGTCGATGAGCAACGTCGTCGATAACATCCAGACCAAACAGGATGTTACATACGAAGATGTACGCCAACGGCTACAAAACCTACAAGAGGAAACCCCTCTCACCGGCAACAACAGGGTACTTCACACCAGAAATACCCCCATACCAAACAGCAAGGAATGCACCTGGTGTAAGAAACGGAATAACCCGTACCAGGGCCACGAGTACAAGGAGTGTAGATAGCTCAAAGAACAGAACAAGACAAGGGATTCAAACAGAAGAAGACCAGGCAGAGATAACTCAGCATCGGTAGTTATCAACGAATCATCCACAACAGTATGCATGGTACGCACCGATACCTCACCTTCTCTGCCCCTTACCTGGATCCTTGATTCTGGAGCTACTTCTCACGTAACACCTTTCAAAGACCAACTCTTCAACATCAGTCCTCACACCAGCACAGTCCGAACAGCCGACGGCACCATCCACGCTGTCACCGGATTGGGAAGCGCTAGTTTCGAATGCTACCTTCCCAATGGAAATAGATCCACCGTTGTCCTCACCGACGTGCTGCTGGTCCCAACCATGGGAAATGTGGAATTGGTCTCAGAAACCGTACTCGATGAAAAGGGGTTTAGAACAGAGTCAGGAGGAGGAAACAAATTGGTCACGAAAGAAAAGAAAGGAATAATTTGAGCGAAATTGGATAAGGGACTTTGGAATGTACAAGTAGTTAGCAATACAGTTCGCTTGACCACTTACTCTGAATGGCATCAAGCACTAGGCCACCCTGCGACACTAGAAAACTTGTACGAAGACATCCATAAGCTACCCCCCAAACCAGAAACATTCCATTGCAGTCAATGCGCACTATCAAAAAGTGTACACAAGAAACTTGCACCAATTAGTACAAGATCCCAGCGAGAATTCGAACTAATCCACTCTGACCTATCTGGAAAATTCGGAACACAATCGCAAGGAAAAGCACTGTACTACATGTCCTTCATTGACGACTATACACGCTTCGCCTGGATATATCTGCTAAAACAGAAAGACAATGCGATAAAGGCCATCAAAGACTACGTCACGAAAATCGAGAAACAGTACAATACAACAATACTGAGATTTAGAACGGACGGTGGTGGCGAATACGTCAACAAAGACACAATGGATTACTTCAACCTACAAGGAATAGTCCACGAACAGA